TCTACAATTATTATCTTTATTCAACTGATAATTTACCTATTGATCTTTTCCCAAATGCCACCAAAAGCAATATGAATTGATCATTCGTTAAGCAAATTTTTCAACCCGTAGACATGTTTACAATTAAAAGTTTTCTATCATGTAAACCTAATTCCCTTTGCGATTTTTTCCATTTCGCATTACAGTCAAAGCTCTTTAAACTGATACGATCGATGAACTGATAGCAATTAAATATCGCTTTGCTTTTAATTAAAGGGATTTTTGAGGTGAACCAATAAAAAAAATTGAGGATTGATATTATTTTGAAGCAATTTGTCAAACATACCGGACGCCAAAAATGAATTGTCTCTTAACTTTTGCCTATTTGATTTTTCTGAAAACGATGATGTGCTTGGTAACTTTATTTTTAAAATTCTTAACGATTATTCTTTTGTAAAATTTTAATATTCAGGTTCAACTTTCAATAACATCTTGGGAGAACTGTCCTGGAAATCAATCGATGAAAATGTATGCTTCGACCAATGATACTTATGGCGATCAGACTAAAATTTACATTCCTACAACAATTGATGTGTCACGTGACGTAAAAGATTTAAGTGAACTTACATTAGAGGTCAATCGATGCGATTTTGAAATGAAAAAGTGTGAAAAACCATTTCCACTGAGATTCACTGATTTATGCAAAAGTTTCAATAACAAAAAGGCATTTTATTACGGGTTCATATCAACGATAAAACCACCAATATCATGTCCAATTAAAGCAGATAAGTACACTGCTACAAATGGTTCGTTTGACTTAAGTGCATCTTACTTTCTTCCCATAAGAGACAATGTTTGGATCACAAAAACAAAGCTTTATTGCAATGAAGGAAAGAAGCGGGAATTGGTATTATGTTTAATGTCAACTATAAAAGTCACTCAAACTAGAGCTAGAAGAGTTGGTTCTCGTCAAAAGAAGATAAATCAGAAGTGACTTATCAGATTATTGAAAAAGGTCTGATTATATTAATTGTTATAAAGCCATCTATGCTGCTAAATTAGGGTTTATCGGTAAATATTGAATACAAAGTTATTAGTTATCCATGTCCACTTTCAGCACTAAATTAGCTTAGATGATTTCTAAGTCAATAAATAAACAAGAATAAGAACTTCAACATTTGGTTTTTCAAATAAGAAAAGGCATCCAAACTTATTTAAATTTAGTTTTAAAATACGTCAGTCATATAATGACTTTGCTTTTCATTCACGTGAAGTATCTACTTGAAGTAATCTTTTTCCTCGAAACCATCAGCGTTCATTTAGAGAAATGCAAACATGCAGCATATAATGATCAAAATTTAAAGTCAGAGAATTTACATGTAGCACCCTTTACTGCCAATAACTTGAAATATAATGTATGTGGAAAAGTTGCAGCATGTATTAAGGAACAAATTTCTCAAACACACTTCATATCTAAATCTTATATTCTACAATTTTCTACTTTATTCAACTGATAATTTACCTATTGATGTTTTCCTAAATGTCACCAAAAGCAATAAAATTGATCATTCGTTAAATAAATATTTAATCCCGTGGACATATTTACAATTAAAAGTTTTTTATCATCTAGAATGATTAAAATTAATTCCCTTTTCCCCTCACTTAGTATAACAATTAAATATCGCTTTGCTGTTAATTGATGAGATCTTGATTTTTTAATAAATAGTTCACCTCAATAACAAAATTGAGGATTAATTTTATTTTGAAGCAATTTGTCAAACATACCGGACGCCAGAAATGAATTGTCTCTTAACTTTTGCCTATTTATTATTTCTGAAAACGATGACATGCTTGGTAAATTAATTTTTATACTTTAGATTGATAATTTTTTTGTAAAATTTTCATATCCAGGTTCAGCTTTCAATAACATCTTGGGAGAATTGTCCGGGAAATCAGTCGATTAAAATGTATGCTTCGGCCAGTGATACTTATGGCGATCAAAATAAAATTATTTTCTCTTCATCTATTGATATATCACGAGAGGTCAAGGATTTAAGTGAACTTACATTAGAGATTCATCGATGTGATTTTGACATGAAAAAGTGTGAAAAACCATTTCCGCTGAGATTCACTGATTTATGCAAAAGTTTCAATGACAAGGGCGCATTTTTTTACGGGTTTAGATCAATGATAAAACCACCATTTTTATGTCCGATCAAAGCAAATAAATACACTGCCCCTAATGGTTCATTTGACTTAAGTGCGGCTTACTTTCTTCCCATAAGAGACAATGTTTGGGTAACGAAAACAAAGGTTTATTGCAACGAAGGAAAGAAGCGGGAATTGGTATTATGTTTAATGACAACTTTAAATTTTAAAGTATCTCGAACCAGAGCTAGGAGAGTTGGTTCTCGTCAAAAGAAGATAAATCAGAAGTGACTTATTATTTTATTTTCATTGAAAAATGTGTGATTATATTTTTTATTATAAATCAATCTAAGTTGCTAGATTGGTGTTTATCGGTAAATATTGAATATAAAGTTATTAGTGATCCAGGTCCACTTTCACCACTAAGTTAGCTTAGATGATTTCTAAGTCAATAAATAAACAAGAAAAAATTGGAGATGGACAAGTCCACATGGGGGAGCTTCAAATTATGCCACAGCATAATTTTAAAGATACTCCGGCCTATGCAGGATTCTAAAATACATAATTTCTCTTGATTAAGATTTCTTAGATTAAGATCAAGATTAGATTAAAATCCAGATTAATTTGGGGTAAATTTGTATGGCAGGTACTTGAAATATTGAAGGTACAGACCCCATTTTCTCAGAATATTTGTCCCCCGATGAGAAACTCATCTTTCCAAAATATTTTTAAGATCGCTTGAAAACTGTGGAAGTAATTACGATTTTAAAAAGTTACTAACAGACAGAGTCGAAATGTGACGGCGAAAAAAAAGTTATTTTTTTTTAACTTTTCTCGACGTTTCATGACATTTTAAGCATATTTAAGCAAGAAAAAATTTTGAATTTTTTTTGCCAATTTCAATACGATGGCCCATGTTAATATGGTATGGGGCCGTCGTAAAACTTCAACATTTTGTTTTGCAAATCAGAGATCGCGTTCATTTAGAGAAATGCAAACATGCTGCATCAAAATTTAAAATCAGAGAATAATTGATGCTTAGAATCTATCGAGACAATAAAACCAAATCTTGAGACTTAAATAATTCCAAGCTTGATACTTATTCAATTGTAGCGCCCTCTGCTGTCGATAAATTGAAATATAATGTATGAAGACAAGTTGCAGCATGTAGGTATTAAGGAATAAAATTTCTCAAACACACTTCATATCTGATTCTTATATTCTTTTTGATATTCTACAATTATTATCTTTATTCAACTGATAATTTACCTATTGATCTTTTCCCAAATGCCACCAAAAGCAATATGAATTGATCATTCGTTAAGCAAATTTTTCAACCCGTAGACATGTTTACAATTAAAAGTTTTCTATCATGTAAACCTAATTCCCTTTGCGATTTTTTCCATTTCGCATTACAGTCAAAGCTCTTTAAACTGATACGATCGATGAACTGATAGCAATTAAATATCGCTTTGCTTTTAATTAAAGGGATTTTTGAGGTGAACCAATAAAAAAAATTGAGGATTGATATTATTTTGAAGCAATTTGTCAAACATACCGGACGCCAAAAATGAATTGTCTCTTAACTTTTGCCTATTTGATTTTTCTGAAAACGATGATGTGCTTGGTAACTTTATTTTTAAAATTCTTAACGATTATTCTTTTGTAAAATTTTAATATTCAGGTTCAACTTTCAATAACATCTTGGGAGAACTGTCCTGGAAATCAATCGATTAAAATGTATGCTTCGGCCAATGATACTTATGGCGATCAGAATAAAATTTTTATCTCTTCATCTATTGATATATCACGTGACGTAAAAGATTTAAGTGAACTTACATTAGAGGTTCATCGATGTGATTTTGACATGAAAAAGTGTGAAAAACCATTTCCGCTGAGATTCACTGATTTATGCAAAAGTTTCAATGACAAGAGCGCATTTTTTTATGGGTTTAGATCAATGATAAAACCACCATTTGTATGTCCGATCAAAGCAAATAAATACACTGCCCCAAATGGGTCATTTGATTTAAGCGCGGCTTACTTTCTTCCCATAAGAGACAATGTTTGGGTGACAAAGGCAAAGGTTTATTGCAATGAAGGAAAGAAGCGGGAATTGGTGTTATGTGTCTTGACAGCTATAAAGTATAAAGTATCTCAAACAAGAGCTAGAAGAGTTGGTTCCCGTCAAAAGAAGATAAATCAGAAGTGAGAATTAAATCGAGAAATGTGTGATTAAATTAATTGTTATAAAGCCATCTAAGTTGCTAGATTNTTAACTGGATCGGCGATCCAAAAAATTCTTGGATCGCCCAACTCTGGCTATGGCCATGCATTGCATAGATGAAACACACGAAATGGCTGAAGGCAAGATAATCAAAGAAGTAAGAGACGAGAGACAATTGGACGCTTGGGAAAGTTTGTACATAGAAAATGGAACGGAACTGACGAACATTGACGATCCTCCGATAAAGTCAAGTCTTTTTAAAATTGCACTCACACATTGACGTGTACTGAGAGATAATCCTTAGTACGAATCGAGATTCTGATGATGATAGCCGATGCGCTATCGAAATGCGCATAAATAAGGTAAACTTAGTTAAAGTAATAAGTAATAAAAGTCTTCGGTATTCGTGTTCAGTGTTTTAGAATTCAAGAAAAATGTATTTGGCTTAAATGCTGAATCAAAAATTGTGCGAGAGAAAATGTAAAGTTTTCACAAATTTTCTTTTTCTGTTGTCTTAGATATAAATTTTCTTGTCATAATATTTCTTTGTTAACATGGAAAACATGATAAAATGTAAACATGTCCATAGTTTTCCTAATTTTGAAACTGGAAAAAAACCATGAATACATAACAGGCAGCAGGAACTTCATGACTTGACTTGACTTGAGACTTGTGTGTTGTAATAATATTTGACTTATTATTTGACATGGCCTGAAAAATTCTTATGACTTGACCTACTCGGGTGATTTGATTCTCATTGATTTTCAAACAGATCGAATAAAAACTTTCATTAGACTGTAAATTAAAACATGTGTTATAACTGGTTCTACTGTGAATATAAGAATTTAAACTAAGTGAATAAGTATGAATTTTCTACGGTAGAGAATTTTCTTCGATTAATTAATTAATGGCCATGATCAAGTGTGGCACTCTTAATTGTGGCCATTTTGTTTATAAATTAATATTTCAACTAAAAAATTGTATTGAACATGAAACAATTCTATCATTTGATTCATCTTCTTTGACATTGAAGGGACGATTAGTTTATTGATTTAAATTTCAGAAGGATTTAAAATTAAATGACGGCAATTAAAATAATCACATATCGTTTTGAGTTAAAAACGTGAAATTATCTGACTGATTAAACTTATTTTAATCTGTTGATGTCCCTTGAGTGTCATTTAATGACAATGAATGACCGCTGTTCATGGTAACATTATTTGAAAAGCATTATTCAGTATCAATTTTAGTGGGTTTAGCAATTCTGAACATTTCAGCTGAAGATTTAAAGATTTTTGTTCTCAATCAGTTCCAGAAGATGTTTTTCAGCAACATGCACTTGTTTTCAATCCTCATCTTTAAAGTAATGCTGAAACTAAGTCATAGCGTGGTAGATATAAAGAAATATTCTTCTTAAGGTGTACTTTGTGATTGTTCATTTTATCAGGTTCATTTTTCCATAACATCTTGGGAAAATTGTCCTGGAAATCAAACAGCTAAATTTTATATTGACATCAAGGAAGCTTTTGGTGCTCCCAACAGAGTGACATTTTCTGGATATATTGATGTTGAACGAGAGATCACAAGCATATCGGAAGTCTTAGTTGAAACTAATCGGTGCGACATTGAAATGAAAACATGTGAAAAATTATTTCCAGTCAGATTTACTGACTTATGTAAAAAAATCAACGATAAGACAGCGTTTTATTATGAAGTTTTTGCAGCAATACATCCACCTCTCAAATGTCCAATTGAAGTTAACCGATATACGGCTAACAATTGTTCAGTAGACTTGAGTGCATTGTCTTTTCTTCCTTTAAGAGATCACGTTTGGAGAACCAAAACTAAACTTTTTAGTGGTAAAGGAAAAGCACGAGAAATTATATTTTGCTTAGCAAGTGAAATGAAAATTGTTCAGGTTAGAAGGAAAAAAACTTGAATCAATAAGCAACTTGTCAGAAATTTATAACTTTTACCTAAAATGAAATTTAATAAAGCTTTTATATGATATTCTACAATGGATTATGCGGAAATTCTGCTGCAACATTGCCAAATTGCTAAGTTATGTGGTGTCTTGATATTCTACAATTTTCTATTTTATTCAACTGATAATTTACCTATTGATGTTTTCCCAAATGTCACCAAAAGCAATAAAATTGATCATTCGTTAAGCAAATTTTTTAACCCGTGGACATGTTTACAATTAAAAGTTTTTCTATCATGTAAACCTAATTCCCTTTGCGATTTTTTTCCATTTCGCATTACAGTCAAAGCTCTTTAAACTGATACGATCGATGAACTGATAGCAATTAAATATCGCTTTGCTTTTAATTAAAGGGATTTTTGAGGTGAACCAATAAAAAAAATTGAGGATTGATATTATTTTGAAGCAATTTGTCAAACATACCGGACCCCAAAAATGAATTGTCTCTTAACTTTTGCCTATTTAATATTTCTGAAAACGATGACATGCTTGGTAAATTTATTTTTATAATTTTAAACGATAATATCTTTGTAAAATTTTCATATCCAGGTTCAACTTTCAATAACATCTTGGGAGAACTGTCCTGGAAATCAATCGATTAAAATGTATGCTTCGGCCAATGATACTTATGGCGATCAGAATAAAATTTTTATCTCTTCATCTATTGATATATCACGTGACGTAAAAGATTTAAGTGAACTTACATTAGAGGTTCATCGATGTGATTTTGACATGAAAAAGTGTGAAAAACCATTTCCGCTGAGATTCACTGATTTATGCAAAAGTTTCAATGACAAGAGCGCATTTTTTTATGGGTTTAGATCAATGATAAAACCACCATTTGTATGTCCGATCAAAGCAAATAAATACACTGCCCCAAATGGGTCATTTGATTTAAGCGCGGCTTACTTTCTTCCCATAAGAGACAATGTTTGGGTGACAAAGGCAAAGGTTTATTGCAATGAAGGAAAGAAGCGGGAATTGGTGTTATGTGTCTTGACAGCTATAAAGTATAAAGTATCTCAAACAAGAGCTAGAAGAGTTGGTTCCCGTCAAAAGAAGATAAATCAGAAGTGAGAATTAAATCGAGAAATGTGTGATTAAATTAATTGTTATAAAGCCATCTAAGTTGCTAGATTGGGGTTTTTCGGTAAATATTCCATACAAAATTATTATTTATCCATGTCCACTTTCAACAGTAAATTAGCTTAGATGATTTATAAGTCACTAAATAAATAAGGAAAAAAAAACTTGTTAACATGTTGTTTTGCAAATTAGATAAACTTATTTAAATTTAGTTTTAAAATACGTCAGTCATATAATGACTTTGCTATTTAATCACGTGAAGTACTTGAAATAATCTTTTTTCCTCGAAACCATCAGCGTTCATTTAGAGAAATGCAAACATGCAGCATGAATGGTCAAAGTTTAAAATCAGAGAATAATTGTTGCTTCAAATCTATCGAGACAATAAATACAAATCTTGAGACTTAATTCAAAACTGGTTTTTTCTCGCTTTCTGCCAACTCTTTCGGTAAGTTTGAATTTAAATAAATCCAAGCGATCGATCGCGATCAATTCGTTTCACTAATTAAAAGGCCCGTATTGGTAAATCATTAATATAATAAAATAAAACAGCTCAAGAGATGCCTCGAATTCGGAACCTTTTTTGACGTCGTCATGATAAATCGCTGAAGTGCCATTCATAATTTTTTTTATAACGAACTGCAAACACTTCTTAGAACTCTATCTAATATAAACACTTCAATCATGATGATTATTTGAAGATCCTTCGAAAAGACAAGAAGCTATATAAGAGTCTTGTAATTTTGAGAAAATCGTTAGTTCTTTCTTGAATAGCGTAATATCGAGTTGGATATCTCCTGCTTGTTCAACGTTGAGAAAGATGAAATATTTGGCACTATTTTTCACATTTACCACTTTTGCTCTTGCTGCGAAGCTTCGTAAGTAAAATTGTCGTGTCATCAACAAATAAATATGATATTAAGATAAATTTTCTTTATCAAACACAGCTGCAAATCAAGAAAAATGTGCACCAGGAAATTCAAACTGTTTACTTAAAGTGGCAAATGAAATCATTTCGAAAGGAAAAACTGGATATGCTGAAATTGGTTTGCCGGTTTTGGATCCATTGAGAATTGAGAAACTTAATATTGAGCAAGGTGGAGAAAGTCCAGTGAATCTCAAGATTTATTTGAAGAATGTTGATATGTCGGGATTATCGGATGTTAAATTTAATAAAATCGAAGGGTTTTCTGCGAACTATGACAAGGAAAAGACTGAATTCCGCTTCCGTTATCCAGTTCTTAATATTTATGGACCTTATAAGATGGAAGGCAGAGTCTTAGTGCTTCCAGTTCAAGGAAATGGAATTATGAACCTGACAATGTGTAAATTATTGAAAGTTTTCTTATTTGATTCCGATTTTTTAATTATCGTAACTTACAGATGATAATGACATTGTTTACAAAGTTCAAACAAAAAAAGTCGTGAAAAATGGAAAAGACTACATACAAATTGATAAATCAAAGCTTGACTTTGTCACACCAAGGTTAGTAAATCAACTACTTCTAAGTAATTATTAAACATCTCAATTTATTTTTTCCAGTCTCACAGTGCACTTTGGGAATTTATTTAATGGCAACAAAGAGTTAGGAGAGACAACAAATCGTTTCTTTAATGAAAACTGGAAAGACATTCTCAAGGAAATTAAACCGGCAATCAGTGAATCGATCGCAGCAGTTTATCAAGCGCTCATTAATAATGTGCTATCAAACATTCCGCAAGAAGAATTGTTTGCAGTCTGAATGTGTTTACTAACATTTGTAAAAAAAAATCGAAACAAAAGATTTTTGCAGAAAAATTTAAATTTTGCATTTTTTTTATTCAGGAAATCATTTTTTCAAGCTTTGTTTTACGATCTTAACGTTGAACAATAAAAACGTTCAAACGTCTTTAAGTTGTTTGCAAAATTGACGTAGCTGGAATGTCGTGATACTTCACAAACTTTTGCATGTCGTAAGTTTCGTTTAAATCGTCTACGATGAAAACTTGTAAAATATCTTCGAATTCGTACGATCTCTTCATGTAAACATCAGTCAATTGTAGGTCGCTAATGCTGATAATTCCTAATCGTGTTGGAAATATTGTCAATGTGAATTCTTTTGTTCTTTCTGGTTCAATCATTCCTAAACTTTGTTCCGACGATCCAGTGTAAGCGTGACCACGTCTAGATTTCATATTGAAATTCAAATTCAATTCCATTGATCGATTACTTGTGTTAGTGACACGGCATTTGAAGACAAAAGGAGTTGCTATTGTACACATGCTTTCGGCTTCAATAACAGTTAATCTTAAATCTCCATATTCAACAGGCTAGAAATGAGTCATTAATTAAATAAGCCCAACACTGTTTAATAATTAACTTACACTTCTTTGCAATTGACTTGTCTGAAGTCTGCCACGCTCAGCAAAGTTTGAAGATCGCCAAACAATGTCGACCTTTCCTATGTTGTTTGCTAACTTCAACACTTTTAAATCACTTGCAATTGATGGAATCGGTTTAATACAATAAAGAAATTGACACGAGTTTTGTGGTTGTAAACGTCCTATAGATGAAAATATGGATTTTCCATCTGCTGTTTGATTCAACGATGTTACTGTGTATTGCTCAGAAGCTTCCAACTCAACACGTTCAAGACAAATCGTGCCTGCTGTTATATTTTGAATCTAAAGTTTAAATGAAAATAATCAGAAACTTCTATAAATTACAAGAATATAATTCATCTTACTGTTGCTTCCAAAAACACTTCATCGGTCTCAGAGTTGTAAAATTTTGTTGCAACATCCAAAGGTTTAAGGACTTGAAATTTAAAGAACTTCCTGAAGCTAAGAGGAAGTCCCGCTGGTGATATATAATTAACTTCGCAAACGAGAATGTGAGTGCCAATTTCTTTAACTTCGTAATGAATAACATCATCAAGTGTCTCTCCGTCGTTCAGTGAAGTTGGAATTGTTTTGTTGGCATGAATTGGAATCGACACTCTGGAATTGTTAGATTGCAAATCACACTTCACTGAAACTGAGTTTACTGGATGCGTTGTGCAATTATGAACACAGATATAACTTGAAAATGTTTCGCCAAGATAAATATTTCCAAATGCTTGTGGTAATTGCAACAATTGATTTTGTGGTAAAACATTTTCGTTTTTTGGATCAAATTGTAATAAATCACTTTTTTCACTAAAGATTGTGTTTCCAAAATTCGTTAATCCTGGTCGTGTTAGTCTCATAACTTTTAAAGCCAGCATATGCTCCACTTGTACGTCCATTTTTGAGATTTTCTTATTTTTTAATTTTTGTAAACAGTCAGGGACAATGCATCGATGTGAGAAATTCTTCGCTTCCTTTATCGCTTCCCATTATTTGAATTTTTCATTTACGTTAAAAATCTTCAACTTCTCTTTATTCAAATAAGAATTTTCCTTTGTCGTAATGAATATCTAAGTATATGGATATTTTGAGACAATCACAGGAATTTCCCAAATGAAACATGTAAGATTGGCACTTTGTCAAAAAGTATATTTATATTTAATAACTTTTTATTACTTGAAAGTTGAATAAATAGTTTTGAGGCTTCATGAATCTTAAAAAATAATTTACGGATAGTTTAAAATCTTGATTCATCCACATATCGTCATTGCATTGCTTGATTGAAGTTTAATTTTTAATTGTTTAAATTTTTAATTTTCGCTGGCATCTAAATTTTTTAATTGTTTCCAATGATGCCTCCAAAGTTTTGATTGCTATTTATTTTACGAATAAGAAATGTTTTCCAATAGAATTTTTCTGAGATTCATGCTGAGCAATATTGAATTTATGTATATTTTTTTCGGGGTTTTCCAGTTATACATATTTTCCTTTAAATAAATTCATTAAAACTTCAAGTCAAAAACACGTGAAAAAAGGTAATTAAATTCATATTTACATTTTTTATCATTTTACTAATAAAAAAAGAAATGAAATTTGTGCAAGTCAATCAAATATAATCAATAAAAACCTCATCGATCGATATGTCTAAAGTGTAGATAAATTTGTCACGCTTGTCATTTGTTTCAACACTTTTACCTAGTTGTTTTCTTCGACGTTATCATTAAATTCAATTTACACAATACAACAGATAACATTTTCGAGTTTATTGTCTTGCATGATATTTATAAGGTACAAGAAATACATAATAGAAACGTGCGAAGTGTGTTGAACCCGTGTGAATTTAAAGTTCTCACAAATATAATAACCGCTTATCGCAATCAATAAAAATTATAATCCACATTCACCAGATAAACTCTTTTTTAATCTTTCTAGGGAAGTGAGTGTCTAAAGGTTCTTCTTCAATGTTTTATTTTTATATTACAAGTGCAAACATTGAGCCAAACTTTTATCTTCTGTTTATTTAACAAACTACCTTCAAGCTGTTTAGACTCGATTGTTGAAGTTGGCACTCTCTATGAATGCTAAAAATCTTGAAACACAAAAAATAAAACTTCCTTATGCAGCTAACCTTTGAGTTTCGTTCAACTTAAAAAAGTAAACCTAATGTAGGTTTGAGGAACAAGCATTGTAACTTCGAGTATTATCTTATAAAATCTAATTAATGGAATGTCTAAAGGTCTCTTTCATGTTCTCAATTATTGTCAATTCATTATTCAATTTACTTAATTTTTATAAAAGTTGATAAAACTTTAAAAAATATTTTTTAAATAATTCTAAAAGTAACTTCAACCATTGCATTGTGATAAATTTGAATGTTCTCTGTGTCTGCATACACAAAAAGAAAAAAAGAATGAACCGAAAATAAAACACTTTCTGACAACACTGGAGGTCTATAGTTCAAAAAGAATTTCTTTTGATTGTTATTACATATGTATCAATCACTTTACAAAAATATTCATACATATCCATATTGGAAAGATGTAAATATTGTTTAATTTCTTTCATTTTCTGTTCGAAACAAACCACATGTTCAGTTAATATCGAGACTGTGGTAAGAAATATCAAAAAACGATCCTAACAAAAACATTCAATGGTTGTTCGAGAAGATTTGTGGAAAATGTGTCATTTAAAATGTATATTTTTGAAGCAATTAGCCGGAGTTGAAATAAATTTGATGAAACACATATCGATGCTCCGTAAATTATACAATTAGTAATGTGTGATGTGCGGTTAATAACATTCACCTCTGGTTGCCATCATTTCTAAAATTTAAACGATAAAGAATCAATTAGTGTAGAAAATCGAGGTCTTGGTATGTGTTTAGTCTATCTTGAGATTAATGTTTGAACAAGAGAGCGCCAAACATTTCAGCTTTATGATTGTATCAAAGCGTCCATGACATTTGTTGCCTATTTGAAAAGACGAAACAATAAATCAAATTTTATCAATTGCACAGTTCTTTTTCGTCACTTTATTATCAAATGTTTTTCTTAAATATGTTAAGCAATTTACCACTTGACCACTTTTTTTTGTTGTGGGAGTTAAATGAAATAAATCTGTTAAGATCCTTTATCGTGTAATGTTTTAGATAAACAAGTTTCATTCCTTTTTTTTTTGCTTCCTACATTATTCCTTTTGAGTAACTGTAGCTGGAGGGATAATGGATAAACAGAAGTCTTCATTGTGTCTCATGAATCTAAATACATAGTGTTTCATGAGGCGAATGTTTGTTTTAGCGGTTTATGTTTGACTTGGTCTCCCATCAAAATAAATATCAAATTTCCTGAAGGTTTTATTTAAGTGGGAATGATTAGAAAAACGTCACAATCTAAATATCAATTTTAAGATAAGATTTGAAGTGTAAGTTTTTAGGATTTATTTCTTCATTGTTGTTTTTCTCTTTCTAAAATATAAATTATGTTACATTCTTTCTGTACAGATCTTAAATGCACAAAAATGTCCTTAATTACTTAAATAAACAAGAAAAATCAAGTGGATTTATCTACTTCCTTCAATGATGATATTCAATCAAAATCTCAAATATCAAAATATGATCAATAAACACATTTGAGAAATATTTACGTTTGATTCTTTTACATTTATTCATTGTTTAGAGGACATGAATATAAGTTATCGGTATCATAATTTGGTAATTGAATTTCTATTATGAAGAGCAATCATTGGCAATCGAGCATGAAGCTGTGCACCAATGAAAATCATGATGAGGCAAGTGTTCTTCGGAAGACTACAGAAAATTTTCCTAACGCGCATGGGAGAAATATATGATCAGAAAATGTATCTTAGGATTAACATATAACATCTGTGAAAACAGAAAATGTTTCATGGAAAGCTCCACCCACGGTACGTTGAAGATCCCAACTTCATAGACCTGAAACATTTCTTTAGAGATTTTTTCTATTATTTTACTAGTTTCAAGGATGATACAAACATTCAGTATCATATAGGAAAGTATCTGATGTGCAAGATTATTTAACTGTTTGTCGACCACCAAAGTTGAATCATTTGTTCGGAAAATGTGGTGAAAAGACAACGAAAAATTGAAGTGAATATAATTAAGAAATATAAAAAAATGTAAGTTATATCTTGACTTAAGTGAATGCATATTTAAAGAATAAAAATTATTTAAACTCACAATTGGATACTTAATAAAATTTTATTCACAAAATTAAATTAAATTTAATTATAATGAACTTAAAATATAGTATGAAAGTTATGTTAAAGAAACCGAATAGTCAACAAAATCAGCAGATATCACGAATACCAAAGTGTGCTAGATGCCGTAATCATGGCATTATAAGGTATTTAAATGAAATTTTTATCAAGTTGAAAAGTTTTTTATGTGATAATTTGATAAGAAATATCGAACGATCGAAATTTCAGCGGATTACGAGGACATAAAAAATCTTGCACGTACAAAAATTGTCGGTGTCCTAAGTGCGACTTAATTTATGAAAGACAACGGATTATGGCAGCTCAGGTAAAGTTAAAAACCGGAATTTTTTAATATGAATATTGATTTGAACAATGTAGTTTGTATTAAAATCACATTTCAGTTCACAATTCTTTAATTATTAAATAGAAATGTTCCATTTTATCAGATAAACAAGACTAAAAATTTCTCTTGATTCATTTAAATTACATATAAAAATCAATTTAATTTTCTGCAATTGCTGATGAGACTTCAACGGAATCACGGAAACAATAAACTTAACTTACTTTGTATTTGCTCGACCTTAGAATAGAAATTCAAGATTTATTAAATCAGCATTTTAAGGAAATTGTTGATCTACAAAGATTCCACTGATCTACAAAATCCTCAATGAAATGTGAAGTGTCATCAATTTTAAGAGCTACTCTTACTCATAAATCTCACATTGACTTCATTTATTTCTTGTTTTTAATCGTTTCAATGTCATTTAATTTTCGTACCACTTTCAATAAATTGAATTGAAACTTATGATTTTGTTTAAGGTTGCACTGAAAAGGCAACAAGCCGTTGAAGATGCTATCGCATTGCGATTGGCATCAACTGAGAGTGGAAAAGCTTTAGAAGCGTTACCGCCGGGAAAAATTTTCGGCATGACGATCACTGAGCCAAAGACAGAAACAACGAGCTCATCATTTTCTGATATCAAAATTCCAACAGAATCTAATAAAAAACCTGATTCATCATCAGTGTCATCAACTTCGAAATCTCCGCTTGTTTCTCAGAATGCAATTGAAATGCTATCATCATTGTTTCCACATCGCAAGCGATCAGTTCTTGAATTAGTTCTCAGACGTTGTGACCTCGATTTGCTGAGGTATGAAGGAAATATTCAATTGATGTTTGATTTATTATTTTTATTCATTTAATCTTTTTTTAAAGAGCGATTGAACAATGCAGCAAGACACAACAGCCGTCACAAATTTATCCACCTCATTCTTCACCAGATTCAAGTCCGGAAATAATTCAAAGCGCTTTTCGGCCGATTAATTCAAATTCATCATCGTCATCATCTATTACACCAAACTTACATCAACTCTCATCAATTCCAACCCAGAATCCATCAAGCTACACGTCACTCATTGCTTATCCCAACAAATGGTTTCTTCCAATACCTGTAACAATGAGTCATCATCATTTGGCGAACTTCCCTCGATGCAGTTTGGCTAATTGTACGATGTGTTTGCATCATCCTGCAGCAATTTAAATACTAAACATTCGCTTTAAATGTTGCAGTTTCCTTTCTAGAATAATTATTAGGCTGTTCAGATATTTTGAGCTTCAAAAAAAAATTGGCATTTAAATTTGGCCTACAAATCGCGAATTATTGACATAAATGTTAGAATTTTGGACTACTCATAAAAATTTCTTAACCAAAAATGCTTGCACAGCTGAGTGTCTTTGTTAATGTATGTTAATTTCAAAAACATTTAATTTTATTGAAACAATCTTTATCTGGCTCTATCTAGAAAATCCTAAAAATTATTCAAACTTAACATTTAATTATAAAAAAATCTAATTTATTACCTTATCAAGAATCTGAATAGCTTACAGTCGTTTTAACTTTGAGAAGATATGACTAGTTAAATTATATTAATTATGCAAGATATTTGCAAAATTATTGAACATTAAATATTAAAAATATGCAAAGATTTGTTCATAAAATTATCAACATAAAATAAAGTACTGAAAATAATTTTCCTTAAACTATTTGGAAGCCGTTTTAATTGTCTTCCACAATGACATTTTTCAGAGTTTATTAACCGTTCATCATTTATGTTATCGTTAATGTCTTTGTTTGAAGTTTTAAATCGTTTAAATGTCTTGTTCTTTAATGCACCTTTCATGTCACAAAGCAATAGTGTTATAAAAACTAATTAATAAACTCTTTACATGGCTGAAATATCTCTTTAATAACAAGAGGTTGAGATTTAATTTGAATTAAGATTAAATTAAATTTTTCTTCTGTCATCATATTTTGACAACCGATTTAATCCAACAATGAAGCTGTCAGATTGGAGTTGGATCAGTAATCTCTAAACCCAAAGCTTCCAGATTACCTTGGGATTAAGAATCTCTAGGAGTAAAGATCTTTTCATTAAACATTGATAAGGTATGAAAGTGGAGGCAAAGAACTTTGAGATAAGAATTGTTGATGCCTTCGTTCGACACAATACTTCCCACCCGACCCGCCATATACGAAATAATTTGACGCATTAGCGACGATAATGATGATCTTTTTATTATTTTCTTGTATCAGTCTCGAAAGTTTTAATTTATATTTCATGGCAAATGATCCGAATGATCATCTTCGTTGATGATTGTTTGGTGAGTTTTTTGCGTCGCGAATTTCTTCCCACGACGGTCATCACTGAATAACATCACACGAGTTATTTATTCACAACCATGTGTTATCAAACGAAATTCACAAGTTTATCGTAAATTTCATCACGTAAACAAATCGATAGGATGTGACAAAATGTTGTTATTCTTGTGATCATTTCTAAAATTCTAAATTAAAGTTGTCATTTGTACTTAAGTTCTACAAGTGCGTTAATTCGTAAAGTTATATTAAGCATTATGACAAATTTCTTTGACCCGTCATATTATTTTTAGCAATGCATAAAAACAAGGAAGAAGCAATTAATATTCTTTAGCGGTCAACGTCGTAAAGCGTTCAAGTTAGCGTAAATATTTTTTATTTAGATTCTTTTCCTGGTACATACTCGTTAATAACGTGGTTGCCAAATTCGGAAGAAAACAACTTCGGGGGAGGAACGTTCAATTGAACAATTTTTTCCCAAATATACGAGATAGATATAAGTTTTAGAATGTACGTACGACATTCGTGGCTTAATTTTATTATTATGAAACTATTAAACTTGCATGTTAAAGTCAACTCGGAATCAATGTTGAATACATAAAACCTGTTTTTAATTCTGAAGAAGGCTTCTAAAGCGTTTTTATTTTGTAAACAATCGGAAATTAAAAATAGAAGCGAGGAAAAGCTCATAATCTAACGTTCAATTCACCAACACAATACAAGTTTTGAGAAATGAAATGCAACAAGATGTGTTTTGTATTTATGTTGGAAGCCCTTCTGTTTTTTTATGTTTCTTCTTCATACCATTCGCTTCTATATAAATACTTATCAAAAAATAAAAACAAAAAACATACGATTTGTCTTCTTTGTGTGTGTATATTTGAAGTAGAGGAGACATCAATAAGCAACAAGGGGTAAATCATCGTAGTGCTTCTGCCGGGTGCCTACAAATGAAGCATCAGAAATCACTAGTGCTTTTCAAGAAAAATGGTCTTTTTCCAAGAATTTGCTTACATTTTCTTGGAATTTGTCTAGTGCTTCAATGCACCAATGGTGCTTCTGCCGGCCAATTTTATTCGATGAACAGCCCCATGATAAGCAAGTTTAAGAAAGAGAAATAGTGAGAAAGAGAAATAACTTGAATCAAGGGCTGTGATATGGGGCTTGATATGGGGATACAAGTGAGAATGTTCAACAAGGGGTTGTCAACGTGTTGCTCCTCAGAGGGGTTTAGCAAGCAGAATATTCTCAGGCGTTTCTACCTACCTACCTAGAAGTTTCTAAGGTATTCTCGAAATTAACGTCGCTGTTCAGCGAAAAGGCAAAATAAGAAACAAAGCGAACGAGTGACTCAGTTTAAAATTTATAATGTCAGCTCTATGTTATTCAGTCAGACTTTAATATTGCAATGCACAAGCATTGTCTATTTAATAAAAGTTGTCAAAAAAGTGTTTAAATAACATTAAAAAATAGAGGAATGTTCTGTTCTAATTTCACGAAGCTTTATCGTTTTGAAACTATCAAAATAAGTGTCGTTTGAATGTTTCATGAAATTTTTAACCTCAACACATTTGTGTTCTTCAACTTGTAAACTGCCCCCTGATGGTCAAATCTGGTTGCGAAAACAAGAGAGCGAGAATGTTTCGCGTGTACAGAGTCAATTAAGGTAAATTAAATTTATTTAAAATTTGTAGCTAATTTTTAAATTGAATTCCTAGAAATAATTTCACTATTTTAATATCGAATTAACCAATGAAATGATCCATTTGACCCTTTCTAAGAATGATGAAGTGTTTAGATTAATAGGATAGAAATTTGCTTCTGTTTTTCATACTAAAAATGCATTATCGATGACTCAATTACAGTCTGTAATTGAGTCGACGATAATGCATGCCAAAATCAAGATGCAGTTGAATGTGTTTTTGCTCACTTCTTCAGGGAGTTTATGAATGAAAATGTTCTTTCAAATGATTACGTGAATATCCTGACGTCAAGGATGGAGAATGTTCTCGAAAGTTCTCATAAGTATTCGAAGATATCTTTGTGTGGGTATCTATGCTTCTTTTCACCGAAACGGCTGGTGTTGTTATGAATTCTTTTATTTCCATCTCTCTCAAAACAAGACAAGAAAAAGCAGCGAAGAAATTCTAATTACGTCGTATTTTCAAATTTATAAAAATTGTCTTTTGATAAATTAAGAAGTCTTATCGTAAGCGTCAACTCTTGTCTTTGAATCTATTGAGTTGAAGTTGAATGAAATAATAAAACGCTTATGAATCGTAATGGATCAATGGAATCAAAATAAATAATTTCAACTTTAATCAAAAGTAAGAAATTAACAAATTTGTTTTAATAAAAAATAATGAACCCTTTAATTATTTCAATTTCATGTTCCTTAATTAGTTTGAATCAATTGTTTCTTAATTCTTTGATGGTAACAAAACTTTAATTGTTCTTTACAATATTAAATAAAATTTTTTCCATAATCCTAACCAGTCATAACAGTATCAGAGGCAGCTGAAACATGAGATTTAATACGCAAAAGAATTAATCAATAATGCCGGCTTTTTGCTTGGTGAAAGATAATTCCTAGGTAGGTAGCTAGTAGAGAAAATATTCAGTATTATTCAGGGAAGAAATTGCGACGTAATTTCATCGAATGTTCTTCATACAATTTATTGTCGCTATTCTGTCATTTCTTTTAAATAAGAAGATAGCAAAGACAATTCCTATTAACGTTATCAATTAAATTAAGAAAGACTATTCTTCCCAAATTGAAAACATTGTGAATTAAACTATAAATAAATTCATTCGTTATTTCTTACAAACACGAACGAACTCGAGTGCTAACGTATACATTGACTAGAGTTTTCATATTCCATCAACGATGAAGCAAACAAAATGCGTAGTTTATTTTTATGAAATAAACGAAGACCGTATGCGAGGATTCAGGGCTGCGAGAAAAATTTTGTACAATAATAAGAAGCAATCGGAACAATAGGGAGAGACTTTTGCAACCCAGTTTTAAAGCAAGCTGAGTTAAAATATTTGAAAATGTTAGTGGAGTAACTCAAAAAGTGGCAATCATTATTATTGGTCGTATTTTAGTCGGACTGTCAGAAAAAGTTTTTTATGAATTTCAAAATTTTTGATATGATTTGGCATCAATTTACTAAATGATTAAGCAGAAACAAAATATATTTGAAAATATTGATTCAAATTCAAAGCTTCATATGACATGTTTATAAATAATTAAATAACAAAAATAATTTTATAAAAACGCTTTTCAGAGTTCACTGATAGTTCACCCAAACTTGTCCATTCGTTACTCAACTTCTCAATGCTTCGAATCGTTTTCATTTGACGACTTCAGTTTGTGAGAAACCATCAGAGAGTGAACAGACCAAGAGTGAAATGGAGTAGGAACGCTAAAATTGAAAGAAAAACTCAAAGAAGTTTTTTTCTTTAAATGAAAACATCGGCCTTTGTGTGTGTCTCGCTATATTAGCGTTTAACAATCATCAGTTTTTTAAACCATTACCATCCATCCCACTGAAGAAAAAGATCTGGAATAGGCAAAAACAGGAAAATTCCAGAGCAAAGTGATTTAAAAAGTGCAAACCAAGAAAATAAAGGAAACAAATTTTCATTTTTCTTATCGAAATTGAATGTTTTCCTTCCAACAACCCACAATACACCACACAGCGCAATTCAAAAGTTGTTTTTGAAAAGGAAATTCGAAGAAAGTTACGTTTTTCCTAATAAAAATCGGATATAATAGCAGGAAAACCTAAAAAGTTCATCAGATGTTGAAAATTTTAAAAGAAGAAGGAGAAACCGATATTTAATATATGCCAGAGGTCTTAAAGAACGTTTGTAAAGCTGCGATAAAAATAAAGTGATTTTCTCGTTGGAAACAAGAATTAAATAATATTCCAAAGAGCACCCAATATTTGTTGAAAGAACCACCATTTGAAGATTTAAATAAACGTAAAAATTATTCAATTTTTGAGAAAATCATAAAAAGTAGCGAATCTGAAAGATAGAGAAGGAAAGAGTGTGAAAGAGAAGCTGCAGAAAAATGGTGGAACGAATTGTTGAAGAGGAAAAGACATCGGATGTTAATTATGGTAAGTTTCTTTACAAACATGACATTGCTGTGTAGAATGCACAAATTTTAAATAAAAATATTAACAAACTTTATAATGCCTTCTCATCCTACAAAATCATTAAAATGAAAAATGAACTCTAGTCTATTGGTACGGAAAGAAGTTTTCATTCAATCTCACTAACACAATGTTGAACAGAAAACAGATTTATTGACTTGCTTGCGTTGGGCTCTAAATTTACTTGTATAGAACACTGTCATCATATGATATTATATTTGTGTGTGTGTGTGTTGTTTTGAGTGAGAGAAAGAGAGTACAGCGATTCATTATATACATAAGGGAATTGGAAAATAACATCAACAACACGAAAAAAACAATAACAAAATAATACGAATGACGGTTTGAACACAGAGTATGGGCTACATATAATAAAATATTCCAGTTTGCATGAGTGTTGGACATGTAAGATAAAAGAAGAAGAAAACTTTTATTTCTTGGCGTAAGCAGTGCCAGCAAAATGAAAACTGAATAAAAATTTCAGCCATAGAAGCCGAAAGAAAAGAGCGAAGTGCATGAAAGGGATCCGTGGACGGCTGTTGATGGAAAATTTTTCAATACTGTTAAATATTTCAATTTGTTGTTATTATTGTTGTTTTCAATTTTTCGGTTAAAAACGATTAAAAATGTTGAAGTAACAGATGATGGGAAACCCGCATCACGACAAAGTTTTGTATTTTAGATACTCATTAATAGAAAAGCATAAAATATGTTTGTTTGTTGCCTATGATGTTAATGTCAGGGGGAGATGACGAAAATGCACATTTTCTCGCGAAATACGTTACAAATAGTTCGTTACAAATGCTTCTTTTAGCTTATAAATAAACATTTGCGTCACTTTTTAATTTTATATGATTCATTTTTGAATGTTACAAATTATTTGATTATAAGTTTTTACTAAGATACATTTTCTTTGAAACAATTTAGAAAAGCAAGAACCGCTCACTCCAACAGTAGCGGAAGTGACTCGTTACAGCAGCGAGGAAATGAATTCGGGAAATGAATCGAACGAAGCTCGTGAATGGACCGAACAAGAGCGACAAGCTGATTTCAATCGCCATAAGGAGGAGTTGCTTAAGCGTAAACGCCGCCGAAAGAAACGTACTAGCTCATCAATTCAATCAAGCTGCTTTCAAGGTGAGTTTCATTTCATTCTTTGTACATTTCACATCAGAATTCATTTCCAATAAGTTTCAATGAAACAAAAATTAAGTTAAAGACGGCCGATTTTCACTCAAAGTCTCAAGGCTGGACATAAACTGAAGTTGTTAACTTAAAGTCTGTTTAAGACTCCAAAATTTTACTTTTTGTGGTTTTCATTTTTTTATGGAGAGATAAGTCAGACGTTTTGACGTAAATGGTCATTTTGCAAGAGTTTCTTCTTCCACTCATTGCTTTGAAAGTCGACATTTTCTACGTCTTTGAAGACTAAATAAAATCCAAATCTTTGATGATTAAAAAGTTGCCGAAAGAAATAAAAAAGAATAAAAATAACTGAAACTTTTTAGCGCAAATGAGATTAGCACTTGTTAATCAAGCATCGCTTATGTTAATTAAAATCTTCGTTCTCTATTTGTGCGATTAAAAACTCAGTGCACAATTTCCGTGGTGTCATCGGAAAGCTGTAAATTTAACTCAACCGTAGAAAAAAAAACGAAAAAGCAAAAAAAAAAGAAGCGAAAAAAAAGTTTAGTCTGCTGCTTGATCGAGTGAGAAAATGTAAATGGGTCACCGTTTCATGTTATCGAAGCATAATGAAAACATTTCGTTCGTCGCAACCGCGTGCGGATCTGTGGAATCACTCGCTCGCTCGATACTCATAATTGTGGTTATCATCAACGTATAAAAAGCATTTCTTTCATATTATAAATGAACGGTGAACCTTTCAGACATGGTTTCATAAAATAGTCTCAAACATCAATGGCAAATAAAAAACGAGCAATCTTTGTGCTTGCATCACCTTCCATAAGTATGAACTTTCTCGTCACGGTATGGTGAAGTCTTTACTTCTTTCATTTGTTGTTTCTCATTTCTTATCTCACGATAATATCAGATATACATAAATAAAACTCTGACTGCCTCAATTTCATCCTCCCGCTTTGTGAATCGGAAGTAAAGTTGAGACAATCTAGTTTAGGTGACACTGCAACGGCATTTCAAATGGCGCGTGGAAAAGTTTCTAATTTTTAAAAGCAGATATCTATTTCTTTTATTTAATGTTAACGATGTAGTTATTGCTGTTTAAAAACTGTAAATGAACTTTTGTTTCTTTTTTGCCAAAGCCCTCAAAGTGTCATTTGAAAAAAAGTGATTTTCCATAAGAGTTTACGTAAAGCAAAGTTTGCTGATTCACTTCTGGTGTCTGTCTCGTGTGGATAACTAATAGAGCTATGGAATCAACATCAGTTTCGTTAGACGTCACACAAGACGTTTGCTCATTCGTAGGCGCACGAGCGAGTTAACATTTCAGTTTTATTATTTATTTTTTTGGCTTGAGCTTGTAAAAGTTAAGCAGCCGAGTCAGCTAACAAACGAAATAAAAAGCAGCATAAATAAAATAACAAATTAGAGGTTGTTGGCCTCAATTTCATCGGAGGTGGAAAAGAGCCAATCTCGAGTAAAAGCTTTTTCTTCTCTCTCTAACTTTATCACAGCCAACAGCTTTGTACGTTGCTGTTTGGCTTTCATTCCAAAATAACAGAAAAAAAAAGTTAATACCAAAGACAATGCAATTATGTGTTCATTTCTTCTCTTATTCGTTTGTGCAAATTGTAAAATAGCCGCATTCAACATTAGCGATTGACTGACGACAAATAAAACACAAAAAAAAATGCGAGAAATTGATTGAGTTGGTAAGATTTGCTGCTTTGGCTAAAAATAAGACTGAAACTTCTCCAGATCTAACCTTCGACATATAAATCTGTTGCTAAAGTAGCGTTAACTTTTCTGTCTTGTATCGTTGTACGTCGAAGAGAAATAGGGTTGGGCTCATTAAAGATTCAAAGCGTGATCATTGGAAAGAGTTGACAAGAATGTTAGTTGATCTGAGAGTTGAAGCTTGTAAAAGGAGTTTTAAATATAAAAATTATGAGAAAAAATACGAGTGAAAGTGCCTTAAACAATTGAATTACTGAACATCCGGTCCCTTCCTCTCTTGTAAGTTGTTCATTTGCATATTAACTGACTTATTTACCAGCGTTAACGGAGCGAGTTAACGAACGCCCAAGATTGACCATAAAAACATTTTCGACAGTAATTTACTTTAATTTTCTATTGTCAAGAACGACTCATAATGATCCACAAAAAATATCGAACAATTTGGTTTGGGACGGCTTGCGTGTTGTGCAATCAAGCTCCGATTTTGAAGTCAAGAGCGTTTGAGCGAGCGAATGCGCTGTGCGCCAAACAATTAAACAAAACGATCGAGCGATGAAAAACTAAGCACAACGGCGACTTAGAAGCAAATGGCATTCAACTCGTTCGTTGAGCTCTATCCGTTGCGAAACTGCATTACATTGAATTCGAAATGAAAAATAAAAATTACTAAACATATATTCACAACATGCTATTAGAGATTCAGCTATTGGTTTTCATCTCTCGCGCGATTCGATGAATCATGAGATTATTTACTTTACCCACGATATCTGTTGTGATCTGATCTGATGAAACTTTCAATCTAACTAATGTCATGCTTCCAATCACGTCACCACGTGAAAAGAAAAGCAAAAATTTTTTGAGATTTATTTTCTCGACTCTTAATTGAGAAATTTGAATTGTAGAAACTTTCATGACTCGTACGATTTTTCCTCGTTCTAGTTTCGAAGTTGCCGAAAATGAAATCTTTTTCTTTAATTATTTCTTTTTCTCGCACTTCTCGCGACTAGCGAGATTTTTCTTCATTTGAATTCATTGCTGTATCAGCAGGTTCTGTACTCATCGCCTTGGTCATACTGACTGCTTAATCTTCTCAACTTATTATAAATAGATCTTTTCCTCAAATTTTCTGTTGCCATCGAGATTTCTAGGAAATAGTTTTAAATTTATGTTAAGTCGCTTAAGTTTTCTTTTTTCGCACATTCTGGAGGTGCCCCATGAACAGTTTCAACTTATTTATCTCAAGGAAGAACGAAAGAAGAAAAAATGTATCAGAAAATAGATTTTTCGTTGACCATCAACGATTTTAAACTTTAAAAAAGAAAAGAGAGACTAGGAAGTAATCGTGTGCTGTTGGTTCAAGCTTTACGTGTCCAATAAATTTCCAAGTAATAGTCTGACGTCTCCTTGACTCATAACACGATCCAAGCAACTTCGTCGTGATGACTGTCAAGTGAAAAAGAATTAACCTTGCAAGCCTCTTAGAAAAACGTTGAATGACTTTTATTTTTGTAAATGTTCTTATCACATTCACGAAATAATTTTAAATTGCATCATCCAAGTTGGTGAAATTTTTACTATTTTCATGAAACTTAAGAATGCAAGATCAGACTTGTGTGAACAAGTTTTGCCATGACAAATATTTTTCTTGTCTCCAACTTAAAGGCCGGAAAGTATTTCATGAATTTTTTTTTATCCTCGAAAAAATAAAACTAAAACAGCTGCTGGGTTTTCCTACCTTCTGGATTCTTATTTCGATAATTTTACTGCGACACAATAATAGCAAATATTTTCATTTCTTATTGACACGAGTTGATGAGTCTCACCTCACAAGATAGTTCATTCTTCGTTTATTATTCTTATCAACTGAGAATCGAATAAAAATGTTTTCTTCGTCAATGTCAGTTCTCACTAAGATCCAAATGTGAAAAGACGTGAAACTGAAACTTGTGATTTATTTTTCATATTGTTAAAGACAAATTCTTGGAGTTGTTAAATAGAATTAAATAAGAATGACGATTGCTGTTGAATTATCGCAGTCAAAGGATAATCAAGGCCGTAATAGGCGTTTGAGAAAGAAGAAACTCATAATAACTGAATTTAGTGGTAAGTCCAATCGTCGGACTTTTGACAAGATTTAAATTGAAATTGTAAGCAAATTACGAAATAACAAAAGCATCTCATAAATTTTAAAGTAGCAAGTACCATTCAATGTTCCACATTTACAATTTATTCATTTATTTCTTATTCATTTGCATTCATTTCAGAATTGTATAAATTGACGGGAGAGATTTTGGGTGAAGGTGCCTATGCCTCAGTACAAACATGTATAAATATTTACACCGATGTCGAGTGTGCCGTAAAGATTATCGAGAAGATACCGGGCCATGCCAGGGCCCGAGTTTTTCGTGAAGTTGAAACTTTCCACCATTGTCAGGGACATCCCAACATTTTACAACTGATCGAGTTCTTTGAAGATAAGGAGAAGTTCTACTTGGTGTTTGAGGTAAGTTTGAAGAAGTCTTTTTAAAAGCTTTAATAATAGTTTGTTGTCATTTTTAACACAGAAAATTAATGGAGGTCCACTATTGGCGCGCATTCAAGAGAACATCTGCTTTTCGGAACATGACGCCGCACAAATCATGAAAGAGATCGCATCGGGATTGAACTTTCTCCACAAGAAAGGCATAGCCCATCGTGACTTGAAGCCGGAAAACATCCTTTGTGTAAACACTGATACAATCTGTCCTATAAAAATTTGTGATTTTGATCTCGGTTCGGGAATAAACTTTACGACTGACGTCTCCGAATCTGTTGCAACACCACAGTTGTTAACACCAGTAAGTAATTTTTTTGTGAATTGTGTGATAAGTCAAAAAAGTGGAGCACTTCTTGCTTCTTTATTCTCTCTCATTTGATCATCTAAATATTTATTACATTATTTGCAAACGAGAATTGAACACATTTTTTTCGCGTGCGCGATAAACGTTTTATGTCTCTCGCAATCTCGATTCTTTGCTTTTCGGCTTGAATTTAGCTCAGATGAATTTGAATTGAGTCTCAAGGACGAATTGCTTCTTTTTTCTTCTGAATTTGTTCTGAAATTAGTGAGAATTGTCAAGTCAATTAATGATAATGCAGAACTTTCCCTTTTCATGTTGACTTTGTTCACTCCATAAAATTGTCTTCGTCATGACATTGACTCAACAATGTACACATCATTTTTAAAAATATTATTAAGTAATTTTACCTTTTTTCATATCGCCTTCAGACTTATCAGAAGTTGAAAGCAAACATCGCGCGATTTCGATAAAAAAATACTTTTTCTCTCTTAATTTTTTACGCGTGTTGTGAAATTTTTAAAGTGCTAATAAATAAAATCGCAAAATTGTCAGATGGAGTATGTTGACTTGTATGAAAGAAAAAGAAAATGTTTTAAGCACCTAAGAGAGATGACGGGGGCGTCATTGATTCGAACTCAAGTCTAGTCGAACGATAATTTTATTGCACTGCTCATGGTTGTTGTTCGTTCGAAATTCGGCAACTGATTAAAATCTTTCTCGCACACAGTTTTTTACGCATCAAATGTGTTTACGTTAGTTTTTCCAATGCGCAGAAGAATCACATTTTTCGGGCAATAAAGCAAAAAGAAGGAGAAGAAGAATTAATTACGCATCAAATAAACATTCATGTCAGTCTAGAAATTGGAGTTAAACATCGAGTAAAAAAGAAATCATTTTGAGTTTGCAAACGCACACGGTCACACCAAGTTAGTTGGTAAATAGCGAAGCTAAAATAATATCGCAAAAAAATGTAAATAAAACTTTTATTATCGAGTTAAATCAACAAATAACGGCAGAAAGAAATTTAAATATTTTCAAGGCTTTTTTGCTACTTTTTTTTGTATTCACAGTCAACATCACATTAATGCGACATCGTCGACATTTCTCTGATTATGGCATTGTTAATGTGTACATGCATGCAACCGGTTGACTTGAATTCATTCAATCAATTGTCCAAATAAAGCAGAGACCTATCAATGTATCAAATCTCGTTATACAATTTGTTTACCTGCGAGAAGTTTTTTTTATTTGTTCATTTGAAACAATGAAAATTAATCAAAGTTTCTAATCAACGCTTGTTACTTTTCTGTTTGTTTTTCATTACTTTCTGATAATAATAAAACAAAATTGATAAACGACATACGTGACATTGCAATAAACAGAAATTTCACCTACATTTTTGTTTGTTTCACAATCAACGTTATTGAAAGCTGCTGAGTGATCCTGAATGATTAATTATTCTATTTTTGTTTTGTCCAGGTTGGATCGGCTGAATTTATGGCACCAGAAGTAGTCGATCTATTTGTGGGTGAACGTGAAAGCAGTTATGATAAGCGATGTGATTTGTGGTCAATGGGAGTGATTGCTTACATTTTATTATCTGGCTATCCGCCGTTTTCTGGCAATTGTGAAGAAGATTGCGGCTGGAATCGTGGCGAAAATTGCCAAAGATGCCAAGAACTGTTATTTGAGTCAATTCGTGAAGGTTTGTTCAAAGATATTTAATGGAAAAGTGAGACAAGAAAATTAATTTTGCTTTCAATTTCAGGACGTTTTAGTTTTCCCGAGAACGAATGGCGAGACGTAAGTGATGATGCAAAAGATTTAATTAATCACCTGTTGGTAAAAGAAGCATCCAAACGTCTATCAGCTGAAGCTGTTCTTAACCATCCCTGGATTAAAGTCGCTGATGAAGATTGTGACAATGAGAAGCGCCATCGAGCGCTGAGAACACCAGGGATTATTCGAAGGTGACTATTAACTCAATTGTTACTTTAACAGTGGGTTGAACAACTCGCATTGTTGTTTCTATCCAAACCACCTTCCGTTATTTTAATTTTCTTTCATTCAACTTTGTTTCTTGTTTTTTAATGTTTTTGCAGCAATCAATCAGCTCGTAAATTATCTCAATTTGCTGAATCGGCAATGGCTGTGAAACGAGTAATTTTACAACAATTTTCCATGCAACTAAACTATATGAACAAGGAGCGATCTAACATTTACCAACCATCGGCACAACAGCAGCAAAAAATGGCCGATTCTAACTTTAAGATGACAGAAATGTTGCATAAGAATTCACATCACACAGCATCTTCTGGTAGCGATGATGAGCATTATGAGTTTAAACGTGATAGTGAATCAGCTGATTCATGCGACTCGCATCCAACAACGTCATCGGATACATCTGATGAAGACATTCAGACAATTCTGGACAATGTTTTGATTAACAACAGCAACAATAATGCCATGAATAATATCATTAAAAAATGCGATGAGGTACATTCGTGCACAAAATCAGTAGATTCGCCTCTACAATCACGACGACGCAAACAATGCGAACCACTTCTCATCATTTGTCCAACGCCCAGTGGTTGAAAAGAAGTTTTTTCTTTCATTTTGCTGAAAAATTATCATTTCATCTTTTTTTCATTTCATTTCTTTTCTTTTCGTCTTTTCTTAACCATCCATGTTGAGGGAAAATTCAACTTTAAGTTATTATAAATATTAAATTCTTTTGAAAGAACAAAAGAAGGGATCCAAACCTCATTCATTGATTTGGGATTGATGACAGTATTTTGAATGCGTTTGTAACACATTTCTTGATATACGAACATCATTCCAAACTTACATAATAATTTCGTGTTTTTTTTTTGTCATGTTGGAGATCGTACGGTAATCGCATCAATCAGAGAAAAATAAGGAAAATAAGTTTAAGGAAGAACTTTGGAAGTGCTGAATGAAACTTTCAATAATTTAATGTGACAAGATAACGAACGATCTTCAACCGATGAGGTTTTTCTTTCTTTATTTCCTTAAGACACTGCAAATTTGTCCACTTTATTTTCCTTACAATAATTTTGTCTTTAATATTAAAAATGCAAAGATGAAAAAGAAAAGATTTTAGTTTGGTGAAGAAAACAAAAAAAATACAAAAATATCTACTTAAAAAATCATTTTCATTTCATGTCCCTTTTCCTTATTAATTTTTAATTTAATTTCAATCCAATGAAATCTACTTTTATACTGAGCAAAAATAAACAAGATGAAAAATCTGGAAATGCAACAACGAAAAATAAAACCAAACAAAGAATGTTTTTTTGAATTAACATATAAAAGTTTGATAATTGGCACAAAAAGCAAAAACATAAAATAAAATATTAAGAATTGGTTGAAATGTTGAATTTAAGGAAAAGAAAATGTCGTAGCTGATGATGAAGTTTGTGGTTGATGTCACTTCCGTTTTGAAATCGGAAGGCTGTGATGTAGTTAGAAACGCCCTCTACGGGTACTGCATGAGTGATGTAATAACTCGTTATCTACACATTCATATGAATTGGACTGAAATGGGGGCGAACGCTTGGCGGGGCTTTCGATGAAAGACTGTTATTCTCAGGAATAGAATCGTGAAAAAACTTTTTTTGTACAATTAAAGACTTTATCGAAGGCGTCTTTTGGAAGGGTTAATAATTTGGGGACTATTTTTAATATGGCCATATCAAAATCTATGTCAATCATGTTCTCCAATTGAGTTATCGTCAGCTACCGACAAGAAAAAAAAAATACAAAACAAAAATTTATATTAAGAATGTGAAAAGAAAATTGGAAAAGAAGAAAAATGTTGTGAATGCTCATCCTGAAAAGGAGTAAAAAATTTCCTTAAAAAATCCTCCCATGTTTCATAAAGAGTGATGTAAGTAGAGACATTAACTAATCAAATTGCCATTTGTTGCATTGGAACTGTTCTTATCTTGTAAGCGATTTGAAGATTTGTTTATCCTCCATTCTAACAATAACATCTTAACAATAATCTTATAAAAAGAAAAATTCTACGCGAAATAATTAATAAACAAGTTAGTTGAGTAAGAAAGTAGAAAAAGAACTTTGATGAACTTTAAGAAAGAATGATGCTTACGCAAAATATTTCGAGTCTCCTTTCTATCCCCCATTTGCACTTACATAAAACATAACTTTAAAGAAAGGATAACAAAATGAAGCAACAAACAACAACAAGAAAAAAAAACTTTATATGGAATATTTATCTATAAACTTCTCTCCCTCTTTATCCCTCTTTGCAAAACATTTCAAAATCCCTCAATTAACTACCCGTCTCCTTAAAAAAATATAAAATATAAAAAAAAATACAAAACTTTTATATTAAATGAACGCTTTAAATGAGAATGATGAAGAAATTTTTTTATTTTAACCTTTTTTACGAGAGAAATAAACAAAACAAAATGAAAAAAATTAAGAGAAAAATAAGTGTTAAGGTCAAAATACTTGAGGCTAATGTCGGATGTTGTGAGATATGTGATGAGCTTTTGAGTTGGAAAGCGCCTCATGCCAAGGACGTTAGTCGCTTCAGTACTATACGATACTAAGCAATATGTTTTGGTATCCGAAGCAAATAATTCAGATTGGCGGTTGAAAACAATTAAACAAAAATGAAGATCGAAGAAAAATAAGAAAGGGAAATTCATTTGTAAGTCTTTATTAATCCAGATTGTTCAGTATTTTTTCTATTCGGATGAAAAAAAAAGAAGAAAAATCATGAAACATGATCTTATAAAATTTAAAAAAAATCATTGAACTAAAAGCTGATCGCCGAAAAGTTCTTCGGAAGAGCTGTTTCGTTGGAAAAGTAATGTGAAGAAACTCATGAATGAGATCAAATGAGTCAGTTAGCCAGTGAATGCGATAATAAGAAATAATTGTACCTTTGGATGTGGTATTTTAGCAGAGCGCACTCCATGATCAGAACGAATAGTCAGAGAAAAGTTTTACTGACGTCTTTTATTTACTTACTTACTTACTCTTAAAAGTAGAAAGAAAGCAAGTGAAGGAATTCTCGAAAAGCAATTAATAAAAAGAAAATGTTCTGATCGATAAAACTCTGTCTTAAATCACATTAACTTTATTAATTACTATCAAGATTAACCAACATTAAAATTTATATATTTTTATGTTTGAAAAGCGTTGATTAAGAAAATCTTAGAAACCAAACGCATTATCTGGATAAATTATTTGATTTTTCATATTAAAACATTTGCAATATCCATAAACAACATCAAATAATTAGTTTCTTGAATATAAATTATTCGATCAGTTTTATTCAATTGGAGATAATAAAAACCAAACAAATAAAATCCCAAAAAATGATAACAAAACAAAAAAAAAGTCAAAAAATCAACTAAAATCATGGAAAAAAAAATTGCAGAAAAAACAATAAAAAATGTTGAAAAAAGAATTGAAAATGAGTTTTGATTTAGTATTTATGTTGTAAAAGTTTTAATTTCAGGACTTCTTAATGAAAATCGATCGTGTTGCTTGGTTATTGTTCTCATTAATTAAGCTTATTAGTTTCAGATTGATTATTTGTTCAGCAAAGTGACACTTCACAAACTTGTTCGATAAATTAAGCACAAATTCAAAGGGCTGTTCATAGCTAATTAACTAAATTACATAATCAAAATGTCTGTAATAATTTACTTATTTAAGTAAACCTTTAAGGATTTTTCATCAGTAATTTCTCATTGAATGAAATTAAATTTTAATTGCAAAACTGGAACTGCTTCGTAAGAACTTAATAATTAAACTGCATCTAATTCTATAGAATGATTACCTTCGTTAAATCGACTATAAAATATTTCTTATTACTTAATCGAATATGTGAGAACAAAAAAGTTATTTCAGTTCACTTTTCTCTACCATTTTAATAAATATTTAAGTTTTTTTAAAAATAGTTTCGTTCCGAAGATGCCGTCCCAAAGAGGTGAACTTATTCCAAAGCCTTTGTCATGGTTTACAAAATGATGATTGTAGTGATAACGCTTCAGATGATAAAAATATTTGTTTGTTGGACTTCCATGATGAATGTAAAAGTGAATCATATCGTAGCACAAATATCCAATCAATCCTCCAGCAAGAATCAATCGCGAGTTGTAGAAATTTCCACCACAAAAGTGATTTAGAAGAACGATCGGTTGATATAAAAGAATTGAGAGAATTGCAGCCGGAACTGGAGGGAACACCAAACGTTGTTCATCAAATGGAACCTAAAATTATTCAATGACATTCTTTAATGTTGAATCATTAAAATAATTGAAGCAAATGTCAAGTTTAATGTTTCGCAATCACGGAAACTTTTCTCCAACCCTCATTTGTCATCGTCATAAATGCATAAACTTCATTGTTACGTAAAACGATTCGTTACTAAAATAATCTTATCAATGATGTGTTGTGTATTTATGTAACGATAAAATAAAGTAAACAATCAAAGTTTCTCATATTTCTCTTTTTCATTTCTTGATCAGATAACGAAAGTTAAACAAACCCTGAAATTAGACCCGCTCGTTGCATTCAAGTGTCAAGATTCGTGAATCAAAATGAATAAATATTAATAATATCACATAAATTGAATAGCACAACTTACTTTATGATGAAGACCATGAAGCATGAAATGAATCTTAACGAGATTTGGATAATTTTGCACTGTCATATGAAACAAAAAGCGATGCAAAATGTACTCGACAAGCGTCCATAAGACAACACCGCTGAACAAATTTAAGAAGAACATGAAACTTGTTGCTGTTGGCGATCTTATAAATTCATTTGTGATCAGAAAGACGATAATTGGAGTCCAAAATATTAGCGGCAGATACCAAGGTGTCTAAAAATATCACAAGAACTTCTTAAAAGTGAATTAAAATTATAAAAGTTTATTAACCTTTGATAACGTCTCAAGCAAAGGGTTCTTAAACAGTCTTAATTTTCTGTCAATTGGTTTGTTTACCCACTCACTGTACTTATCACCTAGTTGATTAATTTGGGGTAATAATGCTGCATTCCAGTTTATGTGATACTAAGAAATAAAGTCAATTAAAATATTAATGACAACTTCATATCTCTGACTCACTTCTAAGCTTTCGTCTGAAATAAAGTTTTGATTATCGCTTTTCACTCGGTAATCTTTAAGTAAATATTCGGCAGCTGGTGAATGTTCAACATTTAGAAACTTCTCTTCGATATTTCTGCGATTGTATCCAATTAAAGTATTGACACCGCCAGGATGTTTCGATAAGAATTTTGTGATGTCATAAAGTTGATTTTTGTATTCAACGATGAACTTTTTCTCATTCATTTTCATGCACTTAATTTAGAAGTTTTTAAAGTTGCAGTTTTCATTAAACTGAAATCGTTTTTGTCTTTTAAATAACTAATCACTTGCTAATCTTTTAACACAATCTGGTATAACTCATACTGCATGCTTATCACTTTTTCAAATCATTTAATTGAATATCTACACGAATTAACAATCGCTAATTAAAAATGTGGCTTACAAATTCGTTGTTGCTTCTTCAAATCAAAGCAATGAATGAGGTTGTTGAATAACTTTTAGTCTTTATTGTGTAATCAGGGACTAGAACTACATGATGGAAAGGTCTTGATGTTTAAGAATGATAAGGGAAAGGTAGATAATCTCAAACAGGAACTACAAATTCTAACTTAGATGTGAGCATGAAAAATCTTATCGTTCTTATTTATAATCATATCAACAGTGTTAGAACTTTTATCAAATAGTTCCGATCCCTTCGTGAAATATAAAAAAAACGAGCTAAAGGCGGGCCTTTCAAAGATTGAGATAACAAAGTGTCTTGTTTGTTCTAACTCATGTTAAAAGTAATTATGACTGCTGATAAAAATAATGCACGAATAACTTTTTGTGCGAATCGTTTTACAGACACACCAAGGACAACAAAAGTTATCAATTTCTTTTTCTAGTTAAAAGAATTCCACAATTCCAAACAAACATCGTCACTTGACATCACAAACCTACATTTTATATTTAGAAATTCTGTAATTATTTTTCTGTAAGTTGTCGTTGGTCGTGGTTGCTGTGCTGTCATTATTTCCTTTATAGGAAGAACATTTCTAAAAATTCTACTGATAAACGAATGAAATAATGTTGAAGAATATTAGAAGAATTGAAAACACATAAAAATTTATAAAGAGTAAAACTTCAATCCAAGACGAGCTTAAAGGGTTCTGTAAGTTGGTAATCTCAAAATAAATTCCAGATGCAGGACTTTCCCAGTCGCCTTAAGATGGTCTTGAAATCTCTCGAAACGTTAGGAAATAAATTTGGTTTCTCTTAATTGAGGGAATTAAAAATTTTGTGAAAATTTTAAATGATTATCAAAAGTTTGTTTTTATTTAAAGATTGCAATGATGGTATGCATAGAATCGATCAGAATGATTTTGTTGGCTTACAAAATGTGAAAATTGTTGTTGTTTGTCTTCAATAACACTTTGAACATTTGCATCAAAAAAGACTTTGAAGGTAGAAACACGTTGCAAGAATTGATTGCAGATGTGATGACAAGTTGTACTCGTAGCTATTGAGATCATCAGACGTATAAGCATAATGACAACGCTTCAAATGCAAGCAAGTGAATGTACGATTGTCACAGACATGTTTAGAGATCATCTCTGAACTCTGAGCTAATTTAAATAAATTTCTGTGTAAACATTCTAATAACATTTGATAAGAAACGAATCCCACCTCAGTTGAATAACAAGATAAGATAATACGAAGTAAATGTAAATGTTATCAGAGAATAATTCTTGTTTCAATTGAATCTATTAATAGATTCGCAACTGGAATTTACTGGAAAATTCTTTGACGTAATTTTATCTTAAGCAATAATTCATTGATTTCGATGTTTACTTATAAACATTAAATTCAATGAAAAGTAAATTTAGGAGGGAAAATATTTTATTATATTGGCACTTTTAACGCGTAACCATTCATTCAACAAAATAGTTCTACTTTTGTATTCAGTTGAAGAATAATGACAAGAAACATACACACAATAGTGAATTGAACGTAAATAGTTGAAATTTCTTTCTCATTTCTTTTTCATTTCGAATTTTGATAGCTTTTGTCATTGCGCCAATTATTTCTTGTCGCTTTTGACGTGTGTCTTCTTCAATCGTTTGATATTCCATCAAAAATCAGTTGATATACGTACATCGAGGGCGTAAGACGGAAACGAACGTTCGTGAACTCGAAAGTGATTTTAATTGAGGTGCAAGTGAAAATAATCATTAGAAGAAAAAGAAAATTATTAAAAAAACATAAATAATAAATTATAAAGCAAAAGATGTGGAAAGTTTTGTTTCGTGTTGTATTTGGGTTGACTTTTGTGTCAAATTCGCTATCATCGGCATTGCTTCGCGATATTCATCCAAAAGCTTTTAACATCAGACGAGTTTCTCGTAGGTTTAAAAATCTTTTCATATAATCAATTATTTAATTTGTAACATAAAAAATATTTTAAGAAAAAAGAAGAAAGAAAATTTCATTAAGTTTAATCGAAAAACTTTCATTTTTTGGCTTGAAAATTAAACATGATTAGCTTTTAGATTAGTTAAAAAAGGAATCGATTTCTTCTTTTCCGGTCTTTATAACACACAAGGAAAAGAGCACGAACTTGGGGCTGACTTTGGATTTACTGGTGATATGTACACGAAAAATAATCCATATTATACTAACCACCCAACCCAATTCTTTGAGAGTCTCGGTTTAAAGAAAATAACTTTAAAGAAACCTGAACCAGTTTATTATCCTGTTTATAATCATTCACTTACTCAAGATGGATCGTCATCTGAAGATACATTTGATACAGCATATCCGCCGTCTTCATATGGTCCACCAAGTTATAGCGTTCAAAGTGTTCCAAGTGTTCCAAGTACAAGTTATGGAACTCCAAGTACAAGTTATGGACCTCCAAGTACAAGTTATGGAACTCCAAGTACAAGTTATGGAACTCCAAGTACTCATCACGACAGTGGGACAGCTTCATACTATCCACAATATCAGCATTCTCATGGGCCGCCACCTTCCACATATTATCCATCATCACCTCCAACAGCACCATCATCGGAATCACAAAAATCAAGTGTCGGATGGCTTTGGTCCAAATTCATGAAGAAATTTGATTTGATCATCATGTCGAAAATTCTTATCAAGTTAATCATCTTTAAGAAGATCGTCAAATTTATTGCCTTGATTTGTTTGTTGATGTTTTTGCCGATTCTCAAGAAGAAATTCGAGGAAAATACTGGAAGTGAAAGTGATGAAGAAGAAGAACGACGACTTAAAGGACTTGATGCTTATGGTAAGAAAAGAAGTTTAATTAAAAATTGATCTTCAAAATTTATTTAATTACTTCTAGCAAATGTTGACATTCGTCTTAAAGAAATTGTGAACTTTGCATTTACTGCAATTGAAGCTTTTGAGAAAAATGACATTCCATGGTGCGTGGGCGAAAGTGAATTTTATTGTCGCTTCCAATTGATGCTTGACAATGTTGATTTGAGATATCCTGGCGACAGGTAAGGAACATTAAACAGAAATTAATTAAAATGTTTTCTTATCAAAACTTTATAATAGAATTATAGAAATTTGGTTCCCAAAATTACAAACAACTGAGTCACCACCAGCTGTTTCATCAGAAGAAACAAATGACGATGAAGGGAACGTCGACTTTAACGATTACATTTCTGAATCACCCATCGAACAGCTTGAAGATGAAAATAAATCAAGCGAAAACAATATCGACAAGTTCAACGCCATGTTTAAACGTTAAAGCATTGAAATGATTTAAAAACTTTTAAGTTATTTATGAAATATTTGGTTAAATTACAAAAAAGAAATTGAACGTATCGATGCATTGAAATGAAAATGCAAATCAGCCACAATTATTGAGTCTGATCACGCAAATGGATCAATTTCTCTTTTGTTGCTTATTTTTGATCGTGGGTTTGGTTCGTTTAATGTGAAACATAAAAAAATTCTTCACTGTCAATGCCAATTTCTTTCATTTGATTTATTTTTATTTTTAAATTATTTATTGTTCACACGTAATGATGTCGATAATATTTAATGGTCGAGACGTTAAACATGACTCTCATTTGGAATTATTTAAGTGTGGGGAGAGAGACAACTCAATAAAATAATAGGAGGAATGTTGTTAATATTCATTTGTTAAGCTCTACTCAGGCATACTTTAACGAACAGTTTATTTATTATGTAACGCAATGTAACAAATTTAACCTACCTGGCATTAAATTTTATTACTTTTTACAACGAACTTTAATATTTATCGATGAAATCATTCATCAAGTTCATGACAATCGTGTTTAAATCTAATTACTTTCCCGATTCAATTTAATTATTTATTTATGTACAAATTAAAAATCTTTCATCAGTTGGATTTGATTAAATCAGAAAACTGCTGGAAAAGAATTTAAAACAAAAATATTTATCACGTTTAACTTTAAATTTTATTCTATTCTAAATATTATTTTGATAATCATGATCAGTAATGTTCAGTTATTAATTAAAATTGATTTTAATTGACAATTCGATTGCGCAAATAACATTTGACAAGTCGAATGCAAACCATTGCATCTTCCGCTGAATCATGACCAGCATCTAATGATGTGAAAGGAAAGAAAATATTTAAAAATGAATATAATTGATGATTTTTGTAACTCACCATCTTCTTGGATAATTTTCTCGAGATATTCAATGCACAATGTCTTCAAAGCTCGTTTCTTCGGTGGACCTTGTCGATGAGGGTAAAGAATGGAAGTGTCAACGACCACGTTGTGTATTAGTTTAAGAGATTTCAAGTCACTCTCTAATGAGTGACCGATGAGAATTGTGCGTGAATGAAACATCGATAATAAAACAGCTTGCACTTGTGAGAATGATTGGACGTCGGGTGACGACAACATCGCTTCAGTAATTCCCGAAAACCTTGTGTTGTAGTCAATAATGCGGTTCTGTGGTTTCACGAGCTTATCATAAACAGTTTCCTCGTTGAAGTTAACGACTGTTATTCGAGTGAGTTCCATGCCAGCAACGGTGTAGCACATTTCACAATCAAGTGCGAAAATATCTTTCTTTGTGCACACATAATCGTCGCCTCTATCCATTGTCTGAACATATTGAATGAGATTGTCATGATCAATGTAATCAGTCACATGATAATTTGCATAACAACATCCAGCCGATCCCGACGGTTGTTCACAACAATAATACAAATTATCAGCGCAACCTCGACGAAATCCTGAACGTTTCATATGAAAATTACACAAATCTGTTTGCGGCTCATCGTAAATGTCAACATTAAACACTTTATGACATCTCGCGCAATAATAATCGTCTTCTCTTCCATTTTGTGGCTTTGCTTTCTTTGGAACAAAAAGTTGTGCTCGACCACGCTTTCCACATGATCGAGGAAAGCCATTTTCCCTCATTTGTGCCTCCGATAAAATGCAATCGACGACCAACTCAAAAGCTTCCGAACTTGAGCAGTTGTCGATCGTTGTTAATGACGACTCTGAATTGGAAACTTTTATTTTGTTATTTGTCGACCAAGACGATTTTTGTCCAATTTTTCCAGCTAACATTAATTCGTGTGAAACAAGTTTTGGTAATTTCGATTTGCTACTTAAATTAATTTCTTTTTTCAGTCGATTGATTGCAAGTAAGACGCTCGTCTTGTATGTTGTCACCATTGTGCATTTCTTAAAAACTTCATACTCTTCCGATTGAGCTCTTTCGAAAGCATCTGCTGCAAGTGGATAAATTTCTAAACAAACCTTCACCATGTTCTGATAATATTGATGACGAATATTGCTGGAAATTTTTGAGCTTTGGGCTTCTCTTACAGGTGGTGCTAATTTACTTGCATCAATGTCAGCAATTCCTGATGGAACGTGAGCAACTCTATTCACACTTTTTGCTGCTGTTTGCGCCGGTGTTGGAGTTTGAAATTGTTGTCGTTGTTTCGCTTTATTTAATTCTTCAATCTTTCGTTTTGCATTTTGAATCGCCATTTGTGATGAAATTGGTGTAATCATCGGTCGTTTTGGTCCATGAGGTCGTTGAAATACCAGCGGATTGATGAGCGGTGTCGCATTTTCTCTCTCTTTGATTTCAGCTTCATGTTTGGCTATTAATTCATCTTTTGCTTTTAACTCACTTAAAGCTTTGTCAAGAGCCATTTGTTGTCTTCGTTGAACTGTCAACATCGCTTCTTGTTCATGATTTGTTTTAATTTTTGGAATTGAACGTTTTACAGTTCCAGCATTTTCATGTGCTTGTCGTTTTTTGTCAACAACTGTTGGCTCTTCGTCAGATTCTTCTTTCCTTGTAGTTTTGGGTTGAGTTGCCTTCGACGATGAAGAATCTTCATTTGGTTTATAGTTATCAAAAATCTGTCGACATTGCTCTTCAATATCATCTTCTTCACTCTCAATCCATCCATTACTGTCTAAAGAATCTTCAACACTTTTACTTTCTTTTTCATCACCATTTTTATGTTCCAATTCGTCCTTTTTATGTTTACTATGAGATGAACTTTTTGATCTGTGATCTCGTTTAGAATTTGAGCTAGATTTGTGTCTACTTGATTTATGTCTTGTTGATGATGATGATAAACTTGAGTCCTTTCGATGAGAACTCTTTTCATGTGATGATGAACTTTTCTCTTTTGATTTCGAACTTTTGTGATGATGTCTTGATGATGAAGATCGATGTTTGGATGATGAGTGACTTCTTGATTTTCTGTGATCTTTTTCTTTAACAACTTCATCATTATGTTGATTATCTTTATCATCAGTTTTTACTGTTTCTGAAACTATGTTGATTGTTTCGTCAGTTGATTTGTTTACAGATTCTTCAAGAACTTCCGGAAGTTTTTCACTTTTAATTTCTTCTTTTAATATTTCGTTTGTTTCTTTAATAATTTTTGAAGGCGTATAAGAAACTACGGACACATTATTACTTTTATTTGTTTCAGCTGGAACATACGAGTTGGATTCAACAACTTTGTTGATCACAGTTGCTTTATAAGTTGCAATGGGCCTTGAAATCGGTATTGGAAGATATTCAAGTCGCGGTTTCTTTTTAACTTGTTCTTGAACTATTTCAACATCAGGCTGTTGTGTGATTTTTGTCGGATGGTACACTGGCTTTGATGTTTCCTCTAAAAGCGGATATTATTAAAAATAATTAATTTCAAGGTATCGCGAAATGGAAAGAAACAAAAATTTCTCACCTTTCTTTGAAACATGTTTAAAATGACAATAAGGCCTCAAACATTGGCCTTCTTCAAAATATGGACAAGGAATATTACTAAATATGCCAAGTGATGGTAACATTTTCATGAAGGAGTAGTAAAATACTGTAATTATGAATTTTCAGCCCCAATAAGCTGAAGATATTTTTAAAAAGTTGTAAAAAGGGGAAATGTAACTGCGCTGATTTTAGGATTTTTGAGACTTTTTTCAAATATTAAAAGTCCGTTAAGTTCTAATAAAATAATGATTCTATGTATTTTGAGTGAATTATACATAAATAATGTTTTCGTTAATTAGAAAAGAATGAGAGGCTTCTCTAAACTTTCTTTTAATTGTCTTCGTTCACTTAGTTCCAATAAAATTGATCGTCCAAACTCTTCATGCAACTTCTCAAAGGTGAAATCATCTTTCTCCGGTTCAAACATTAAAAATTCATTATCATTTTTAATGATATTAATAGAGGTTGAATCGAAATTGCGTCTATTTACTGGTGGTGGTGGAGCTTCTCGTAAAACCATAAAATTTTCTGGTACTACTTGTTGAATATTATTGGCTAAATTTTCGTTCCCTTGTGGAAAAATAAAAAATAATCAACATTTTGACATTGAATTAATGTGTCAAAACTTACCAGCTTTGTTGAAAGGATTTTGTCGACGAGGTGGCACAACTGGAATTGATCTATCTGAGTCGGATGATGATGATGCCATTGATTGTTTGTCTAATTCTTCTAATTGTCGCTGAAGTTCTGAAACCTGTTGAATTATCTATTAGAACAAATTATTCATATTTGATATTCAATTTTGTTTTGCTTGCCATTAATCTCATATAATCAAATCCAGAACAGGTCAATGCTCTCATCCAACTTTCTAACGAATCTTGATCTTCAGCTGATAAAACATATGAGCGATTTCCGATGAAGTTAATGTTGAAGCAATACTTTTCCGTTTCAGTTTCTGATAACTCAATGACACAGCCTTCCAATATTATCATCCCTAATAATTCTCCGCCCTTTTTCTCAAAGTAGAACAGTAAATTTCCTTTCAGAACAAACCATCGTCGTTGAAATGCTTTGTTCACTGTAAAATTGGTGGTTTTTTAAACAACTTGTATCATCGATTTAAAGCTCAAAAGATTTTATTTTCTTTTGAGCAATTTTCAAAGAAAAAACATTTTTAATCTTGCAATTTTCCTACCTTCGCCTCTTTTCATCAGATATCCTTCTTTATCCACAGGTTTTGAGTTTGCAAATGTAAACAAGGTTTTCTCGTTAATTTTCATGATTGAATTTTATTATTTTTCTATTCATAAAATAAATAAAAGAACATAAAAGTTGTAAACATTTTGATGTCTACGAGAAATTATTGAAAAGCTTAAAAGTCTTCAATCGGAGAGATGAGATTGTAGACATTTTGAATTGGAAAATTTATTTCAGTTAAATATTTTATAATTTTTGTCAATTTATGTCACAAATTCAGTTTTCTTAAAATGTAAGATGAAAGAATTATTGAGAATTGTATCAGGAAAAACATAGAAAATTTTGTCATTCTAATATAAAATAGTTTTTGGCTCTTGCTTGCATTTTAATTTACTGCACAACTACCTACGTAGAGTATGAATAATCTTTTGTAGACTTTTTTTGACGATCAAAACAATTTGTTTTTGTTTCATTCATTTTCTGTAATTTCATAACTTCCAAGTTAATAATGACACTATCGAACAAAATTATTCTTGGTCAAATAAGTCTCTACGTGTTTGCACTAATTCTTACATTTTGCTTAACGCTGCCACTGGTTTTGAACCAATATTTATTCGAGTAAGTATGGCAAATATCTAATTAAATTTTTCACTTTATGTTTAATTCTCAATTTATTTGAAAATAGTGGTCACTGCTTGCTCTTCAGTGGTGGATCATGGCAAGAAGATGACGGTTTATTGAACATTGCGTGGGCAAATAAATTATATTGCGCATTTCCTATCCTTACTGGAATTGTCACATTAATCATCGCAACTGTTCAAATTTATCGCTTAACAAAACTTTATCACAAAGAAGAAGAAAGTTCTTTCCTGGCTCTCTTCATGGATGCATTTTTCTCCCTAATATCATGCTCTATGATTCTAACATCAGCAATTTTCATCACACTTGGGTTTATAATTTGGTGCGGTCTAATGAACGAACGATTCCCATCATGCGACACAGCTGATGGACAAAACATCACAAAATCTGATGTCAATATCAATACAATTCACTTCTACACTCATATGGGAATAGCTCAATTCGGAGGTTGGAGTTCTTTCGCTACCTGGGTTGGATTAAGCACATTTGCAATATTGAAACTTGTCAACAACCATCAATTAAGGAATCTCCGAGTGTCAATGTATTTAGAGAGACAAAGATTAGTGAATGAAGATAATTTTCGTGAAAACCTCACTGAGGCACCACGTCCTGAAAGCTCTTCAGATTAAATATCGTCTTGTCTTTTACATTTGAAGATGATTCTTTAAAATATGCTTTGTGATCAGATTGTATCATTATCTTACTCAATAATCTTTTATACATCTTATACTTATCCATAATTTACATTAAATGTCAAGAAAATAATTAAATGTTTTGAGCTTTATGTTAAACTTAACATTTTACTGTCGTCTTCAATCAAAGCCCTCAGAATAAAGAAACAAATAAAAACAAAACTTTAATCTTTTGAACATCAAAATGTTTTCTTTTATGATTAAATTTTTATGAAGATAAAAGTTAAAATTGACAAAACATTAAGAATTATGTGATTAATGAGATAATAAAAAAACATTGAAAATGATTTTTAATGTAAAACAAACAGAAACTGGACGTCAACAAGTTCCAGGGTTATTCATGACCACTGAGATTTTCTACTCTGTACTTGTGAATGTGAAAAGTTTCTCTAAATAACAATTTCAAATTTCTCTAAACAGAAAGTAAAAATTAAATGAAGTTATAAATAAAAGCGTAAAAGAAATTTTGTACTTTGGCATTGAAAGATCTAGAGAGAATATCTAAGGAATGTGATTAAAATTTATGAATGCATTCGCTTAATATGTGCTATTAAATAGCGTTTTAAATTGCCTTTAAAAGTACAGCCTTCTCGAGTGCATGCATATTGATTAGCATCATGAATGCCTCGGTGCTTTGTAAGCTTATTACGTGTGTTGAAAGATTTCTTGCAAACATCGCAGTCGTACGATTTTCCACTTTTCTTCCCCAAATGCGTACTTTCATGTTGTTGAAGAAGAAATGGAAAGTGAAACTTCTTGGAGCAATAATTACAATGCCATTTGGGATCATCAGAATGATAAATTCTATGATTATACAATGCTGACTTGGTTTTGTAACTTTTCTCGCAAGATGGAAAATCACAAATGAAAGTTCGCTCGTTATTCGAATGTTTGTTAAGAATGTGATTCATAAGTGTCTGCTTCGATCCAAATGAAGACTTACATTGATCACAATGGAAACGACGTCGCTCAAAATGAACTTGCTCTTGATGATATAATCTTCCTGATCGATTTGAGAAAAGCTTTGGACAATGATGACATTTCTTGAGAAACTTTACATTTGATCCCGAAGCTTTTTTCATTTGATGATTTCGTTCTTTCTCAGGTTTTTCAGTTTTCCCTGCTTTTATACATTCCTTCTCAACTTTGACACTCTTTTCCTCTGATGCTTCACCTTCTTCGCCCTCTTCTTCGTCATGCTGACGATCGTCATCATTTTCATTTGCTTCTTCAACACGATTCTCATTCAAAGTTTCCCGCTCTTTTAAATGTCCCATCATATGTTGAATTAAAGAATTTCTATCGATGAAGTTGTCACATGTTTCACAATGAAAGACTAAATCAATATGAGCTGACTTCAGATGTTCGTTGAGTTCTGAAAGTGTTGCAATTGGTGGTTGTGGTTGACAAAAATCACAACTGTAAATTTGGTTTGGCCCTGGAATGTCGTCAAGTTGTGTCATTGCAAGAATCCTACGATTTAAAAGATAATTTATTTAATGTTGTGGACTATTTTCATTACTTACCGGTCAATGTCTTTTGCCAGATCTGTCTCGAGCGATCCAGGAATTTCAAGTGATTTATCACTTTCATCATCTTCTCGAATCGCCACAAAATTGCTCCTTAAATTGTTTCCATCGCTTAACATCAATCCTATTTCATTTACAGCATCAGCAAGATCGTCTTCAATCTGTTTTGCTTCTTCCCGCGAATTTTCCAGCGATAATTTGCGCAATTTTTTATCATTTTCAATGGAAAAGTTATACAACCCTTCAAATTGCTTTAAAACAACGTTACAGGAGTTACAAATGTTTTTTGGAAAAGTATCACCTTGCGATATCTGTATTAAATAAAGTTTTAATGAGCTAAACTATTTAAATTTTAAATGACAACAAACCTTTATGTATGGCAGATGTTTTGAGATCAAATTTAAAATATTTTCTTCAAATATTGAGATCAATTTTACACGATTACTTAAGCACAGACGACAACAATTAATTAAATCTATATCTGTTGGTATCACTTCCATTATTTGACTGGTTTTATTTGTTTTTTAACCATTTTTTTACGTTGTTTGCCTCTTTACGGTTTCTGGATTTCTGCGATTCGCATTGTTGATAATAAATGCGATTTCTGTACGAATCGCACTATTTTTGGAGAGTTTTTGAATAATAATTTAACACGTGAAATAATAACAAAAGATTATTTTTTTAAAATGTCTCAAGTCTCTCAAGTTAACAGCGTTGATATTTATGAAAACTTTCTATTGTTCCATGGAGCGCAACTTCGAGCAAGTGGTGTTCCCGAACATTACTTTAAATCGATTTGTAATAAACTAAAAAATCAAATTTTCGATGCCGGCGAATATTTTCAATTATTGTTATTGGATTATGGTGATGAAGAACGAGGTGAAAAGGATCCTGTCTTTACAGTAATGTCACTACAAGATATAAAAACTGATGATCCAAATGCAATCTTTCTCATCGATCACGCTTTGACATTTAAATCTGATATTTTGCGTAGACAACTTCTGGAGAATCCGGAAATTGCTAAACGTCTTTCAATCATGATGGGATTATCAGCTGATGATAATGTTGATAGTATTGTTGCAAACATTTGGAGATTTTGTAACTTTTATTCTATAAATTCACAAGGTAAGAAATTTAATGTGAAAAGTTTTTGCAATCTTAACTAACTTTTCTCAAAGGTGCATCGGTTGAAGATTCTCTGCCACTGTGGTATGTCATGGATGAATTGGGTTCAGGAATAGTTCATAACGACACCCCAAATTGTCGCGTTGTTCCATTCATTTACACTGCTGAACAAGCTACTTACAGTCTTCTGTTTCCAATCAGGAATATTGATGAAGGCGAACAAATAACTCGAGACTATGTTGAAGGATTTCTAGACAATCGAGATTTGTTTTTATTACCATGGCAAGAGAATGACTTTTCTGAAGAAAGCTTGGAACAAAAGGAACCTGATATGGCATACTTTCTTCAAGGAAGAATTGAAGAATCGCTTCCTGAAAATATCGACACAGTTCCGTCACTTAATGGGAATCAACCTTTGAAAGTTTTCAGCGATTACAATCTCGTCAGACAATATTTGACAGATCCAGCTTTTGAAGTGTTAAATGAAGATGGAAATTCAGAGGAAGCTGATATTTTATGGCTGACAAAACATTTCAAAGGCTTCAATGAACTCAACAAGAACTTTCCAAATACTTTCATCAATCAATTTCCTTTTGAAAATGTTGTTACGATAAAAGATTTACTCGCAATTGTTTGTCGTCGTTCCATTGAGAAACATCACAATGCTGATAATTTGACGACATTCCCTTCTTGGCTTCCAACCACTTACAATCTTAAAACGGAACTTCGTCAATTTGTGAGTTTCTTTCAAAATCGAGAAGAAAAAGAGTTTGACAACCACTGGATTGTGAAGCCATTCAATCTTGCGAGAAGTCTTGACACTCACATCACGAATAATCTCTCGGAGATCATTAGATTATCTCAAACTGGCCCCAAAATAGTTCAGAAATATATCGAGAATCCGGTTCTTTATAATCGTCCGGAAGTTGGCGGAAAAGTGAAGTTTGATGTTCGTTATGTGATTTTATTGACAAGCACTGAACCACTGATTGGCCACATTTACAAGAAATTCTTTCTTCGATTCAGTAACGTTCCATTTGCCATGAATGAATTCGATGTGTATGAAAAACATTTTACAGTCATGAACTACAATGAGAATGCTAATTTAAAACAATTAAAATGTGAAGAGTTTTTAAATGAATGGAGAGATCAATACGCGAAATATCCTTGGGATAAGATTGAAGATGAGATTTGCGAGATGTTTCAAGAGACTTTCATTGGTGCAACAAAAGAGAAACCCCCTCGTGGTATTGCTAACAATCCACAAAGTCGGGGACTTTACGCTGCTGACATCATGCTGAGTTGGGAAGACTCAAAAATTCAACCGAAATTGTTGGAAATAAATTTCATACCTGATTGTCAGCGCGCTTGTGAATATTACAAGGACTTTTATAATGAAATCTTCAAGCTTCTTTTCCTGGGTCAAAATGATTCCGATATCTTCAGGAAGTTTACATAATCATCATGATTGGAATTTGAATTTAAATTGAATGAAGTTAAATAAATTTTTATTATTATTTTTGTTTCTTAACAATGAATTTGAATTTTATTCACTCGTCACTTGTTTTGTTGTCAAACTGGCTTTGAAAATAATTTAAATATTGTTTATTTCTGTACAATTGAAATTGTTGCGCCTTGAAAAGTTCTTGTAAAAGAAAATTAAATTAAACAAATATTTTTATCAATTCATGAAAATATTTTTCTCTATTTTTCTTTAAATTTTTAAAATAATTTGCATCTGATTGATATGGCAATAACATAATAAGTAATAAGTAGAAATTGGTCGGACATCTTCTAATGAAGGCTTAATCCATTAAAGTACACAAAATATCACAATTAAGCACTAAAATTGTCAAGAAGTCAATTCATAAAGTTAATTAGTCTCTTAAAAAAGTTAAAATCACTCGTCATTGATAGCCCTGTAACGATCAGTAATCGTGGAAATCTTCGAAGATTCTGTTGATAGCGGAGGCTTCGTAAATTCAATTGACTCTCGTGCTAGTTTTCCTTCAGTTGATTTTCTAATGCCATAAGTGAAGTAAATGCAATATCCTTTAAAACAGAATTTAAAAGTTAAAAAAGCTTGAAATAAATAAAATTAATTGAATGAAACACTCACCGATAAGCAACCAAACAGCAAATCTTATCCACGTGTTCTGATCAAGTTGAAACATCAGATAAAGATTAATTAAAATACTCAGACATGGTAATACTGGAACGAATGGTACTTTGAATGAAAGTTCAACACTTTCGTCTTTAGGTTGTCGTGACATGACGAGTATTGTTAAGATCATCGCTGCAATGACAATAATCAACAGAGAGAACGTCACATAATCCAAACTAAACTTCAATATGCTGCATAACCCAATCGAAAGAAGACAAAACGCAACAACCCCAACTTTAACAATCGCTGAAGATAAATTATTTGGTTGTTTTGTGAATTTGAAATTTGTGATTTGCCTGATAATTGTGGTGACGTTTGATGATGTTATATCTGATTGTCCTGAGATTGTATTCGGTGCATCATAATGAAGAACCAATACACAAATGGCTACAATTGTGTAAGCGAGAAGTGTTCCAATACTCATCATGTCGATTAGTTGATGTAGATTGAATATGAGTGCCATTGAAGCTGCTAATAATCCCGACAATAATGTTGCAAGAAGTGGAGTTTTTGATTTAGGATGAACGCGTTTCATGAACTTGAAGATAATTCCATCGGATCCCATGGCGTAGAGAACACGTGGCAAAGGAAACATCGCGCCTAATAAGCTCGTGCAAAGTGCAAAAATCGCTCCAATTGACACAATCCACTTAATTTCAATCCATCCGATTTGGTCAAAGACGTAAGGAAAAGGAGCTTCGGGATTCTGATCGTAATAAGGCCACATCATTGTAAGAACAGTTGAGATTCCAAAGTAAGCGAAGAATATGATTATGAGAGATATGACAATAGCCAGTGGAATATTTCTTTTAGGATTCTTGGCTTCTTCTCCAGTTGTTGCCACACAATCAAACCCGACAAAGCCATAAAAGCATTTTGCAGCACCAGCCATGATTCCAGCAATTCCATACGGCATGAAACCACCCTCACCACCTCGTACACCTTCTGGAATATCTTCTTTAGCAATTGCCCAATTGGCTGGGTTTGATTTGATGCCTCCAGCAATTAAAACTATTGAAACTGTCACAAGATTAACACAAGTGAAAATGTTGTTGAGCATACTTGATTCTTTGACGCCAATAGCCAAAATTACTGCGAGAATTAACACGATGACGAATGAAAAGAAATCGGGATATTCAGCTAAGAAATCAACGTCAATTGGGAACATTTCACGCCAAAAGTTTCCCATCCTCTTGTCAAGTAATGAGTCGATATATCCACTTAAACCTCTTGCTACTGACGATGTTCCAATGACGTATTCCAAAATTAAATTCCATCCTATTGTGAAAGCCACAAACTCGCCAACACTGACATAAGAGTAAACATAAGCTGAACCAGCTTTCGGAACTCTTGCAGCAAATTCAGCATAACAAAGACCTGGGAATTGAATTTGATAATAAAGAATTCTTCTTTTTATGAATTTGTTATTTACCAGCGAAAGCTGAGGCAATAGCTGCGATTAGAAACGAGATCGTTACGGCAGGTCCCGCCTGCTCATATGCAACACTTCCGGCAAGAACGTAAACTCCTAAACCCAAAGTTGATCCAACTCCAAGTGCCGTCAAATCAAATAAATTGAGAACACGAGCAAGTTGTGACTCTGCATCAGCTTCGTTGCGCTTCTTCCTTGTCAAAGCATTCCATAGTCTTGACATCATCAACTTTTTTTTTTATTTAATGATCAAATTTAACGATCTTTTCTCTGAAATTTCAATAAAACTTAATCTTCGTCTTGAAACTTGTTATTAATTTCGATCACTATTGAAATTCATGTCAACAATCATTTATTAAAAATTCTTGGAAATTTTGGCATCAAATTAGCGACTTTCTTTTATCATTGAACAACCCTGGTGAAAGTTAAACAAATAAAAAATTTGTTTTTAAATCATTAAAAGTCATTTAGCATCTTCTTTGGAAATTCCACTAAGGTTGTTGTGTCGTTTCTATAAGTATCTATAAAACTATAAATAATCATCAAGATTAGATCATTTATTACTAGATAATTAATTAACAACGTACTTAAGTCGATCTTTTCCTATCTAACTTATTAACATTTGTTTTATCGCAAATATTTTATAAGTTTCGCTTCCTAAACAGTCAACAACTTTGTTTTATTCAAATAAACAGGAAATATGAAAATTACGCTGCATTTTAGTGGGAACTCAAATATTTTTCACGGAATTGATTTAAATTTTAAATTAATAATTCAAGCTTTTCCAAAGTGATTTCTTATGAAAAGATTTTTACTTCTAATAGAAGTTACGAAATGATGATGAAACTTTTACAGTCTAGCACGCTTTATAATAATTTAACTATTTTGAAACTGGTTTAGAACGTAGGAAAAGGTTTAATAGCAATTTTGATTAATAAATCTTTGAAGAGTTATCTAAGAATTGTTTAATTTAATTTGTCTAATTATTACTTCATAAATACCTCGTTAACGTTGTCTAAACTTATCTACAATTATTGCTATCAGTTAAAAGTTCCTCAATTGATAAAGCGGCACAAATTCTTTCAATCACTTAACTGCCAATTAAAATTCCATCACTCAAAATAGAAAAGTGGTGCTTGACATTTATAGCGTTACAATTGCTGTTCAACATAGTTTGAATACATAAAAGCGTCATGTTGACTCTTCTTATCTTCCGACCTAATCAAAAATCACTTAACATTTGCTTAAAAACTTTGTAATTGAGTGGATATTGCACAACTTTTATTGAGGATTCGTATGAAAATAAAAATCACATGACCATTTGCGATTGTAAACGAGTCTAGTGTTCATTCAACTTTCAAACTTGTTATTACATAGATTTTTTAATTTTTTTATGAAAACCATGAAAGTTTAATTGGCTTTTGCTAAAATTAAGTGAACAAATTTTTATTTTCTATGTCGAGGTCGTTGTTGACCATCAAAAACTTTTTACAACTATCAATTCATGACGCTTTCCTTCACTGATAAGTGATAAAAAAATTAAATATTTCTCACCGAAATGAAAGCTTTTAAGTTCGTGATATTGACAATTTAATCCTCATTGTATGATATTTAAATATCAACAAAACTGCTTTATTGACTTACGAGAAATTTTTATTTCCTTCACAAAAATGAAATCAATTTGGAAAGTGACGAATTTTGCTAATTGGTGAATGCTTAAAATGCAATTACAAAACAGTTTGTTCGGGGATTTTTTGCATTGTTATGAAAATATTTTTAAAATAACAAAAGAGATTAAATTCCAATATTTAACACTCATTCTCGTCATGCCACACATAATAACATAGCGAATAATGCTTAATAACAATCGTTAAGGTTCAATGCCAAATCTAGGTTGGTACACGCACAGAAATTTTATTCATCGACTTTGTTGTCGTTCATGGATGTTTATTTAAACCTTCTTGAAGTCATTTAAATTCGAAAGATTTGAATGCATGATGGAAAAAATTATTTAATGAAAAGGAAGGAGTTGAAAGCAACAATCATCGCTAGTTTATGGGACGTAAGCACTTAGATAAGAATTTATGAATGACTTTTAATTACACGTTTCACTCCAAGGCGATTAAATCGCGTCGAGCGTTCTTCTAATGAAGAAGCGAGTTCCGACTTCATTTTTGCAATCTTATTTGGTTTCACTTTACCTTACCTAGTTAGGTTTGTTGATTAGCTATTGAATAGTCCGACGACAAAAACTTTAATGAATTCATTTGGAACGGTGATCAGCGTAAATTTCACATTTCAATTCCACTAAATTTCATTCAATTGAAATCTCAGAGCGGAAACTTATGGAATGTTTTGTTTATACTTTTTTTTTATTCTTGTTTCATTTACAGTCATTGCAAATTATTTTAACCTTGAATAGAGCATGGCATATGATATTCTGATTATCGATAACATTGAAGAAGTTCAATGACGAGCCTGACTATGCATGGAAATTTCCGATGTAAATAGTTTAGTCTGATTTACCGTTTAGCAACTTTAAACCTGATTAGTCTCGACTCACATTGACAAAACAAATTAACATGACTTAATTCATCAAACACTTTTAAATTTTGCTACTGAAAATTCAATGTATAAGCCAACAAAGTATTTCTCTGATGATTATTCATACCGAATATGAATTGATCGCAATTATTCTCGTCATTAATGTTGACTTATAAAATTTCAACCGCTACTTAGACTATTTTTATTGATGTTGAGTAAATAACTTGACTATAACAATTGGAATTTAAGTTATTTTATCACTTTCAGCATGATTAATTCTACTTGATGTAGTTGATACATGTGTGAAACTATTTACTTTGTATTCATGTCATCTTATCTGAGTCGAGGGCTGTTAAGACAATTTCCAAGAAATTCCATCACAAGTGTTAATTTAATTAAACTTACTTCAATTTTTTTCTTTTAATTTAAATCACGAGTCTGTCTATTGAATAAACTGAATTTTTATCACAAAATCACTTCAAAGCTGTGGAAATTTGATGTAATAAATTTAGTTCTACGAGTATGTAAATAAGTTGCAGATAAAAATAATTCATACGAAGGAAATTATTTTATTTGTACGTATTTTAAAAGATATAAAATTCCCACAACTTGTTTAAATATCAAACCGAACACAACAAGTCTATGAAATGAACTGAGTCGCTCTACAGGTGCAAACCTTTTATCTTGTCTATCTTTATTTTTGTTGTTAAGCTTTTCTCATATATTTCAAGTTTTCAGAGAGAAACTTCAACGATTTGTGAGTGTACAAGCTTCTGAAAGAGCTTGAATGAGACCTTTTTGGTTTCAAAAGCCGCTTTTGCTTCTCTTTCGCTATTCCATAAAAGCTTTTAAAAATGCTCAGAAAATATTTTAATCAGAATGAAGAAGGAAATAAAATCGCATCCAAACTTCTGATGTTTCTAATTTGTAGACAAAATCTGAATTTTTCTTAATTTTCTATTTTTAATTCAAGCAACTCTACAAACTTGTAATTTTCATCACGAAAGACCAAGCAAATATTTTTCTGTGATAAATTTATTGCAAAGAGAGTTGTGACTAGCAAGTGATATGATTCGTAAAGTCACATCATCAATCATCATGAATAGAGTGAACGTTCTTGATTTTGATGACCATGTGCTGGAAAGGATAATAAATTACATAAGCAAACGTCAAAATCTTGCATTAACTTGTAAAAGATTTTACGCAGCAATCTGTAGAGTTGAGAAATATGAAATGAAGTTGCTGATTGAAGTAAGAAAAAAATCAATTTAATATTTATTCTTCTTTAATTTTAAATGTTTCTTTAAGTCAGCAACACTGGAAGATTGTTATGAATCAATAATGAATTCAAGACGTCAATTTAATGAATTTCAACTTGATGCTAAGGCACTGTCATCAGATAATGTTTATGTGATTAGCAGCCTCAAATTGTTCGGTGATAATATCACAAAAGCAAACGTTAATTACTTGACTTCTAAAGATTCCTTGTCATTTCTTAAACACTTGATTAAACTTGAACATCTTGAAATGTTGTTTACAAAAACCGACGCTGAATATCAGAAAGACGATGAAACTGAAAACTTCTTCAGAATAAAAAATCTTCATGTGAATTCTCGTGACGGAGTCCCTGACATTTTTCATTTATTTACGCATGGAGTGCTCGACAATGTCATAATTGAAATAAAGAATTTCAACAAAGATTTAGACAAATTTTGGGCAACCCAACCAAACATTAAGAAGTTGAAAGGGAATTTCATTTCTCTAAGGCAAATGGAATGTCTAAAGTTGGAAGAATTTATTTCCACAAATTGCAATATTGATGTGAGTGAAGTCGTGAATTTCTTGAAATCACAACCAAACCTGATTAAACTTGAACTTGAGGCATGCGTTAAAGAATCACAATTGCAGATCTTCCCAAATCTTCTCTTAGAAAATTTAAATAATTTGCAAATTTTGAATATTTGCTTTGAAGAACTTTCATTTGAGTTGATGATTAGCTTGACGAAATTAAAGAATCTTAAAGAGTTAAGTTTACAAATATTCGAGGACGACTTTGACGTTTCCGTTCTGACTTCTGTCGTCTTTAGCAATTTAAGAAAATTATTTCTTGAGATTAGCGAGACGTCAATTACGAGAGAATTTTTAAATAAGTTGAAAAGTTCATTCCCATGTTTAAAAGTTTTGTCACTACGAACTGACATGCCTTTGATTCTTTATGAACTTTTAAATATATTTTGTGAAATTGAAACTGTGGCCATTGATCTTTGGGATCAGCTGGCAATTGGTGATTTCTTTCATCCAAATGTCGATAAAAATTATAAAAATTTAACTGAACTTCATTTTACTTTTTCTGGAAAACGTTTTCCAATATCGTGCATGAATAATTTAATTAACAAAAACTTTCTACCAAACCTACAAATTATTAAGTTTGATGGACTTTCCCAAATAACTTTCAATGAAGAATTTCATTTGTGGATTAAAAATCTACCGAAAGTTCAACTTTTAATCATCAAAAATATTAAAATTGAGGACGAAGACTTTGACATCTCCGAAAGTTATTTTAATGACACATTTTCAGAGTTAAATAAAATAAAAAATTTGGACATAACTTTTAATTGTACTTGTGATCACATTGAAGGCATTCGTAACTTTCTGGATGAACAATTCGATGGAATTAAATGTAAAAACTTTACAATAAAAAAATAATTTTTTACATTTCCTGTTATTTTAACCATGTTCATAATAAAAGATATTTCAAGCAGAGATGAATGTGGGGATTCCTATGGGAATTTTTATTAAAAAAATCACCGCATTAAACTCTGATTTAAATTTTAAAAAAGAAATGAAACAATTAAGCACTCAAACTATGTTTCCATCTAAAACAAAAAATCATCAATTTCGTCACATTACATTTGAAAAAGTGAATCTCCACATGTTTTCCTTGATTCTATTTTTAAAACTTATGTTCAGTGTCAGAAAATATTTTCTCATCTGCAACTTGAAAAGTAGAAAAATAATTAAATTTTCAATGGATAAATTGAATATTTTGAATTTTGATGAACACATTCTGGAAAGAATTTTCAGCTACGTAAGGAAACGTCAAAATATTGCTTTAACTTGCAGATTGTTCTATGATCTTGTTTGTAAAGTTGAAAAGTTTGCACATAAATTAGTTATACAAGTAAGATTATCAATTTCTATTTATTTATGATGAATTATTTAAATATTCGCTTGTTAATTTGTAGCCTTGGACATTGAAAGAAAGTTTCATCTCCATGAATAATTCTTTACGACAATTCAACGAACTTGATTTAATTGCCTTCTCCCTCCCATCATTAAGTCAACAAGAAAAGAAAATGCTCGGAAAACTTGTTAAAACTGTGACAAAAGCAAGAATCTCTCGTGTAGAAGCGAACCAAGTTCTTCATCTTGAAGTTTTGTCTTTGATGCCACAACTTGAAATTCTTGATCTGAATTTCTCTGATGTAATCACAAATCATGAAATCAAACAAGAAACTTTGACTCTTAAATCTTTACGAGTATTAAAAATAAAATCTGAGACTGGAATTCCATACGAGGTCATTAACCAACTTCCAAGTGGCGTTCTACATAATCTGTCATTGGACATTAAAGATTATAATAAAGATTTGACAGAGTTTTGGAAACTTCAACCAAACATTAAAAGTCTCATAACTAATTTCGTGAAACTTTCTCAGTTAAAAAATTTAAAACTTGAAAATTTTTCATGTTCAGCTTCTGAAAGTGATTGTGAAGATCTCGTCGAGTTCCTTCAATCACAATCAAATTTAAAATCGTTTGAATTTTTAAGTTGGATGCAAACTTCCAGAGTTGTAAGCATTTTAAATGTCGCCAGAATGTTTTATGATTTGCAATCTGTAAGCATTTGTGTGGAAGAAGTGACAATCGAAATTATGAATTTGTTGGCTAGATTAGAAAATTTGAATGCTTTGAAATTAGAAATGGCTTTTGATGATGACATTTCCCTAGATATTCTAACTTTCGTTACATTTCCAAGAGTTCAATGTCTGAATTTAATTATTAAAACTTTGACAATTCAAAGTCATCATTTAGTTGATTTAAAACACGCGTTTCCTGTCTTGAAATCGCTTCGTGTTAAAATTTTCAGTGTTTGTAATCTTTGTGAAGTTCTCGACAATCTTGATGGACTTGAAAAATTTTCAGTTGATTTCTGGTATCACGACGAAGATAAACTTTATGATTTCTTCAAGCCAACTCTTAATTGTAAAATTTATTCAGAAATAAGAGAACTTCAATTCGAAATTTATAAACCAAATTTAGATTCACGTTGCTTGTCTAGTGTCGTTAATTACAATGCAATGCCAAATTTGCAATCGCTTGCAGTTAAAGGATCGTGTCGAATGTTATTTGACGAACAGTTTCTTAAATTCATCAACAATTTACCAAGCATTGAAAACTTGGATGTTGAGAAACTTCGAATTCCTGGAAATTTCAACATTTCCCAACAAGCTTTCAAAGCTTTCCAAAAACTTTCTCAAATGAAATTTGTTAAATTGAAAATTGAGTGTCCACGATCAGAGATCATTAAGATGAAAAACTTTCTAGATAAGAATTTTGATGAGTTGTCATATTCTAAAAGCGTTTACTTTGTGATAAGAAAATGAAATTATTGATGAATTTTATTTCACTTAATTCAATCAATGGTGGATCATTGTGATTAAATCTGTCTATATTAGACGAATCCAACATTCAGAATTTTAAATAAACTACAAATGAACAGAATTGTTAAATGACTTTTGATAATTATTTGAATCGGAATGAATTTGATGTTTTTGACCACCAGGAGTCGTTGAACATCCAATGCAAGTATGCAACGTGTCGTGAATGAAAATATCGCAGTCAATGCAATAAAATATTCGACATTTGGGGCATTGATATAAACTCTTGTCGATGTCTTGAAATGGACGCTGGCAGCCAAAACAATGAGTTGATTGCTTTTCGTATGGGACTTCAATGAAGTTCGCAATGGGGAAAAGATGATGATAAGAGCGAGCAAGATGTGGGGCAAGGACAAGCGTCAAACCACAGACGACACATTCAACTGGTAATTCGCAATATTTTGCTTGACACTGAGGGCAGAAATAGCCAGTTGTGGATAATTTGCGTGGCTCCGATGAATCCAAATGACACATACACATCGACATCATAGAAACGTCCTTTTTGTTTGAATCCTGAACAAGACCATGAGGAAATCCCATTTTAATCAAAGAGCATTCTTGAGTATTTGTCGCTTGCAGCGGCTCAATATGTTGAAACAATTGATCTTTGTAATGTGACTCGTCTAATATCGCGCTGTAAATTCCATGAGTTTGTGTTGTTAAATATCGCATTATTCTTGTCTCAGCTGATAAACTTATAACTGAGCATCTAATGTTTTCTTGCTTGAGGCTTTGAATCGTTTCCGTGATGTCGCCGGGATCGCAAGTCGTAAGACTACCAAGAATCATCAAAACTTCTCGACTTGCATGCGCTGGTATCATTCGAAGTGTTTGTAAAGCAGTTTCTAAGCCGTTTTGTAATGAAGGCTCTCCAACAAGATTGAGTTTTGTAATACTTTAATATCAAATTTCAAATTAAAACTTAATTAAATAAGTTTGAAGGATTGAAACTTACCTTTGAATCATTTTAACATGATTTTTATAGTTTCCAGCTAGTTCTGTGATTTTTTCAGCTTTTTTATTCTTCAACAATATTATTCCGACTTGACTGATGGGATTCTGATCGAAGAATTCTTCAATAAACAGCTGAAGCATCTTCAAAGTGTTGAGAAATCTTGTTGGTTTAAGGTCAGGAATTGACATTGCTTCAGAACAATCCAGCATGATATAAATATGTCTCATCATTCCTAGTCTCGATGAGCCTTTCTTGGCTTCTTGACGTTTCCGTTTTGCTTTCTGAATGATGTCATGAATAGATCCAGAAATCAAACCTAAATATTATCAATTAATTATGGAAAGCTATTCTTCACTTCAATTTATCTACCATTATTGTCTTCTCTTATTTCTTCCCAAGTTTTCTCGTACCCTGTCTCCCATCGATATTCTCTAATTTCATCGTCGTCCGCCATAATTTATTAAATAATTTTATGAAACGTTGCCGGCAATTCTAAAACTTTGATTGAAATATTTTTTGGAGAGTTTTTTGTTATGGAAAATTTACGATTCGCATTTACCATTGCAAAAAATTGCGATTCGAAACTTCGTTCCCGATATTCACGCACCGACAAAACAAAAGTTTTGCAAATTAGTCAATTTTAAATAAAAAGCCTCTTAAAATTTTAGAAAATTTATTATAGTTATAATTAGACTTTTGTCATTTGTCTCTTCATTAAAAGAATACTCAAGAGAGCTCATTTTTCGTAGTTAAAATCTAAAACAAATCAACATAAACATAGAAATTAGGCGCGAAAATGGCAAATTTAGAATCTTTTGTGTGTGAGGCTGTGGATGCAGTTAAATTCAAGCTAAGTGAGTATTCTATTAACTTTTAATTCATGTGGTTTAAAGCAATAATCAAGAAACTCTGCTAATTACTTAGTTCGCGATAGATCCGATGTCAACGATCCTGACAATGGATTTAAGCCTGAAATGGCTCATCAAGTATTTGGAGAGACGGAAAATATTTTCGGATATAAAGATCTTCAGATTAATGTGTATTTTTCTGCAGATGAATTGGATATCTATTATGATGTCAAATATACCACTAAGGTGAGTTTAACCTTTGTTACTTCTTATCGTCATTAAATTAAGAGATATAATAACAGGTCGATGACTTAACCAACAATCAAGGCTTGAAAGCTGATAATGTCAATGTCATAACTGAATTTTTTCCTACTGGATATTACACAAACCTCGAAGAATTCTTAAATGTTAGTGAAAAGAAGTCAAAAATGTTTGAGCCAGCTGGAGAAATGATTTGTGAGTTTAAAACTGACGAACGAACATTCCAAATTCATTTGTGTACGTCAACAACATCAAATTTCCTTAAATATCATGAAAGATTAGAATCATTTCTCTTTTGGTACGTTGATGCTTCAAGTCGGATTGCACAAGATGACCGATGGCGTTTCTTTGTTGTGTTTGAAAAATTTGTAAACAATGAAGGTGAGACGCGCTACGCATCTGTTGGCTACGCTTCAGTTTATCAATATTATCATTACCCGGATAAGATTCGTCCACGAGTCTCTCAGTTTTTGATTCTTCCTCCATTTCAACGTAAAGGAATTGGCTCCAAATTGTTGCAGACTATTTACAAACATTATCAAAACAATGAGAAAGTTTGCGATATAACAGTCGAGGATGCAAGTGAAGATTTTCAAAGACTTCGAAACACAATTGATGCTCGCATGCTCAAAACATTACCGGCGTTCGTTGTAGACAATCTCAAGAAAGGCTTCAACATGGCAATGGCACAAGAGGCCAAAGATAAGTTTAAGATCAATCCAAAGCAGTCACGAATCGTTTGTGAAATTCTTCGCTTGGGTGTCATAGACACGAATAATAAAGCGGAGTATAAAGCTTATCGCATTGATGTTAAAAAACGATTGAACATGAATTATTTGAAAGAGAAACGTGACATGAAGAAACTAACTGATCGAGGTTTTAAAGTACCAGCTGACAAGAAACTTCTTTTACCATCGGTGGAAGAAAACATGGAGCAGCTGGAAGGGATGTACAGAGAAACTGAAGACTACTATCGAGGCGTACTAGAAAGAGTTTAAAACCTTGCATTGCAATGTCGCGTAATTTATGTTGTCACTTTTGAAACTTTTTCCATTTTCATTTATTGTTATCTTTCAAGCTTGAAATTTAAAAATTAAAGTTTTTCTTTGAAACAAAGTTTCTATAGCTTTTTCTTTCCTTTCTTAAAGCTCTAAGCTTCGAAGGTTATGGATACGTTTAACAAGCTGCAATATTTCAATTTTTCTATTTAAAGTTTTATTCTTTGATCTTTTTTTGTTTTATTTTTTTATTTGAATAAGAGGAGTGAGTTTTATCAGACATTTTTAAGATTAATTTCTTTTAGTTTTTTCTTCTTTTATCTTTTTTGTCTCTCTCTCAATTTTAAAAATGAGAGTCAAACATGCTCTCTCTTTTCTTTTAAAGAGAGACGAAGAAAATTTGTAGACTTTTGTGGTGCATTTTCCACGATGGACCATTTCCCAACATTTCTCTCTCATTTTCGAATTGTTGAGATTTTACAGCATCAGAAAGCAACAAAAAAAGAAAAAAGAAATTTTTTTTAGTTTAGATTTTTTATTCAACGTGGGTAGACGATTTCAAAATTCCTTTCTTACTCGGGGGCGTAGTATTTATTGCGCTGTAAATTACCCGTGAATGATAACGAATTGAGAGGATTTTTGTGAAAAAGTTCTCAAGCATTGCCACACCCGAAACAGTTTAAATCAAACTCTGATGGTTCATTCATTAGAAGTAGAAAGAAAATCAAATTTATTTTACAAAAATAATTCGTACGCTGACCCTTTAAAGTGTTTTCTGTGGAAAAACAGTGCAAGATAAGAAAAAAAGAAAAGCAAATAAAAATAAACTTTTCGGATTCTCTTGATAGTGTGAAAAGATAAATAATCGTCGAAGTTTTTCCCTTTTTATCCTTCGTCACATAAAGCGGATGGTTGAGCTCGAATTCCCCAAACAATTCCTTACCTTCCGGATGTAAACAAGCTTGTACGGGGAATTAAATAAACATGGAAAAACATTAACATTTAAAATAAAAAGGGAAAGTTACTCAACGAATCAAGTAAATTCAACATCATAAACGAAAATTATGAAGTATTTAAATGTCAAAAACATTTTAACATGGAAATTATGCAACGTTATGATTATTCTGTTATCATGTAAGTTTTGCAGCGGAATAATAGAAGTTGGTTTGTCTAGAATTATCTGTTAGTGAAGTGCGTTTAATGAAAGATTTTTAATAAAGTTACAAACAAACAAGAATAACAAACATAAATGCTTCCTTCAAAGAAATTGTTCTTTTGCTGTTTAATCTGAGTTACGCAAAAGAACCGAGAGCAATATTAGTCAAAATCAAGTTGTAGCCAAGTAGAAAATTTATGCATGAGACGACAAACTCATGCAAAAAGCTTTCGATTTCTTCATGTAAATTATTCAAAGGCGCTTCAAAGCGGAAGTGAATGAAGAAGGGAGGCGGAGGCTTTTGGCGAGCAAATTCTTTTTAGAAATTTATGCTTCGTAAAACTACATCATTCAGGAAGTGGGAATGAAAACATGGGATAGCAAAAAACATAACTTTTAGCAAGAGAGTAGATTTGAAAATAAAGCAAAGAGATAAATAATTTTTTGTCCAAACTTCAAGTTGTGATAAATTAATGAATAAATATCGGCGAAGACTTTCTTCGCTTCTCTTGTGTGCTTTGGGAGATGAGACGAAGTTAAAGTGTATACAGATAGAGAACAAGAAAACCATAAAAGATTAATTATTCATGTCAACAAAGTCACACCGGAGTAAGCTTTGAATTCATCGTCGTTTAAATTGCATCATAGCGGGTGTCAAAGCAGATTTCTTATCACTTTCTTTCATGATTTTGTGACAAGTCGGATGGCTAGGCAAACCACAATTTCATTTTTGAATAAAATATTTACTTTTACTATCTAGCCTTTCTGATAAACTTAAATTATTCGCTTCTCTTCTACGTTTGTCTGGTGGGAAAATTCAAGGTGCAATGAAATAAATTCTATCATCTTAGTGGATAAAGAGAAAAAAGAAAATAAAAGTTTCAAAGAATCAAAGAAAAGGAAAATATAAAGCAAGAGCGACCTGAGAGCTTTTCACAGTCAGGTGTCGTCTGCTCATCAAGATTAAAATAATTGAAATTTATGTTGCTCGAAATAAAGATTAAAATTTTCTTTTAATGGCAAAACATTATATATAATGGAAAGTGTCAGAGATAATGAGAGTTTTGTCCATTTATTTCTTTCATGATCCAGTTCTACCCAACACTCGCACTCTTGACATTACAAACATCATTGTGCCACCTTTCGTTGATGTACGCGATGTGGTCATGCTTTCATGTAGTTATAACATTGGCAACCAAAAGCTCAACTCAGTGAAATGGTATAAAAGTGACAAAGAATTTTACAGGTAAGCTTGTACATGCAATAACAGTCGCACATATTGTAATGAATGCACTCGAATGAATCCCCGAGACTTGGATTTACATAAAATCCATTATGCAAATGTGTTTGCAAACATAAAATTTAATGCATATGCAAAGTAATTTGCTTTCATTTTTTTTATTCCATTATTTTATCTTCTCCCCTCAACCACATCGAACAAAAAAAAATCCCTATGAACTTATCACATCCTGAACGGATGAATACATCAAATGTTAAATGCAAATCCATTACGTCACTCAAAAAAGATATTCGCCTCTAATGTCGACAAAACAGAACATGATTTTCAATGTTGAAGGCGTACATGTCAGCTCTGATCACGTGTGCAACGACAAGTTTTGCACAATTCATCTTGATAATTTGAGTAATGACACTTCAGGCGCCTACCGTTGTGAGGTGTCTGGTGATGCACCCGAGTTTAAGCTTTCACATGAAACGAGCAATATGACAGTTGTCGGTAAGTAAATTATGCACATTCTCTTACTCACTCATTGTGTGTCTCTCTCTCTCCTCTTTCCATTGTTATGTGAACATTTTATCAGCAAAACGTGACGATGTTGACTGATTTTGCTGTGTTCGCTTAAAACTTGTAGAATAAATACAAATCTTGTTGGAATTCTCAATTCAATGTTTGATGATCCAATTAGAACAGCGAAAGGAAGGAATTGAAATGAAATTAACTGCAACATTTTAATGGTACTCGAAATGAGAAATGACTTCGCTAAGTCACTCACGCCATTTTATTTCCAACATATCCAGATCGTTTAAACATTGTTAAAAATGCAATGAAAAGTTTTCTGCTTTCTTTCTCTCGCTCTTCAAAACTTTTTCCTCTTTCAATATCCAATTATGGCTGGCATGACGTGGCGTAGCGTGTTAGTACAGCGTGGTATAATAAACTGCAACACAATTAAACATAAAAGTGCTTGTTGACGGCTGAAGTATTGTTTTCACCTCTTGAGATGAACTCACTTTAACAAAATCCACTCGCTTGTTATTTGTCATTTACGAGAACGACAACCAACGACAATGGCATCGTAATTATTATTATTTTTATTCATAAGCATTGCTTCTCTTCTCACTTGCCAAGTGACTGTATTTAATAACAAGTGGAGAAGGTAGAGAATGAATTGCTAATGGCTAATTGAGATTTAACTCTAAAAAAAGCTAATGAAAGCTTTTTCATTGTTCAACCATTTCTCGTTTTTGGAATGTAAATTAACAGATTTTGAGGTTTCTCTCAACTGGTGTGTTGGAAAATGAGCTTCGAGAAAATAATTAAATGAAATAAAAATTAATTACAAATTATTTCGAAAGGTTGTGGAGAACTTTGTGGTCATGAATGCTGATTTATGCTTATGAGAAATGATTATAAGGAAAGCAATGGTTGAGGTGAAGCCTTCAGGGTCATTTTTTTGTAATTTACAGCTCTTTGTTCATCATGAACATTGCCACAATTGAAACGAATTCTTTAACCGTTAGGAAAAAACTTGTTTATTTACTTCCCTTATCAATTATTTCATTTTTAATGCATCTAACAAGAAGCTATGAGAAGAAAATAATTTCATTTCAACAGTAGTCAATTAACGCTTGAACCTTTTGAGGATATAAAAACATAAACATGAATTATTCAACATAGGGACTTGCTGGTCTTTTAAAGAGAAATATTCCGGACTTATTTCCGTCCCATCATACTCGTTCTTGAATGTTTTTTTTTCATGACCTTTTTGTTCATGCTTTTCATTTTTCTTTTTGATAGCCCTTCCCCAACATGATCCGAAAATAGAAGGCGTGGAGAAGAATTATTACGAGGGTGACTTTTTGTTCGGAAACTGCACTTCCGATTTCTCTTTTCCCCCGCCATATCTTGCTTGGTACATCAACGATCAGAAAGCTGACATGGCACTACTTCAGCCATTTCACGAGTCAACAATTGAAGCTTACGGCTTCAAATTACACCAACGCAGTTTAGAGATTCGCTTCCGGATAGATAAGAAAATTAATCCTTTCATCACTGATGGAAAAGTTCACATGAAATGCGTCTCTCAAATTCCACATATCGCGTCACAAATGAGAGAATCAAATCACATTTTCTATGTGTCATCGTGGGATGAGTTACGAAATCAAAAGTTAATTAATTGGAAGAATTCAGGTGAGAGATTAACATATTCACTTCAAGTGTTTAAATCAATCTGATGGGAATCTCATGATTTATCATTTTATGGTTACAGTCAATGACATTACAAATAACTTATAAGTTATTTACATACATCTGCCTTCCTTAACCCCTTTTCTATTTTCATTTATCTCATGCTCTTATCATTGTAAGAAGAATTATGTTAATTTATGTAAATTATGAGCAAAATTGTCAATTACATCTTGTAATGCCTTCGAAGTTCCAGACAATAGGGCTTGTCTTCCATTCACCATTATTTAGTGTTATCACATCACAAACATTTTAATTTATTTAAATTAAATCGACAGAAGTTTGTTCAGTTAATATAAATGAAATAGAAAATTCCCGAAATTCCCCAGGAGATGAAAACGGTGGCGACCGTAACCATAACATTCTTAATTAATTATGTTTCTTCCTAGTTTTCTCCCCAACCCAATCCACATCTTTTGTTGCCATTGGTTGAAGATGTTTCGCCAACAAACCCTTTTAACCCAAGAATATGTTGAAAGTCAAAGTGCCAAAATGTCACACACCATAATGAATTACATGCACAGTCATCGAAATTCTCTTCATACTTGAATGCTCTTGTGAGCTTGATGACTTTAATGCTCAATGGAGAGATTGTTTGTGGTTCATTAAGTGCCCGAGATGAGATGATGTGCTTAAGCGTATACAAATAATGTTGTGGGAAAAGGAATTACAAAAATGAAGCAAATAACTTTTTCGTATTCTTCTTATGTGCTCTTCTTAATCAATCATTATGATTGAACTGGGTGTGAAAGCTTTGTCGTCAACTCGAAATGCGATTCTCATTCAATTCACTTTCATAACTTAGCTTTGTCTTTCTTCGTTTTCTCAGATGTCATAAACACTTAGATATTCAACCATTTTCATGCTCGCAAATTATTTTGATGAAGTTTATATACATGAATGCTGTACATATGTACAGAAACTTTTGCTATCTGGAAATACATATAATTTAAGTGAAGTTCAAACATATATCTACATATGAATTGAGTTTTAACTAAAAACTTTTGCCTGTTTAACTCCCAGAAAGTACTCCATGGGGAGACATTAAATCCCGTTTCTCATCAATGCTAACATAAACAAGTTCAGAAATAAATCATCAACCAAAAAGGGAAACCACAGCGATACATAAAATAAGCTGAGAAAAATTTTAATGTCAAAAATTTATTTTGGGTTGAAAAAAGGATTTTTAAGCCATTTCCCTTCAACTTTTGTCAAGAAAAGGGCATGTTGTCGTCTGTGCTCTTCTTCTCACTCCAATTCACAAACAATTAAATCATTTTATTTTTAATAAGATCCTTGGAATGAGAATTTTTTCATTCATCTCATTTTTGTGCTGCTTTTAATCACAGTGTAGCTGAAAATATTGCGAATGGAAAATGTCACAATTCCAAACTTTGAACGTTATCTAAGCTTAGTCTTTCATGCGTAAATTTCATAAATATACTTTAACATTCTTTTAACTTTGCTTTCATTTTTCCATGCCGAAGAAATCTTCTCATAAACATTGTGTGGTTCAAACCATTTACTTTTTCTGCAAGTTCATTATTGTATAAATCGTTGGAAGTAAATTTATGCGATAATAAACTTCTTGTGGGAGTTACGAAGAACGTTATCAGATTTTGTTGAGCTCGCATTGAAAATTCCATAAATTTTTCGCTTCTGTTTCGTAGCTTGAACAATTTGTTTTTGGAGGTCCTCGACTATCTTTCTTGCTCTTGCTTTTCTATTTGCATGCGAAAATTTCCTTGAAAGAAAAATTCTCTGATATTCTTTAAAAATTATTCTTGTTGGATTGTGATGGAAAATAAGAAAGTTGCAAAGACGATGAAAGAATGTTTTATGTCGAACAATACGCTTTTCTGATTAAGTTTTTTCTTTCTTTTTTCTTTTTTTTTTTCGCCTCCATTCAAAGTTGATAACAAGCATTCATTTTTCTCTTCTTTTTATTCTTCTTTATTCTCTTTTCAGCCACGTTCCTGAAATTTGAATCATCGAAAGTGTTGGTAATACTTGCAATTGTTGTCAGCCACAAATTCTTGACGAAGAAGTTTATGGTAAACAGTTGATGTACTTAAGCTCTTAAAGATGAAAGAGAAAAACAACAGAAACTTATAAAAAATTATCTACGTAATTTAAAATGTTATATCTTAAACGAAAACAATATTTAAGATGAGATTAAGAATTTTATTTGAGGTAAAACTTTAACAATTTTTCGAAATCTTCTCAAATAATATTTTTAAAGGTATCAAGGTCAAAACGACTTGAAATCCTCTTAGTAACCTTTAGAAAAAGCAAATAGGCTGCTGTTTGTATAAGCCTGATCTACATGTGAACCAAGGAATCAAATCCTAACTATCTTCAGTAAATATTATTGATTTTATCCTCCACCCCTGCTTTGAAACCTAAAAAAATGAAGATTAAATAAGAATGCCAAGCCTCAAGATGAGGATCTACATTTTAGTCTTATTTCCTTTGTAAATATTCTCGCAACACTTGTTCAAACAAGAGTTTTACAGTGAAGTTCGCTAAAGGACTGGCTGAAGTGAAAGAATGGAGAGAAGATCTATCACATGGCCTTCAAAGCACTTGACTCGATTCTCATTCTTTCCTCGTCCCACACTCATCATTGGAAAAAAGGCAAAGTTTCTAATTAAAATATCAAATTTCTAGGAAAATTGAGAACTTAATTTTTTCTGCGGGAATTTTAGGGCATTGTTTGAAGCCGATTTCTGCTCTGATTATTTATGTTTTCAGGAAAGTTTTCTTTTAAAATTTTTAACTTTCTAAATTGTCTGTTTCAACCCTTTTTAATGAACGTCCCTTACGATAAATTTAAAATAAGTGGCCTTGATTTAAATCACCAGTTTTAAAATGTTTCTGTATCTAATAAGTATGTAAGTATGCGTATAAATTAAGCCAAAAATGTTTCGTTAACAGCCAGAGGCGAAATGTTTATTTTGCAAATTCATTTTCATTATTATCTTTGAAAATTTTAGAAATATATTAAACATTATCCATTTCCACCCGTAAGCCACGAAATCTTTTTTGGCTTTTGTTTTAATTAATTTCAAATTCATACATCAAGTCAAATTAAATGAATTTTTTATCGAATATATCGTATGTAGATGACATTTAAAATATCTCTCTAATAAACATCAATCAGTTAATTTTTTTGTCGCATTGTTTTATCAAAACATATCATTGTTAATATGTACATAAATGAGATTATTTATTTTCACCAAAGATATTTATAATGCGAACATTTCATAAATTTCTCACGTCATGTCACATTGAATTTATTAACACAATAATTTACAACCACTTCTAAAATTGTTAAACTACAATATCGATAAACATAAATAAAATGAAAAGAAAAAAGTTGTACATAAATTTCAAGCAGGCAAAGTTTCTAAATGACGTCTGCTTTTGATTTAAGAGATTGGATGAGATTGTTGTGTAACAATCCACAGGATTGAAGAATCAACAAACGAAATGAATATTTGACGTCATTTAGAAACAATTCCAGACCTCCACTAATATCTCATGTGAATGGTTAAAGCTAAGAAAAAAGAAATAATAATTTCAAAGAAGGAAAGCTGCTGAAAATTCTGTTTTCTGCTCAGTTAAGTGTAATGAAATGTTGACAAACTATGTATTGATGCGAAAAAATAAATATAAATTTTAAATGAAAATTCTTGTTTAAATTTATTATCATTAGTTCTCGAATTTCATATCTAATTTTAAATATTTATTATAATTTCAAATATTTTCGTTGTTGGCAAGCTCGAAGCAAGATTTTGAATCTCTCAACCAATAAACTGAAAAACACATCGAAAACATTTTAATGAGCTCATTTTTAGTCAAATGTCTGCAATTCAAATATTCCTCATGCCCTCTAAACATTTACCTCGCACTAACGTTAAAACTATTAATTTGCCAAATTATTCATGCTCTAAAATTTATCTCAAAATAAAATCATTATCTGCAACCAAATGCTTTTCCAGCTGTTGTAGCGATTGTTCAGTGAAAATTATTCGGCTGAAGTTTTATCGCTTTCGCAATTGCTTTTCTTTTCGTCAATGTATGCGTTCGAAATTTCCCACACCTACACACATGCAAAAAGAGATAAACAAATTTTAATATTGAAAATTTTCCCGCATATATTTTTAAGGTGATACTAAAGAGAATCACATTATGGGATTGACATGATGTTTAGAGAGTAACATAAGCTTTTGGGATCTTAAGTTTAAACTTTAAACGTCTAATTAAATATATTGACTTATACAATGGATTTATAGAATTTGATCCGAATGTTTATCCAAGTTATATTCATTTGAAAGTTTCCTAAACTTCACTTCATTCTCGAATAACACATGTTGGCTTTAATACTTAATGCGACTTTACTTATTAAGTTACGAACTTCCATTCATCACATTGCATTCTCTTTACCTTGTTTATGTTCTTCCTCGACTTATTTATTGTTATTTATTTTGAAGTGATCTGCCTCGACTTTATCCTTACACGATGGTAAATTGAATGCGATTTTACAATCGTAAAGTTTCTTGTTTGCCTTTTCCTTCTGGTTAAGCTTTTATCACGAAATAAATTGGCTGATGTTTAAGGGATCAGCACGACTTCGATTTACTTTCGTATGCCACTTTAGAAGATTTGTTCTTTTCCTTTTATCTTCCAACAGAAGGTTTATCCTTCTAATCAATGCCATTTATTTGTCAGTTTTGGGATGTGTTAAATTTAAAACTTTTCTTCTTTCTTTTCTTCATGAGACATCAACAATGAAAATGAATTTAGAATAAGCAAAGATAAAACGTCAAAGAAAATTCGTGAATTATTTTTGCAATCAGATTATAAACTTTCTGAGGAAGGAAAACACAATTCAGGATTATCGTGTAACATAAGATTATATTAAACATCGGATGTAACATGATATTTTCATGAGTAGACATCTACACGCATCGCAGGCAAAAGTTAATTATCTTTAACATGTCGTGTCATGATGTCTGATGATTTTGCTGTTATGCGTAAATGTCGAATTTGGAAGTTCTGTTTTGTGTAGTGTAAGAAAATTCTTCATTCTTAAACATTTGGAATCTGATAAGCGTCTCATGTTGCCAGGTATAATTCCATTGAGATTATTTAGCATCACATCGCAGCACTTCCCTTAAAGTTTCACGACGCGATGGCTTAGCACAACAGGCTAAGTGAAATGAAATACATACAAATTAAATTTCATCGTCTCGTGCGGGTGGATGATAAGACGCAAAAAGGGTTTTTGGTACTCTTTCCCTTCCCTTTTTCCACACCATACTTTATCGATCCCAAACGCTTAAAGCCGAAACGAACTTTCTGCGGAAAAGTCAAAGTTTATTTGTTGAAAGAAAATTGAATGAAAAATTTATGTGCTGAAAAGGGGTGAAAAATGTTTACGTTTTTCATTTTGTCTTCGTTTTTACGCTCCCCTTCGTATCTAATTTTGTGCTCATCCGGTATGATGTGTGCTCAGATGTGTCTCAATGTTTACGTCAACTCTCGAGTTTTTTGAAAAGAAAAATTTTAATGAGCAGGCAGAGCTTTCTATTCAACAACATTTACATGAGAAATGTTCATTTGATGGCTTCTTGTTTGTGTCGTCAAAAATTTTCAATGAAAAAACTGTTCAATTAAAAATTTCTTTCAACTTTTTAAGTGTAAAATATAAATGAATGAAAATGCCAGAAACAAATATTTACGTTTAAAATTCTCATTCGACGGAAGTTTATTTTACAGTAATTTCTTTCAACTAACGAGTTTGTCAATGAAATTTGATATTCAGGAGAAAACTTGAAGATAAATTGTTTGTTTGTTAATTAGCCTGCAAAATTTTCAGAAAACTTAAAATGTGACTATTTGATTTAAAATAATTTTCCGCTGTTATTGCATCGTCTTAAGTGAAAATTAATTAAGCACATAATGGGATAGATTAAGAGCAAAATTATTCTCGAATATTCTTTTTAAACTTCAATTGTTTTTATTCAACATTTAAATTGCAAGCGACATGAATTGAAAGGAAACAAAAAATGATTGTTAAGATGTTTCTTAACTATCGTTAAGTGTGCAGATCTGAAGGGAGATAACAATGCAATTTGAATCAACAAAACATTCAGCTTATCCGGTTAACGAAAGGTTTTTTCAGTAAGTTATGAAACTTTTTTTTTCGTTTCATAAAGACACTAACTTTCGAATTATTTATTTGTTATAGCTTTTATTTTCCTCTCAGTTGAGCAATAATATGCTTCGTTACAGCTGGCGAGCGAAGAAATTGTTTATTCTGTTATGAACTTTCACATAAAAATATTGCACAAAAAAATGGCGGATGACAAAAAGCATTATCTGCACAAGTGAATCTGAATTGTAAATATGAATTTTTACGATAAGTTGACAGCGCACATATTGTCTCAATTGCTGCACGATGACTCTACTTGTTTACAGTTTGTACAGTATTTCAATTGTTTGCTCGCCTTGATGAATGAGTGTTATTTTTTTTGGAAAGAATGAAAATTGTTAGGCAAAATGTTCCTTTCTTTATGTTATGTGATGTGTGTACATAAGAGAGACATCAAAGTTTTGTAAACATTTATGGCAAACATTCGCTAATTTCGTGCAACATGAAATGAAAATTATTTCTTTTAAGTACTCATTCAGTTGTATAACATGACATGAGGGAATGTAAATATTCATATTGAGTGAAAATAGACATAAAATATAGAAATGCGATTGCAAAAACATTAAATGACCATATCTATGTTTCACATTGCCACAAAACGAGTGTATGAATTATTAAGAACAAAAATCATAAACTTTTATTGGTGAAAATAAAATCGAACTAACTAAAAATATAGAAATTCCTTTTTTTCCTGGTGTTTTCAATATTTATTGAATTTTCATTGAAATCTATTTGATTAAGCTCAGGATTAGGATTAATTTATTGAATTCTTTTCGAGATCAGATTTAACAATTTCAGGATCAAGTTTAATCTATTGAAGCTGTCAGATTAGAGTTGGATTATTAACTCTTAAACCAAATGCTGTCAGATTATTTCAAGATTAAAGTGTAAAACTTCAGCATTGATGATTTCCTTACAAAGCTTTGCAAAGGTTGAAATTTAATATTAAAAGACTTAAATTTTTAGATCTGATTGATCATCAATATTCCCTAAAGCAGTGGATGTGAGATAAAACTTGTTTAATATCTCTAAAAACTGAAAAATTACAACCTTTGCATTTTTGAGAAGATTTTATGATAATATCATCTATCCTAAGCAACAGCATTAATAATTTTGAAGCATACATCTTAAGAATAACTATTAAAATTCTAGTATCTCTGAAATTAGTTTGCTATGAAATCGATCATAAAAATGAAAAAGGTTTTTAGAATTAAATGTCCTTAAAAAGAGAAGCTTAAATTTCTCTTAAAATCATAATTTAAGCTTCAACGCAAATCATTCTTCAGAAATCTAAGAAAAACTTATAATGTTAACAACAGATTTATTTTTTCTCAACCGGAATTGAATTTTTCTCTTGTCATTTTTTTATTCCTGGAAGAAAAAAATTCCTTCCTGGAAATTTCACCTTCGCAATACACAATTACGCATAAATACTCGAAAGTATCTGAGAATAAGAAAACACTATGAGGCCTGTTCTATGGCTATCTCTAACTATCAATGATTGTTAAAGGTTTTTTTCTCTGTCATTCAAAGCTCCTGAAAAATTCATAAATTCATGTCAGGAGATTTTGTTCACCATCAATTCTTAAACTGATCCCAAAACACTTCAGATAAATTATTGAAATTCTCTTCTCGTTCCCATGGAAAACTGATGATCTAATGTAGTCAAATTCATCGGCACATAAGAAAATGTGTGACCCGAAAACTAGAGAGGAAAAATATGGAAGAAGCAAATTGGCAGCTCACACAGAATAAGGCAATGATGTGTGAAAAAATATCGTCTATGAATAATAAATTGAAATTACATTTTCATCATCCAGTAGATCGGAATTGAGGCAAACGAGGAAATTCTCTGATAAATTCTTCAATGAACTATCAGCAGCTGATGCCTTGGAAAACGAAAACGAAGCGTTTTCGTGACGTCGGTATCGAAATAAATACACAATTTCCTACGATAATTCAACTGATGGGAATATGTTCATCATTTCAATTCAAAGCACATTCTCATGGCGGTTTATTTTCAACAGCTTATTTGTTGACGTAAACACAAGTGAGTAATTTTGCATTTCTTGTACAGCATATTTGAATGATTTTTCAATTTATCCACAATGCATCCAATTCTTGGAATTTATTCTATTTAGAATCATTTGTAGCGAAATTTTGAAAACTAATCTTTGCAAAGAAAAGTAAACATCCACAACATGTTCATAAGTAATCAAGCCTAAAGGGTTGTATTCAATTCATCATGCTTTGAAACTGAACTGAAGTTTTTCAGCATCTTATCAAATAATCATCACAAGCAGATATTACAAATAACATTCGTTGATGCAACTTTTCAAAGGCAATTTTATTAAAAAGTAAGTAATGCAGACACTATGAAGTCGAGTCAAGTGAAAAGTTTTCACTCCATCAATTTGTGGAATTTAATTTATTCGCTCGGAATGCAGATGAAAAAAAAAACGAGATTGTAAAAGAAAAGTTCAACCTAAAAGTAAACTGAGAAGATGCGACGAAAAGCTATTGACGGTTGAATGCTTTTTTCAATCAAATGGAAGCTTTGAAAAGTTAGAAGAGGAAAAAAAGTTTTGAAATCTATAAAAAACATGAAAAACCAATTTTCTTCTGCGATATTTTCATTTACTTGCTTTTGTGACGTTTTTAAATTGAATAGGAACACAAGAGATGGCGGCGACGAAGACGACGACAACGACGACGAACTCAGCTTGCTCAAAAAATCAATTATCTCCGTGAAAGCCACAAAAAGTTCTAATTGATCACTAGAGGGAATATAAAAGACTCTCTTTACGGTGAGCCGTAGAGTTTTAATTAAATTTATAAATTTTCATGAATAACTGATGTGAAGCGTCAATTAATTTGCGTAGCAAAACGTTCTTCTTCACCATCAAAGAGAGAGTAAAGTTTGGAGGAGCTCATCCGATAAATTGATTTCGGTTTACCTTGTTGTTGATCTGTGAAATGAGAAAGTTTCAGGGAGTTGAAGGCCGCATAAAAATACTTTGCGGTGGCAATGTGCAATAAACTCGTTCTACATGGATGACAACGACTGTCTGGAGCATTAGAGAAGAGAAACAACCACGCTGGCGAAGGTTAATTTTTAATAAATGCATTTTGAATGAACTAGAAACGTAAAAGACAGAAGACAACATTTTGGTTTTATTTTTAAATGCTGTAAACTGGCAACTGTCCCAAAGTTTAATTTAAAAAGTAATTATTTCAAGTCTGCTTGAGTCTCTGATTACTTATCTCTTGCCATACATGTTAAATCTTTCAAAAACATTCTTAAAAAAGTTTAGATAAAGATGTGGAATGTCTCATTAGTGCTTGAATATGTCATCAGATCACTGAAGTTTAAACAACGAGATATGTATTGAACCATGTAAGTTCCAGCATTTGAACAATAAAACGAGTTTAAACGATTAAAATGGCCAAACAAATTGAGCAGTCATGAAAATGATGACTCATTCTATCCAGCCGTTTGGCATCATCAACTGAATGGATTTTCTCGATAACACTGTCGCATAAATCTCAGCTGTATCAGGAATGTTAAGAAGAAATTTTCAGCTTTTGGCTTGGGTCCAATCAGGAAAACATTTCCCATAAAATAAATTTATTTATTCGTCATTTCATATGCACTTACATGATACAGTGCTGCATAAAATGATATCACCGGTTAATAAATTAAAAATATTCTTACAAATTTCTTACAATCACTATTATTTAATATTCTGCAAACTCGAGAAGAGTTTCCAGAATAAATAGAAGCAAAAAGCAATCTCATGACATCATTTTGTAGAAAACTGCATGTATTTACTTACTTCTTGTGATTATTTGCAAGAAAAATTATTGTTCAGTGCAGGAAATTCCAGAATTATAATGCAAAATTAGGAGAAAAGCTCAGCAAGAGAGAAGTTAGAGTGGAAAATGTTTAGGAAAAAATGGAAATAAATGAAAATATTTATGCACACAATTTTTTTCCCGTTTCCATGATGAATAATGTAAGTTGGAATGTATATATACATATTGAATTTTTCCTTCCCAAGTACATAGGTTAATGGCTGAGAAAAGCAGACGCGAGAGAGCTCTGCAAACATTAAATGTAATGCATTTGCAATTGAACGTCGGAGAAGTAAGCGAAGCAGCACGTCATTCTTAATGGTAATGGATTTTTTTATTTCTCGGAATATTTTATATTTTCCACATCATTCATATTCAGATTATGTAATGGAAGCATTGTCACTGATCCATCCACGTTTTGTCGCATAAATTTTCGGTATTTAATGAGCATTTCTTTTTCATTCAGTGCTTAAGTGGAAAAAGGTTTTTTAAGTGTATCAGGAAAATAAATAAAAATGATTGAGATCAAATTATAATAATTCCTTTTCTCACTAAGATTATGGATTTGCTCGGATTGAATTGAATGCTTTTGCAATATTAGCTNCACCAACAAAATACTCACATAACTGTTGTTAATTTACTTTACTCGAGCTTCCCGTAGCTAACACCAATGTTCCGGCGTGGTTTAAAGTAATAATAAACTCTTTTCAACGTTATAAAACTTATTTATTATATCTTTTTACAATTCAATTCAACTTATATTTTCTGCTACTCGTATCCGACTACCCCTCCATCCTCGTCCCCCTCTCCGCGTTGATCCTCCGTCGCTCCAACCGGTACACCTCTATTTTATTTTAAAGTTTAATAAAAAAAATCTAAATGAATAAAAGAAATGAAATAAAAGTAAAAAAAAATTAGAAAAAAAATAATTAAATTTAAAAAATGTTAAATAACTACAAAAATTATGTAAACAATTAATCAATCAACCAACAAATATCTCTCCAAATACCACACCATTAATTTTATTTCTGCGCAAACCTTTCAATTAATTTTCTTCATGCTGCTCTTCCGGAAACAGTGCTACAAAATTTTCTTATTTAGATTTGTTTTTCGAATTCGGTTTGGTACTCTTGTTTCCTTTGCTTTCCTCACCAGACATTTCCTCATCTCACGTCGATGCTTTGAGCTTGTCAAATTTTCATCAAATGAACATGAGCATTTAACAATATCAGGTCCATTCCATGCATCCACACATGCAGTTTCAGTGTCAACCACTTCAGGATTAAATATTTGTGCTTGCTTCTTTATATATTTGATTATAAAATTTCTGACACAAGCCGCATGAACTTTAATGATGTCTTTACTTGATTCAAAGCTATTCGTTTCAGTAGCAGCAAATTCAGCTAGAAAGTAAACTTTCTCGATAAGTGGCTTAAAACTTCGAATGCATTTCACCAAGATATTGTTCTTTTTCAGGTACCAAACGAGAATTAAACTATAACGAGCATGAACTTCCTTAAATTCAAAATCCCTCGGAAATCTCATATCTCGCCTATAACTATCAATCGTATTATTTAACTTTGCAATCTCATTCACAAGAATTTTCTCATATGAATGTTGATCTTGTATGCTTTCACTTTCAAGTAGTTTTGCAAGTCGATTTGAGAATGTACGACAACTTTGTTCAATGCACATGTAAGGATTTTAATTGGAAAGTATTCGTGTTGATGTTGATTCGAAGGCTGACGAAATTTATTAAATAAGTTAACTCTGGATATGAAACTTGATGGTGCTGGGGGTGGATTAGTAATTTTTGTTGGACAATCACTTATTTCATCATTTATGTCCATACTGTAGAGACTCGCACAAATAGATTTCAAATTTAATGAATCGTTCTTTCTCTTCGATGGTGATAGTTCTTCTGGTGATTCATTAAGTTTCTTCATCAAGCCATTCATTCAAACTTTTTGTTTTTGATAATTCTCGAAACAAGACAAATCTTCATCACTGCGAATATCAAGAAAACGACCAAGAAACTTCCAATATTCTTTCCATCCAACATTCTGTTCATCAGCTCAGTCACGACCGACTTTTCAAGACCCTTATCGATGTCCGTCAGTCGAATGTGTTTCTCTTTGAATGATGGCGAATCACAAATATTGTCACTGTTATAAATTGATCCACTTTCATCAAGAAATGATATTAGAGCCAGTGAACTTGTTGATCGACATTACAAATCATGCTATCGTTGTTGTTACTGTGATAATTGAGTTTATCGTTGATATGATTGCTATTATTATCATTTTGTGGACGAATTGGTGTAGCCATGAATGGTTCAGGATTTCGGTAACATTGGAAGACATCAGCAGCACGTTTCTCGTTATCCATTTGATATTTTGTTTCCAGCAAGTTCATTAAACAACTCTTTGTATTCTTCTTCCTCCTTCTCACGAAGAATTCCATTTGTTATGACAACTTTATGATTTCCATTCTTATCACTATTGTTGTTATCCAATTGGAGTTCGTTTTCCTCATCATCATCATCGGGCGTTCCTTGAAATAATTTCTTCTTGTGCTTTGGAGTTGATGACATCAAATCACTTAATGATTTTGATGTCATTTGAGGACTGTTAATTGGTGAAGAGATTAGCGAATTTTTTTTGTGTGATGTTGACAAGTTTAAATTTGATATTGGCATTGTTGGTGTTAAACGTGGCGGTGTTTTCCATCGTCTTTGGAATGTTTGTGCTTGTTTCGATGTCATTGGTCCAGCATAAGCCTTTATTTCCATTGATGGACTTTTCGGATCATAATTAAATTTCGGGACATGTTTGGTTTAAAAGGTTCGCCAATAATTGGTTGAATCGAACTGTCAACTGATCGCAGTACAGGCACAAAAAGATCTTTCCTTTAAAAGCTTTTTTATTGCTTCTTTAACTTCAGGCTTTGCATTTGGATCACGTTCACAAATAATATCTTTTGGTTCTTTTCCTTGGACATTTGGTTTCATTTTACACAATGGATATGTTATAAGTACTTCAACGACATCAGCAGCTCCAAATTTTGATGCGAAATGTAAAGGCGTTTCATTACGCGACTTATCTGGAGTATTTAAATAAGATTCTAAAAAAAATTGGCTCATTTCTTCTACATTTGGATCGTCCTTAAATCCATGTAGAAGTTCTATGAATTCGGTTCTCTCGACTGTTTGTAGTAAAAGTTTGGCCATTTAAGCATGTTTGTTTATGGCAGCGACATGAAGAGCATTGTAGCGAGGTCCTTCCCTAAGACTTGAAGGAGTGTCACCAGCACTCACTAAGTATCTTGGATTCGTACAAATCATTTCATAAACTTTTGGTACATTATTTGCTTCGATTTCTTTACGGAATTTCATCAATTCCTGTGGCTTCAGCGATGGAAATTGACTCTTCTCAAGATTTCTAATTGGCGGCTGATTTGGTGGTGGCGATTTAGGAACTAATTCAATTTTTATCAGTTCCATTTTTAGCAAAATTGAGAGTTTCACTACGATATTTGAAGAATTTGAAACGAGCATCCTTGTATGCTTTAAGCGTTTTCATGCCATCATCTTTTTTTTCAAAAACAAATGATTCTGAGACTTAAATTTGGATCGTTTGTTATGATATCTTCAGTTATATTTAAAACATTTCTGATTGATCTGATTGACTGGACCAGTAATCGTGTAATCACTTTCAGGCACAAGATCTTTGTTGATTGTTGATATTGGATTCATGCGTTGCAATGTTTGACTTTCAATCTTTCCGCGCAGTAAAATTGGTGACTTAAGATTGACATTATCGAAAAACTTCTCACCAGTCACAATTTGCATTTCTGGCCCACGTTTTCTCATTACTTGAAATTTTCCATTCCTTACATTATGTTGTTGATTCTTTTTATAAATAACGAAAAGTCGATTAACATTCAGGTCTTCAGTGAATCTGACATTTTGGTTGATTGATGATCGTTCACTTCTTGTGTCGTTGATGTCAACGAGAAAATCAAGTAGAACTCCTGAGATCTTCTCTTTTGATTTTAATTTCTGGAATAAAATTCTTCTTGTTTTAAGCTCACCAATTCTCATCATTCCCATTACCATCTGATCACCAGATGTCTTCAAAGAATTTATTGCAATTGCAGTGAAATTGTGATTGTTTCAGAATCTTCCAAACGTCATCGTGTCAACTGTTAACTCAGAAATCGTATTTGGAATTTTTATATCGAGTTTTCTTCGCACTAATTTGAAGAAATCATCAAACAGAATTCTATTAACTTGTTCAATGTTAGCGATGTTATCAACAGAAATATTTTGTATCATGATGGGCTCAATATCTGACTTGGTTGATTAAGCAGAACATCATCTTTTTGAAGTCGATTCCACCGATTTTTCATTCACAAAAAGTTCCTTCGATACATCAACTCTGTTCTTTAAATTTGTATTCCTTCTATTGTTGACTTAGACTAAATTACTAATTGGACGGCCGTTAATCATTTCAATATTTAGTGGTCCGTTCACCATCAATTTCTTCACCAACATTTGTGTTGTTTATCGCTTTTTTCTTTGTTGTGTCGCTTTTATGAATTGAATTTTACTTGTGACATGTTTAACTTCCATTGAGAGTTTCGATAAGCGATCTGAGAGTTTCTGCATTCTTTCAGCAGTTTCATTTGAAAAAAAAACAGTTTTTCTATGAACTTCTTTCGCTTTAGTCATTCCAACTGTTGAGTTTCTTAGGAAATTTTTTTTCATAAAATTTGCAACTTCACTTTCTGGATCAGTTATTGAATTGAAAGAACTGAATTAAGAACATTATTTGTGTCATCAACATTAAAGCTGTATAGTCGTTCTTGCGCATTAACGCACCATTTCGAAATGCTTTCGTGAAGCTTTGTTGAGTCATTTGCCGTTTCATAAAGGGCCGTATAAACATTCCAAGTCTCATCAAATGAATCTTGATTAGCGATCACAATAGTTGTTGTTTCATTTATGATGTGATCAAAAGCTCGCAATCTAACAACACCAGCACCAAAAGCATGACCAGTAAAGTCAATGTGTGATTCTTCAAATTTCCATCCATTGTAAGAATAAATTTGAACTTCAAATGAATTTCTGATGATAATGATGATGTTTCATTACCTCTACTCTTTATTACTTCATCACTTTTCACATTTACTGCTTTCTCTTGACTTTTATTGTCTTCTCTCTCTGAAAGAACAAATAGATATTGTCTCATCAAAATAAAATTCATTTGATAAATCAGCATCTCGCCTCTTTTTATCAAATTCCACTTTCTAGGTGTATCTCTAGTTTGTTTATTTATCTTCTATCCAAAAACAAAACAAACCTTCTCGCGTTGAGAAGAAAAAAAATAAAAACATTTCTTTAACTTGATAAATCAACATCTCGCCTCTTTTTATCAAGCTTGCATCCTATCGGTGCCCCAATAGTTTGTTTATTTATCTTCTATTTAAAAACAAAACAAACCTTCTCAACATTGAGAAGAAAAAAAATAAAAAACATTTCTTTAACTTGATAAATCAGCATCTCGCCTCTTTTTATCAAGTTTGCACCCTATCGGTGCCCCAATAGTTTGTTTATTTATTTCTTGAAAAAAACAAAACAAACCTTCTCAACATTGAGAAGAAAATAAAATAAAAATATTTCTTTCAACTTAATAAATCAACTTCCGTAGTCTCTTTTTATCAAGCGACACCTTCTTGGTGCATCCACACTTCCTATTTTAAAAATTAACACGAATCTCCTCACTAGTTTCCTAATAAAAATATTTATANTCTTTAACTTGATAAATCAACATCTCGCCTCTTTTTATCAAGCTTGCATCCCATCGGTGCCCCAATAGTTTGTTTATTTATCTTCTGTCTCAAAAACAAAACAAACCTTCTCACAAATTGAGAAGAAAAAAAATAAAAACATTTTTCCAACTTGATAAATCAGCTTTCTCTTCAGCTTCTTTTTATCAAGTTACACCTTCTCGGTGTATCAACATTTCCTGTTTTTCTTAAAAAAAAAAAAAAATCTTCCTAATATTTAATAGATTTCCTATTTATCTACCCTTCTCGTTTTAGTAAACTTTTAATAACATTCGACATTATTCGTTCGTTTGTTAATCTCAATTGTCTTTAGAAGCCCCCATTCGCTTTTCTATCTCATGTGTCAGAAGCCTTGGAGAATAAACTTGCATTATTTGAAACAAACAAGAATAGAATAAGAATAATCCGGTTTTTCATTTCGTAAAGAGCTTCCAGCTTTCACTGAAATCGAAAGGCTTAAATATTTTCTGGACAACACGTCATTCTTTTGATTTCTCATCTCTTAGATCTTATCAAACACATTTTTATTCACCCATAAATTGCACACGATCTGCTAAATTTGGTACAAAACTAATTCAAATTGATGATCTCACCATCATTTAACAGTCTTAAATGTCTTAATGAGTAATTTTAATACACAAATGGAGATAAATATTCCGCGTCATTTCACTTTTCTTTCAATTTTCAAGCATTTGATTTCACATTCATTTCTGCGACCGACGCCATTTTCTTGTCTAATTTTTTTTCACAAAGAATACTCACTTAATGGTGGTTGAATCTGCTTTACTCGAGCTTCCCGTAGCTAACACCAATGTTCCGGCGTGGTTTAAAGTAATAATAAACTCTTTTCAACGTTATAAAACTTATTTATTATATCTTTTTACAATTCAATTCAACTTATATTTTCTGCTACTCGTATCCGACTACCCCTCCATCCTCGTCCCCCTCTCCGCGTTGATCCTCCGTCGCTCCAACCGGTACATTGCCATACATGTTAAATCTTTCAAAAACATTCTTAAAAAAGTTTAGATAAAGATGTGGAATGTCTCATTAGTGCTTGAATATGTCATCAGGTCACTGAAGTTTAAACAACGAGATATGTATTGAACCATGTAAGTTCCAGCATTTGAACAATAAAACGAGTTTAAACGATTAAAATGGCCAAACAAATTGAGCAGTCATGAAAATGATGACTCATTCTATCCAGCCGTTTGGCATCATCAACTGAATGGATTTTCTCGATAACACTGTCGCATAAATCTCAGCTGTATCAGGAATGTTAAGAAGAAATTTTCAGCTTTTGGCTTGGGTCCAATCAGGAAAGCATTTCCCATAAAATAAATTTATTTATTCGTCATTTCATATGCACTTACATGATACAGTGCTGCATAAAATGATATCACCGGTTAATAAATTAAAAATATTCTTACAAATTTCTTACAATCACTATTATTTAATATTCTGCAAACTCGAGAAGAGTTTCCAGAATAAATAGAAGCAAAAAGCAATCTCATGACATCATTTTGTAGAAAACTGCATGTACTTACTTACTTCTTGTGATTATTTGCAAGAAAAATTATTGTTCAGTGCAGGAAATTCCAGAATTATAATGCAAAATTAGGAGAAAAGCTCAGCAAGAGAGAAGTTAGAGTGGAAAATGTTTAGGAAAAAATGGAAATAAATGAAAATATTTATGCACACAATTTTTTTCCCGTTTCCATGATGAATAATGTAAGTTGGAATGTATATATACATATTGAATTTTTCCTTCCCAAGTACATAGGTTAATGGCTGAGAAAAGCAGACGCGAGAGAGCTCTGCAAACATTAAATGTAATGCATTTGCAATTGAACGTCGGAGAAGTAAGCGAAGCAGCACGTCATTCTTAATGGTAATGGATTTTTTTATTTCTCGGAATATTTTATATTTTCCACATCATTCATATTCAGATTATGTAATGGAAGCATTGTCACTGATCCATCCACGTTTTGTCGCATAAATTTTCGGTATTTAATGAGCATTTCTTTTTCATTCAGTGCTTAAGTGGAAAAAGGTTTTTTAAGTGTATCAGGAAAATAAATAAAAATGATTGAGATCAAATTATAATAATTCCTTTTCTCACTAAGATTATGGATTTGCTCGGATTGAATTGAATGCTTTTGCAATATTAGCTCATACTTAGCATATTTTTTATGATATTAAAAGAATTATGTACAGATTGTTGAATAATTGAACAATATTTTTTTTATAAGTATCTGCTTATAAATGTATATCAAATTATACTTTAAAAAATTTGCAACCGAGAGTTGGTTCATTCACAATGAACAATAAAGATGAATCAAATTTAAAGCATTTGGGACTACTCTTGACTGTGTAACAAAAATAATGAATTATTAATAATGTTTTTCTTCTTTTCTTAATACGAATGAGGCCATTAAATTGATTGATATCATCACTCCATTTCCAACACAACAAGAAACGAAAACATTCTGATTAAAATTTTATGGTTTCGCAATCTCATCCGTACAATTATTTTAGCGTCGAGGGACATTGTCGACTGTCGTTTAGTCGGGACGAGAACTATGTCAAATATTTATGACAAAGTGAGTGTGATAGCGGAGAAAAATAAAAATGACATTTAATGACTTGATTTAAGATAACTGAATTATTAACGTTGTTTTTGTCTTTTTCGTTTTTGTATTTTTCTGTACAAAACCATAAAATTAAGATATAAATATCCACAGTTTCGTATCATCATTTATACTCGGATTATCTTGGAATCATAAATTTTTTATGATACATAAATAGATCAAATGACGAATTGTCATAAGAAATAAAAATTTATACAAGAATTTCTTTGTCAATTTAAGTTGAAAATAATTGATGTGAACTTTATTCGACAATTCTTCTTTTGAAAGAAATAATTTCTATGAAATATTTTACTTGTCATCATAAAATCAATCAAACATATTTTAGATGACTTCAATGTTTGCTTCTTTTTCCAAGAATCTTCATACTGAACTTAAGCTACCCATTGAAACTTCAAATTTCTTCCAATTACTCAAATATTCACATATTGTATTTGCTTATGGCTTATTCCATGAAAGTGGCAAGAAAGTTTCATAAGAAAAGATGTTTTGTTAAATTTTAAAATCAAAACTTTATCAAAAGAGCTTCTGGAAAGTTTAAGTTTTGATTATAAAATCAACAAGGTTTTTGTTTTTCATAAAAGTTCATCTCGTTATCGCGAGTTTGTCCATATAAATTCATCTTCAATTTTATGTTGCTTTTAAGTTTCATGGCAAACATGATGCATAGTTACCGCTCCTTGATACGATACATGCGAAAGTTCAATATCGAAGTTCGTTTTCTTCAAATCTACATGAGTAATCATCATTGCATAGAAATTCTCGTAACAAAATTTAAAATACTTCAGAACAGAAGTCATGCATAAAGTTGAAGCTTGTTAGTCCACAATTACCTTCTCTAAACATCTCATTTCATGAGAAGCAAATCAAATTGAATTTCATGAAGAAAGTTTTTGAATAGATTTGCAATTCATGGTTCATTTTGAAATGTTTTGTAACAACTTTTCTAATAAACATTCCATGCAACCGCCCCAAGCATATCTTGTTGAATTGTAACTGAAAGCAGAAGTTGCAGAACTGAGAAAAGTGGAATAGAGAAAAGTTCGCCTCCATAATCCTATTAAATCATTCATCAATCAAAAACTTGATTGTGATGCCCTTGTATGACATCCTCCCGTATTTCTTGCTTTCCTTTTTCTTCTTACACTTCGTCAAACATTTCTCATTCTGTCAAAGAAAATTATTGCGCGTTGGAAAAAAAATTGATGAAAATTGAAATTAGAAAATTCTGCTCCTGCCCTCGAGCACGTATTGCCACCCGCACAGAACAATGTTAGTCACGGATTTCTTTTTGTCTCACTTTTCCTTCATCTGATTTATCGAAATTGATTAATGACTTGGATTGGAATCAGTAATTTTTTTTCGTCGCTCAGATTCTCATTTTCTAATAATTTTCTTTAATTTCGACGAAATTTAGATTAATCGATGATGTGATTGCAGAATTTGTCGATATTTCTTTTTCTTTTCTTTCTTTTTTCTTTTCGTTGAACCTTACAAAGAATCTTGTTTTGCTTTGGCATTTTAAAGTGTCGCTCATCTGTCAACAAGAAAAAAATTCTCTCAGCATTTCATTTGACAATCATCAATCTTTTACATTCAAGTGTTCTGATCCATCTAAGTACGCATAACATCCACACGCAGACACACAATTCTCAAAGCAAACATTCATCAATCTTTGCCCTTACTCAATTTCAATGGAATTACAATCTGAATCTCATCTTTATCTCGGCATTCGAAAATTCACATGAGGAAAATTGATATTCTTGTACTTGATATTTAAACGATTTGATGTAGAACATGTTTTGAATGATACGAAAGCATACACATATACAAAAATAATTGTTGTTTGATGTGCTTTACTTATCTACATATTTACATATCTTGTTAAAAAAGAATTCTTTTATGCTTTTGAATTATTCATTTTTATTAGCAAGATTACATTTAACTAAGCTTCCATTCAATAACAGATAACATTGGACACTTTCATGTGTTATTAATTAACATAATTAAATTATTATCAAAATCTATCGCTCTCGCTTTCATCATCACAATCGTAGTAAGTTTCATCCAAAAATAAATCATCAAACTGTTCCCACTCTGCCAGAAGCTAAAGCGATTGAGACCGAAATTGCAGAACGTAAAACTTTTCAAATTGAATTTCAGACTCAAATTTTCTTATCCTTTAAGGGTAATGTTGAAATTAGCTCTCTATCGTTCGCTTCGCTAGTAATAATTTAATAATAAAAAAAGAGAAAAACTTCCTCGGGGTATTTTCATCTTTTATGGTGCTCATATACTGTAACTTATTTCATCCAACTTCACGTTCTTTTCTTCCTTTTTTGTTGTCTTTATATGTACATACAAACGTCATTGTGCTTGAAAACTTTTCACTCAATGTTTCTTTTCGTCTCACACTAAGCACTCTTTTTTCATATGGGCGGGTGTCTCCACAGGGTTTTTGTTTTGTTTTTTTTTTTTTTTGGTAAATGTAAAAGCTTCATAAAAAGCAACGCTTAGAGTTAAAATCTCCACAATGGATCTCTAGAACTTTTCTTATGCGAGAGTGGCAGTGAATGGGGAGTAATTGAAAATATTTCTTACAATTTCTCATCATTTTTTTTGTTTTTTTTTTGTTTTCCCCTCACACACCACAAGACGAGAAAAGCAAAGGAACGCAAAATGTTGGGATAAACTTTTATTTCTCTGCACATATATTCATATGTGGCTCCAAATTTATGTTTCCCTGGGTGATGTTGTTTGATTACTTCTCTTTGTTGCGATGTATGTAATCTCACTTTATGTTCGATTCGAGCCCGTCGCTCTCCGCTGTTTGTTCTTTTACCAACGGAGTACGACACCAAGGAGTATGACACATTACAGAATTATTTTCATAATGCAACGAATAACGTGAATGAAATTTAAGACATTTCTTTCAAAAAAGGAAGGAGATTATGGAGGAAACAAGAACAGGCACGAACACATCAGAAAAATTCAATTATCTTTCCTAGAAGCCACAAATAAAGTTCTAATTTATCTCTTGAGGATTTTACCCAAGTCTTCATCTCTACACGAATTCGGGAGTTTCTAATTAAACGGATAAATTATCGCGAAGAAAGGCTCTCCCTAGCGCTATTAATAACAAGAGACGAGAGACGAGAAACGAGCAGATGTGTGAATTTCATGCAAAAATCATAAATTCTAAATGTTATCGATGTGGAGGACAGCGTCGTCGTTTTTTGTTGACATTTCACGGTTGTTAAGCAATGAAACATTTCTCCATCATAATCATAAAAAATTGTTGTCATTTATATTGTTTATTCTACATTAAATAAAATAAATGTTGAACTTTTATGCTTTGTTTTTAAATTCATAATTCAAATGAGAGGAGAAAGGTCATAACAATTGCCATTTACCAGCGAAACAATTTTTATTTTTATTCTCTCAGCTTTTGTGTCCACAATTTCATTTTTATATTTTATTTCGTTGCAAACTGTGCTTAGGATTATGGCATTGAGAGAGAGGCTGCAGTCAAACGTGAACATTTAAGACTTCATTTTGAAAATCGCATCAGCATAAAGCTCATTCATTTGTTGACCATAATGTCACGAGAGTCGAAGTGAATAAAATCAAATTTAATAGTTTATTTCAATGTTTCTAAAGTGGCTTTAAAAGATTATTAAAGATATAAACTCTGTGCTAATATTATCTGAATATAAACAATTGATTTTTCAATCTGTTTTTATAATGTTAAACAACGTTAAGCTGTCAAACTTTGTTAATTTAAAGAATCATTGACAGGACGAAAAAGTTAATTATGCTAAATAATAAATTTTTTAAGGGTTCCCTCCATGACGCTATAGCAAACATAATTACCCCATAAATAGCTTTCAATGTGCCAATAAATATTTTTAATCAAATTTCCTGAAGGAATTACTTAATGTGCAGGCTTTTTAAAAAAAGATTTTCATGCTTTTGTTAATCTTCAACTTTTGACATTATTTTTTTTAATGACACAAAAAAGAAAGTTTAAATGCATTTCTTATAGCAATAAACAATTTTATTTTCAATTTCCATTTCTATAAAAATGTCATAAAGCTCAAGCATTCGTGTAAATAATAAAACTCACATTGCAAATAAAAGCGTTTTTAATGAAACTTTTGTGTTAACTCAAATTACCACACGAGAGAAATCTTCACGTCTTTGCTTAGGTATTGCATGACAAAACCTTCTACGAAACATCTTTTTGTTGAATTGAGGAAAATAGTCTTTAATTTATTTAAAGTTTAGATGAAGCTATAAAAATTGTGGTAATCATGTTGGAATTTCCCAACCAAATTTCATTCTTTTGTTATTCTAAATTTCTAAATAAGCAAATTTCACTTGCTAAAATTTTAAACTTCAGTTTCAAAGGAATTGTAATGCAAAGAAGTCAAAAGTAGATATCTAGTAGAAAAACTCATCTTCAAAGTTAGCCAATTATATTATGGTTATAGGTATTAAGATGCTGTTGATCGGCATAATCTGCAAAAGGTCGAGAAAGTAAATGGTCGCTTTTCTCTTTTTATTATTAGCTATTAAAATTTGAAATTAAATGGAATGAGGAGAGAATGCAAAAGCGGAAGAGTTGCTAAACATTACAGAGTAAAATGAATATGAAGCCAAATGAAGGGTGTCTTTATCAAGCTCATTAAAGAGAAAGAACTTTTAAAGCAGAGGCGCATACACCAATTTCAGTCAAACAACAAACGTAAACTTTCTGCTCATGTGCTTGCTATATCAGCAGATGCTGTAAAAGTAAATGTTATAAAATTTTATTAGAATCCCCTTTTTATCCCATCATTTCTACAAAAGAAAAGCTTTGAAATTAAAAGAAATATTCTTTTGTTTTATTTTTAAAAAGCTCATTGTTTCATTTTTTTTCCTTCATTCTCTTAACAAAGATCTTTGCCACAATGCAAAATAATAAAAATTAATGTTATCTTTTCTTGTGATTCTTTGTTCTTTTTTAATTGCACAAATGTACATAAATATAAATTTCATCACAGAAGATTTTAAAAAGCACAGCACAAAAAGGATTTTAACATCTTAAGGTGTAAAGTTCACTGGCATTTATTCAATAAAGTGACCTTTCTGAATAGAAACGGTTTGTTGTTTAATGCTTCATTAAGGAAACTGACAAAATCTTGAATTTCACGTTGTAAAGACAGAAGATTTGAATACATAAATTTCCAGAAACAGCAGTAAAAGACCATCAAAGCTCCAAAGATAACCAACCCTATCTAGGGCGACCAGATTTGCATTGAGTTTCTCTAAGATTTCTTAATCGATGGCTTTACTTTAATTTATTATTAAGTTAGAATGTTTCATTCTTCAACAAAATGTTGATAAAATATAGAAAAGGATTTTCCCTTCTCCAAAAGATGATCAGGACAGCCGAACCAACCCTTCGATAAAAGCATAGATTTACGTCTTACTTAGATAATATTTTACTTCCGACCACAAATATTCAAAGTAAGTCATTTGAGAAAACATAGCAGCATAGAATGTACCTTTCATCCTTCAACCTCAATTAAAGTAAACCATATAATTAGACGATTCAACGAAATTGGCAGTCAATTATATCTCAATTCAAATTAACACTATTCGACCTTTTCCCCAGCAATATTTAATTAGATACATTGTAATTATGGTAAGTTAGAAGTCGAAGCAGATTTTGTTTGTATTTAATTAATTCATCAGTGATGAAAAATGTTTTATGAATCTTTTCCATTCGATTGATCATCAACAGCAATGCTTTATTATTCTTGACTTTTAATTGATGGATCAGAATTGTTCTCAGTTCATCCACTGAATCAATCATTATAGAAAACTTTTTCATAGCTCAAAATTTAAATTGACTCTGGATTAACATTTCAGAATATTATTTCGCTTTTTCTTGAATAATTTAAAGATATCCAAAGGAAATGGAATATTGAATTCATTATTTAAGCTAAGAAATTTCGACTCTACTTCAAATAGGTTCTTCTAGGCAAATGGTAGTTCAAATGGCCAAAGAATCATCACCGATGGTATTTATTTTCCAAATGAATTTTCTTTAAGGGCTTTAGTTGAGAGGCTAAGTAAGGAAAGAGAGAAAAGCCTTCACGGAAAATAAATTTCTTATTAAAAAGATCATTTTATTATTCAAGAAGTTTACTCATAATTCGAGTCGAAGAGTCTTTAAGTAGATGCCGAAAGACGAAGAGATTGAGGCCTAATGAATAATTTATTCATTTCTTTCTTAGATATGTATTCAGAAATTTACTTTTTAACTGAGTTTTCATCTCGGCTTTTGTGATTCGCTTCACAACTTTTGCATCTTTCTTTCAAGATTGAATTTTAGGATCACTAACAAGCTATTTCAATTAACCATGCAGAAGTTTTCAACATTTGAATTTGAATAGAGAATAACATTCAGATTCTAACAAGCGCTCGAGCATGAAAATCAGTTAATTTTATTTGCTTTTCAAAGCTTTGCCCTCTTTTAGTTGTCTGCTTATATTAAGATTCGCTTTAGAATCAACAAAATGTAACACAAAATTTCGAAGCAAGGCAGGGAGAGAGAAATACATAAACAAAATCCCACAATTTAGAGACAAGGAAGACTATTCGATCTAAACGTTTTGCCAGAATTATTTATTAAGATCAGGGATCTGAGGGTTAGTAAATTAATTATGGTTTTCCACTTGAGAAAATTCAATTGTAATTAATAACAAAACACAAAATGCTTAAACATGTTTCAATTGAAAAACTGTGACAGCTTCTGAGATTTCATTCCTTTGATGACTCTGAATTATAAACAAACCTGAAAGATTAATTTGAGTTAAACGATTAATGATTTCAATCAATTTGAAATGTTTCTTTTGAGCGAAGATATTTATTTTTCAATTAACTAAATTATTATATTCACATTTTTATAATAAATATCTAATTAAATTAATTACTTCTTAGATCTTGCGTACATTTTTTGATGTGTATCTAACTTATTTTGATTTACGAGCTTCTTTTCATCTTAGATATTCATTCGAAAATCTCGAAAGCTTACAACTAAATAAAGACCAAAAGGAAAGCCTTTCAAAATAAATATATTTCATTGGGTTAAACTTTTATCACTTTCTCCCCCAGAATTCCTTTTTTTACATCAAACTAAAACCTTCATACATATGTACATTTTTACGTACATATGTTCAAATCTTCTTCTCGAACCTTCGAAGCATTCAAATGAATTTGGAAAGGAAAAAATTCACAAAGTGGTAGAAGTAAAATTCCTTTACGAGCTTCAAAAGACGTTTTATTGACATAAAGACTTTTTATGCTATACTTATTTACTTTCTGCAGCTTCAAACAGCGCCGCAGCGATTGTAATATCTCTCTGCACGACTTTATGTTTGCTTTAGGTATCAATACGTGAGACTAATATTGCCTTGAAGACATCAGCTGAGAAAAAACGTTTCGAGAGTGTTTCAAAGTGAAACGATTCGAAAAGAAAATTCCAGTCAATCAATAATCGCATTACATCATCAAAGCTCCTTAAGCTATTTGATTTCGCAGCTTCATGATGAAAATTGGCTTTTTTTTATTAAACTTTCTCAGACATAAAATCAATTTCAAATCATCTTTGTTTATTTATGAGAAAATATTTCTCAAAGCTTCCATTATTCAAACGAACCTAGATTCAAGCTTCATTTAGCAGGGACTTGAAAAATGTTCATTATGTATGCTTTAAAGTGAAACAGAGTCAGAAGCGCTGATACTGCAAACGAATGCAGCCAATGCATCTTTGTTGTCTGTCTATCCCATACACCGAGTGTCTCTAAAAAATTCAGAAAGAACGCCAATAATTCGAGACATGCTCATGTTACGGATAATAATAACATGAATAAAAATATTTGATATCATCCCAGCATATGAAATAGTATCAATAATAAAAGTTTGCTGTATAAACGTTTGGATGGGATGGTTGGCTGAAGACTACATTAGATGAAATTTATCATTGTCTATGCTTTATAGTGAAAGCTCACGTATTAAAAATTATATTCTATTATCATCATCAGAAGCATGCACAATTTATAGCTGAGAGAGAAGCTCCCTTACTAGAAAATTATTTAACTGCAACCCTGTACATGCAGTCGAATAAAAGCGAAAGATAAATGTGATTTATGAATTAAAGTTATGTCGTCTTTATGTACTTTGAGGAATCTTATGGAGTCACATACAGATATTCTTAGACTCATTTGGCTTCATCTCAATAAGTGATTAAGTAAACATTAATATTAATGTCAAATTTAAGAGAAACTTTCTTTTGTTTTTACTGGTTTTGAATGCTTTCCTCCTTTCTTCTTAATAGTGTTGATGTAAAACTTCTCAGAAATATTTCACAACTTGGAGACTTCCTGAATCGTAGGAAGAAAATTTAAAATTTTCTGGATAGTTCAACAAGCATTATTCATAATAACCATAAATTATTCTACGAACATTGCAATCAGTAAAAGACTTTCATCCATCTAGATACCAAATACTGAATCAGTCATCAATCAATTCAGATTTTTATTCCCATTTTGTTCTGAATAATAAAGGAGAATTTGGTTTCACATTAATCTTGAGTTTGAAACGAGTAAATCTCTCTTCAAAGCTCCTGAAATTGACCTGTCGGTTGAGGTAATCGAAGCTTAAATTTCACTCACGACCTGATATGTTGTTGAAATATTGAAATGAATCTCAACGACCTCAACAAAACGATTAATTTCTGAAATATTATTAAAAGAATAAAAATATTATGCAGATACACTTTTAATTTTACTTTTTAAAAACTCTCAACATTAAGCTTTTATTTTGTACATTATTTAGTTGAATTCAACATGTATGATGAAAGCAAGGAGACACACAAAGAAGTCGTCATAATCATCCAAGATCGAAATACTGAAAGTAGAGAATATAATTTACTGAATTATTATCTAGGATGTCATAATTCTAAAAGATTAAATGTAATTAAGGATAACTTTCTAACCAGTCAGATGACATCTTGACTTAAACCAAATATTTGAAACACTCTTAATACTCACATAAACTTTGCGAATTAACCAAACGCAAATTCTGCAAATCATCCGATAAAATGTAGATGAGTTCGCTTGTCTGTCTCCTCAAATATGGAATATTTTCGATATTTGCCACACATTTCAGAAAAATCTGTTTCGGAACAAAACCAATATGCCGCTCATCGAGTTGAAATTTTACTTGAACCGTCCGCGATATCAGCTCCAAATCTTCACTATCGATTTTTGTTTCAAACTGACTCAGTATGGCCTTTTCACCAGTCACCTGGAAAATATATTTAATGCTGACTTACACGGTTGAATACTTTCCAATTAAAAGGATAGAAACAGTTTGCAATGCTTGACCTCTCTTTTTACATAAAAAAGTTACGTTAGCTTAATTATTTGATTGCATTTTCGATCGAAATTTCAATTCTTCGATTTCAGAAACCTTGTAGCAAGAAACTTAGCTAATTCTTGGTAAAAGTGAATAAAACATGAAATGTTCATAATCACCAACGCCATTTAAGGATTTCGTAATCACAAAGAGCGAAGTTTCAATGAAACTTAACTCAAAATCTAAAGTTTAAAGCAAGCAAACCATGCACAAATTCATTTCATATTTCATCATTATTTGTGACTTTAAGAATTTGTTTAATGTTTACAAACTCACTTTCTTATCATTAATGTACCAGTGTAGAATTGGCGGTGGATATGAAGCATCAGATGTACAATTTGAAGCTACGATATCTCCCATAGAATAGTGAAGTTTTAACCCAGATATCGAAGGGTCATGGTTTGGCAAAGCTAATGGAAAAGAGAAAAGTTTGATTTAAAAAAATGTTCGTTCATATGAAGCATATTTAAATTTTTATTAATAAATAATATTATGAATTTGATTTTGTAGTTAGAATGTTCAAGTAAATACAAAAAGTTCAGTATGAAATATTCATATGATGATCAGGGTCTTGGTCTGCAGCATCTTTAAGTTCCAGGGCAACACTTATGTTTATAAAATAAGTAAAAGGCATATTTAAAAAGAACAATAAAGGTACAAGGATAGCAGACGAAGCCCCTGTGACTGTACAAATTCATCTCAATCGAGGTTACTTATTAATTATTACTCAACAGTTGAGTCAACTGGAAGGTTGCAGAAAAAGTTTCAAAACCAAGAAACAAACTTTGGAAATTTCATTAAAATGAAAGCTTTTACGCTTTCAGATATTTTTGTTGGTTGTTTTAACGAAATTATTTTCCATACAAGTTTTTAAATTTATTTTCACATACTGAAAAGGCTGGGAAAATTTTAACTAAAGAATTTTGTTTTTGTAATTTACAAACCAACAACTTTCATTCTCTGATCACTGTAGTCAATTCTAAAGCTGGGTGCATCTGCTGATATTTCGCATCGGTATCTGTACGAAATAGCGTAGAGACAGAGAAGAGAAAAAAACATTCGAGAGTTGAAAGCATTTCGGTGTCATGTCGGACAAAACTCTTCCAACCATAATTTAACATGAATTAAATTGAACAGCACAATACTTACACACCACCGCTCTTAGTGCTCAAATTGTCTAAACTCACACTGCATGCTTGTTTGTTACATCTAAAAGGATGCTCCTTGTATAAATTGACACCATCAACTGTCCATGTTGATATTTGCTGATCCATCATTGGAGCGTATCTAAATCACAATGCAATTCGAACAGTAATGTGAGCTTCAATTTAGTTTTCATCCAACGTTAACAACAAGTGAAAAGGAGAAGAAAATTTTGTAATCTTCTCTCATTCATGTTGGTCTCACCTGAAGAACTCTTGTTTGTCTTTATACCATTTTATAGAGTTGAGTTTATCGCGTCCCATGTTGTAAGAGCAGCTAAGTGTGACCACATCACGAATGTCAACATATTCAGGTATCTCAACATGTATCAAATGTAAACATCTTACGGAATGAAAAGCTGTTGAAAGTGAGAAATGTTTAATCTTTCTTTGAGTGCCAATTTAGATATTCGTCAGACAAAATCATGGATGAGTCATGAGACAATTGAGAATAAATTTTATTCAAGCATTATCAACATAGACTACTCGTATCCATTATTTTTAATGCTTTCATGATATCAAAATTCAGCCATAAATTTTGAGATAAAACAATGAAGTGAGCATTTACAAAAGAAAAGTTTTTTTAGATTATTTAGAGACAGAAAAGGAGAGAGATGAGTTGAAGACCTGGATGAAGACGTTACTTATCTTATCAAAAACAATATCATTAAACTTTCTTAAGATTTAAAGCTTTTGCTGATATAAATTGTCTGAAGTTACGTGATACGAGATGATAATTTCGTATATTAGCAGCAGGAAAAGTTCTGCCAGTTCTCAGTCTGATTAAGCTTCCAACAAATCAAGAAGAGATTTAAACAAAACTTTATACGCATAATTTTCAAATTTAAGTTGAAAAGTTGTTGAATTTTTATACTAACAAAATTTTATGTGAATGAAAAAAAATGAAAACCGCAAACCACGATGTTCAGACAGTTAATGATGAGAAATCTTTTTGGACGAAATTTTGTGTTAATAATGGAATTAATCCTAATTTAGTGACATTGAAAATTTCACTTTTTGTTATGCATGGAGGTAAGAAAAGTAGTTGAAAGTGAAGACGTTGCTACTAAAACTTTACATCTTTATAAACTAATGTAAAACTTATTTGAATTTGTCAACAAGTCATAGTCGAAGTCAATATTTTCCAAACTTTAATCGCAAAAGAAAACTTTCAAATTCATTTGAACTTTAAACATAGTCAGAAGCTTTTCGAGTGTATAGCGAAACGATATTTTGTTATGTGAAGTGGAATGAGTGCAAATTAGTTTAAGTTTGGTACAATTTAATGTTGTTGTTTGCTATTAGCTATAAAAGTGTAATTTAATTTGATTTGTAAGTCTATCAAATGAAGGTTTTTGCCGTCAGAGGAAAGTTTTTCCTAGATTATGAGCTTAAATTGTTGAAAACCTTTACAGAATCAAAGGAGACTACTTTAAAGATAAGAATATTAGGTCACAACACAATATTGTTGTCGTTATGTGCTCATTTTTGCTATCTTCCTACATAAAATCTCATCTAGTGAAAGATCATATGAGCTTAAAAGTTTAATTTTGTCTCATCAAATTATGTTTACATAGAAATATTTCATAATGATTTATTAATGCGCAAACATTTTTCAGCATTATCATCACTTTTACCTTATCTCACTATACACATGCAAAGTATCGGGCTAAGTGTGGAAGAAATTGCAGTTATTTATTTGGCGCTACCGTTTACTACTTTTTTAGCACCCCCAATTACAGGTGAGTTATATTATCTAATGAGAACGTGAAATGAATTTACGTGTTGTTTTCCTTTCAAAGGTTTTTTGGTTGATAAGTTTGGAAAGTTTAAACCAGTTGTGATATTAACGCTTTTACTCAACGCTTTGTTCCATCATGCGCTTCTTTTTATACCTCAACAGGAGATTCCTGGCGTTATGCCTTCAGCTTATGTCATGCGACATCCCGTATCGGAAAACGTTGAAGTAAGATCAACAATCAAATCAATTATTTAATTAATAATTATTCATTTTAAAGATATGGTGGAGTCCATGCCCTTCGCGAACATGTCCAAACAGCGAAGAAATTGACGTAGTTGTTGATTCATGCATTGACCATTGTCTGTTATTGGAACAAAATCCTAAAATTGAAATTCCTAAATCAGTGCGAATTAATAACGCAAATGATCTTAATAATTTGAACTTTAAAATCAGCAAGAAGAAGTTCAATTATACAAAAGATTTCACAACTTTAACAACTTCCATTGAAACGACGACTCAGAAAACGTCAAAGCGACCTCAACACTTCAACTACTCGTTTGATCAAAGCGATGAAGAGAGTTGGGTTGCAGGCAGTGGGGAATCAGTAATTTTCTTGCTTGATATGCATCCGGATTTAGGGGAGCCAAGGGAACAATTGGGGATGGAAGTTGATGAAGATGTTGATGATGTTGTGACGGGATTTATCGAAAGGTTTGACGAGAAACTTTTGTGGGAAAAAGGTGTCAATGTAACAGAGCTTGAGGAAAATGATCTCCGCTGTGGTGGAATCGTTTTACGTCACAATATCACAATTTCTGAAGAGAGACTTCGTCAACTTGCTGAAGATTGCATGGTTCAAAAGTGTGAATTCATTCGTGGGGGACCGGAAATTTGTCCACCCGATTACAAAGAAAGCGACAAGAAAAACTTCTGGATTTATTTTTTGTTACGATTTCTTGCGACGATGATGTTGTCTGGCGGTGTGACGATGATGGATCCAATTGCCTTGACAATGATTGAAAAGTACGGCGGTGACTTTGGAAGGGAACGACTTTTCTCAATGTTTGGCATGGCAATATTTTCTCCCATTACTGGAATCTTAATTGATTATTTCTCAAGCGGCTTGGGCTACACCGACTACTCTTCCGCATTCTATATCTATGATCTCCTTTTAATTGTGAGCTCCATCACTGTTTTCGTTATGCCAATCGGCGACAAACTGCCGGCTGATAATGTCTTTCGTGATTTGTGGAATCTTCTCAAGATGCCTCATGTCATGTGCTTCATTCTTTTCTTATTTTTGCTTGGTAATTTTTGGGGATTCATTGAAAGTTTCCTTTTTCTATATTTGAAAGAACTTGGAGCGCCTAACATCTTGTTAGGCATAACAATCACTGTTGGAACTGTCAGCAGCATTCCGTTTCTTTACACAGGTGAACAAAACTTTTCTCTTATCAACCTCTTCTTCACTTATATTGAATTTTCCTCAACATTTGATATTTAGCTGAGAAAATCACGAAAATATTTGGGCATGTTAATCTCATCGTCATATCATTTTGTGCTCATGCTTGTCGCCTTGTCGGCTATTCATTTATTGAAAACGCTTGGTGGTGTTTCCCTTTTGAAGCGATGGAAGCACTGTCATGTCACTTGATGTGGGTAGCAGCTGCCACTTATTGTTCAGTGTTGGCGCCAAAAAATCTTCTGGCGACACTTTTGGGAGTACTGGGTGAATTAAAACTTTTTTTCGTCCTCCTTTATTCAAAATTTCATAAACTTTTTCAAATATCTCAAGGTATGGCACATTTTTCACTTGGCAGAGGCAGTGGCTCGTTCTTAGGAGGGTTTTTGATAGCAGACTTTGGGACAAGAGAAGCATTCAGATACATGGGACTGATAGCTGCCACTGGCGGAGTTGCTTATAAACTTATTCACATCTTGTGGTTAAAGAAATATGACTCGGGAATTAAATATCATAAACCGGAGAATGTCTTTAATTAAAACAATTTTAATTATTTCAGGTTCCTGATAATGAAGACGATGTGGAAAATGAAGAAGGAGAAAAGTTAGCACCGGAACCTCGATTCAAAGATGCATGGACTTCAATGTCTCAAGATGGATTATCAAGATGGATTATCAAGATGGATTATCAACAATGATGAAATACAATCCAACAGTTAGTCTTACTTCGCTTTCAAGATCTAAAGTAAGACTTCCACTTATTTATTTCATGCTTCTTATCTCTCTCTCTCTTATTGTTCTTTAAGGTTGATCTTAATTCCTTAATACGACGTAGAAGTAGCTGCACTGTCGTTACAAAAACTGGAAGCGCATCAAAGGTAAAAAATAATGAAAAAGTTTTATAATTTCAAGAACAAAAAAATTTCAATTAAAAGGTGGATTTGCTGAAATCAACGATGGAAATCAATCAAGCGAAGATTCTTACTTCAAATGAAACTATGAAAAGTTTGGAGTCTCATTCTCTCAATTTAATACATTCTGGAAGCGCACCGAAACTTTTAATTCTAACTGAAAAGCAGGAAACTTCATCTACTGAAAAGAATGAAAAGTAAAAACGTCTTGACGAAGGAATGATGGTTATTGATTGAATATTTATTAGTCGTAGGAAAAGAAAACTTTTTAGATCTTTCAATAAAGTGCTTGAAGAATCATTTCAAGAATTTTTTTATGTCGATTTAAAAATAAAAAAGAAACAATGAAGAATCTGCAATGTTTGGCTATGAGAACTCAATTTTCCAAGTGAAAGCTAAAACTGTATCAAGGGTCTTGTTATCATCTCTCTTTTAAAACTTTTATGTTTCATAAAGAAACACGCAGAGTGTTATATTGAAAGGTAACAAAACGAAGGCAAATTCACATCCTGCTTAACCTTTACCTTCGGTTGTAAGCAACACTTGAATGATATTGAAAATGGAGAAGGTGGGGATGAAAATCAACTGCTGTTTAGCATATTTCCGATTAGATTGGCGTTGCGTAAAATATTCCCTTGGCAAGGGTTACACAGTCAGGCGTTTTGTGAAATTCCCTTCAATCTGCCACTGAGACACGTAAATGTGTAAAGGAAATCGTACAAGAAATTTTCGCTTGTCGCTTCAAATCGACTTCATTTATCATCAGTGTATGATAATTGTCGGCATCGTATCATGATTTAGTGTCAGCTGCAGTCAACTTTCATCACACGTGAACTCTTTTATTCTTGTTTCCAAACGGAAATTATCATTCGTGTCATGAAGTGTTGAAGAGCGTTTAATAACTTTTCATGTCGAGACGACTCTTAAACTTCATTCGCTCAACTCTAGTGAAACTTAATTTTTTTTGTCGAAAATCTGCAGTTTTTGCTTCCTTCTTCCAATCGTTCACTCAATAAAGAACTTTCTTTTTTTATATCTCACATTTTTTCCCACATAAAGTTTTCGTTGCAGTGATGTCGAAGTGAGAAAAGAATTTCAAAGCTTTCAAGTCCCATTGAATTTGTATCTTGAATGTTAAATTACAATCCTGGCATCATGTTGATTTCTTTTATAATGGGAAGCACGTTCAGGATGAAAAATACAATTCACAGTCATTGTTACTTTGCAGAGTGTTTCAAAAGAAGAAAAAAAAAAGGTTTTAGTAGAAGCGAATGGGGGGGAAAGCAAGAAAAATGTACACGTCGAGATTCCCTCAAATCCACATCACAAATGCTACATGTGAAAATAGTTACATGAACTTTTGGCATTTATAGAAAAACGAGCGAATGTATGAAGAATTCAAAAGAAAAAAGAAATTTTCTTCTTAAAAATATTATCAGAAAATGAAAGAAGTTATTGTTATTGCTTCGATTATCTCTTTAATCCCTTAGAAATTCCTAAGAGAATTAACAGAAACATCCGCACAGATTCGTAGATTTTTCAGATTTTGATTTCAACTTTCAACAATCATCAGAAAGATTCCAGACGAACTTTTCACCATGAAAATCTTTCTGTTGGCATTTCTTGTGATTTCATGAAAAACTTTAACATATTTATTATACTCAAGGGATACCAATGGGAGGTAAGAAGAGCCCAGACAGGAAGGATTTATTATTCGAGTGAACACTTTCAGAATATCATATCCGAAGCTCAAAATCGGAAAATCTTTTCACAATTTTTGAACTTAAAGATACAAAATAAAACTTTTATAATTCCAAATTTTCATCTATTCTCCCACCAAGCACTCAGATTTTCTTTTTATGTACATAAATATTTTATTTTCCTTTAACAGATTCAAAGATCTACGAAATTTAAATTCCAGATATTTTTATTTTCTTTCTTCTCCCTATTCGATTGTTATAAAATTTCAATGCTTAAAGCATATTTTATTACATATTGTCACAAGAGAAACAGAACATAGATGTAGACTAAAATATATCTTTGAATGAATTTCTGATTCTAAACTTTCTGTCATATTATCACCAAAACGAAATGCTTTAGGTTAAAGAAGGAGAAGAAGAAAAGAAGAATCTTTAATCGAGCCAACAGACTTTTTCTTCGGAAGTATTTACGTATTAAACATTTTGTTTGGATATGAACCACATGTGATGTCAAGTGACTTAAGCTAGCACGCAACAACAGAGAAAACCTTGACAGAATTCACAAAATTCCCCTCTCGTTTCTACAATCGATTTAGGATTTTCACTTCAGTATACTCAACGAGTTTTCGTTTAAAGAATTTAAAAGAAGGAAACGAAAAAAGGAAATTTCTTTTGAATAAAATCTACATTTTTATTAACAGTCTCCAAGTTGTTTTTACTCTTCGTTCATTTCTTTCTACTTTATTTTCAAATCGTTTGTGTTTACTAAAATGCCATTGTTTGTTTATTCCAATGGAGGAAGTTTTATGTATTTTAAAAAGTTTCTTTTTCTTTTGATTGAAGCTATTAATTCGCTGCTTCCATCAAAAGAAAGATGAAAGATTACAGATTGGTAAAGTGAAAAATAAATGAAATGAAAGATGATCAAAGCCGACTTTATTTTCTGTCTTTGGTTCTCATTTTTAAATGTCTTTATTTCGTTTTTGTGAAATTTTGAAGTCCCTTAAAATGATTTGATTTCTAAGAAATTTTCGAATGATTTTAAATCAAGGAGGAAACAATTCTTAAATGTCAAACGTTCTTAGATAATGTAAAATTCAATTCACGCTCGTCTTAAGCTCTGTTTACAATCTCACATTCAATAAATTAAACCGCTAATTCGACTTCCATTTCAGTGCCATCCTTTTCTAACATCAATCACAATAGATAGCGAACATTAAACCGAGGAACCATTTTTAAACAATTTTCTATTGCAATAAATATTCAAATAACATTACTTGTGTTTGCACGAAGTGCGAAGCTTTAGATATGGCACGACACATTGAACACGAGAATAACATTGACAATATAAATTCATTTTTTAGTACGAAAAGCGAAGTCCATTCCCAAAAAGATTGAAGTTTGAATCTGGTGAAATGAAATATCATTTCGTTATAAGCAATTATTCATTTTACATTCAATTTAATTTCCCCAGGAGATGTTAAAAAATAATCATTGTTGAAAGCTACAAATCCCAAGCTTTAAGCGTTCAGTTATCAATGGATATGCGTAGCTACGAGGTAAGCCCTTCGATTGAATTATTAATTAATTCGGCATTAAAACTTCCCTTCCGCATAATAGATTTCTAGTCTCTTTAAGCTACGTGTTGTGAATGTAATGGAATTAAAGTGGAAAAAAAAGTTTTCGAGGATGAACAACATGCTATCTCAATGGTTTAGGTATTCGAATTATCCACGTAGTTTTGTTTCAACATCAGCAGAAAGAAAATGAAAGCAAAAGAAATCTCATTATGTGTCGCATTTGGTTTTTCTTTCTTTTTTTTGGTAAGTTTTTCGATTTTTTCGCAATTTCACGACAAAGACATGTACATATATGCTTGGAAATTGAGATGGAAGAATTTTTTCCGATTACATGACCAATGGTTCAATGGGCCACGACAACCAAAGACCACACCATACAAAAAATTGTTTCAATGAGAAAATCATAAGAAATAAAATTGCTTTTCCTATCCTGAAATAATTCCATTTATGATATTCAGAATTCGGAAAAGATTTTGATAACTTCCAAAGTTGAACAAGCTAGAAAAGCAAAAACTAAGAAAAAGTTCTCTCTACGAAAATAAGGATGTCAGGGATTAAAATAAATTGAAGAATCAATAGATTTATCCAAGTTAATAATTTTTCTCAAATACCAAACTAATTTCGGAAGAATGAGATCGAATAATGATCACTCTTGGTTTAAACTGGCTTATGCTAAAGAAATAAAACCAACTAATATCTAATCAATAAGATAATCCAAATCTTCACCATTCATAATTAAAAGAGAAATTCTCTCCAATTCCAATCCCTGGTATTATCTGAAAGAAATTCTAAAGACGCTTCTCTCGAGAAATAACTTCTTGAATACACCGAAACCTTTCAACAAATGTCACAAGATGATGTTCTATTTGAATCATAATTAAGGAACTTACCATGTAATAAGAAAATAGTGAATGTAAGATATGTGTTGATATTCTTAGCGTTCTTCATGTTAGTAGATAGGAAATGTTCTTATAATAGTTAATAGTCTTTTGTTATACTCGTTGTAGTTTTTTCTTTCTGTTTTTTGTAAATCTTACGAGATAAATTCAAGGAGATAAGCATATTCGGCTTTAACAGCCATAAAATTTCCGTTTCCACTCTTTTGCTTTTATTAGATATCCTTATGTAAAAACTTCTTATTTTTTCTTTGTTGCTTCTTTTGATTTTCTAAAAGTTTCCCGTTTTTTTTTCTCTTTAGTTGCCTTCCACTTGAAGGTCAACAGAAATGGAATTATTTCCTTTGTCACATTCTTTAATGCTGTCGTCACTCGAGAATGTGCAGATGTTTTTCGCCTTTGTTTCGCCTCATAAGTTGATAAATATTTTCTATCTTTCCAACTCACTCTCCGTAGCAGCAGATAATAACATAAAAAATTATTGTTTAACTTTTATGTGTCATTTGGCAAATATATTTTCTTCTTTTTCCTTTTTCTTTTCTTTCCTATTTTTTTTTTTTTTGCTGTTGCGACAATGAAAGCTCGCTCGTTTATTGTTTCACATTTTTATCCGCTTTAATGGCTTTTTATTGCCAAACTTCCTCAGCAATAGAGTACTTTACACTTTGTTGCTTTCGAAAAATATTTTCTCACAGTTTTTCATATCTATTTTAGACAATGTTTTCAACTGATAATAGTTCGGAAGAAGAAGTTAACATAGCATCATTTTAAATCTCGTAAATCATAACGAAAGGAGAGAAAGTAAACGCACGATGCCTGCGTATGTAACAATATTTGAAAGAATACTAAACAATTCGTTTGCAACTTGAATGGTCTCATTAAGATCACACAGAATGACGAAGGTTTTGAACTGAGAAGAGAGAAGAAACATTGGAAGAAACAAGAAATGAGCAAAATATAGCGAATGATTAAGGTGAAAAAACGAAGATTGAGAACAAAAGATGTCGAAAGGCTTGGAATGATGACGTTAGAATTCTAACAACGTTAGTTCACGAAAACACTTTCGACGGCAATGTGATGTTTGGTCTTTCTTGTAATAGCTCTTTCCATTACATTTTATATTAATAATGGTTTGATGTTACTGGAAGTAACTTTCCCACACGGTTGATTCTTTTCTGAGAGTTAAAATCTTGCTATCTTCATCCATGCGCAGACTCTCGTAGATATTTAGTTGATAACGTGAAAATGTTGAGAGAGTTTAAGATTTTATGATGACGTTTATTCACATTAATTTATGAATTAAAGTTAGTTGAATATTTTATGTGAATTTCTTTTCTTAAGCTTTTTTATGTTCACTGCTCGACTACATTTTAGATTGAAGAAAGAATTTATTTTCTTCTTCAACTTTCATTCTTCTCATTTGCTATAAAAATACAAAATTAACTTCTTTTATTAATTATCATTTTTCATAAATAATTTTGTTCTTTTCTCTCGTTAATTGCGCATACATTAAACATAAGCATCAGAAAATGAGATTTATTTTTACGATGCATAATTGAATGTGAAATTAAATATCTATCATGTAAGAGAAGATAAAAATATCGAATGGAACAGCATTCAGTATTAAGTTTTCTATATATGTTTATATTTATGTGTCATAAATATTTATTTGTAGCAATGAATATTAATTAATGGCGATAAGTCCATTAAGGCCACAAAACATTGTTCGACTATCACAATTAATATGTCTCATGACTCAATTGATTTCGATTTGTAATTTGAATCATTGGATAAAACAACAATAATAAGACTAAATCTCCGTTTCAAATGACAACAATTGTGTTTGACTTTTCCAGATGTTTTGAGAAAATACAATCTTTGTGGATGTCTCTTTGAGATTCCATTATAATCATGAAATCTTTTCTATCATGCGTAATTAATTTCATTATTTAACTTTGAAATTACTGAATTCACAAGAAACAGAAGAAAGACTTTGAAAGTTCTTGTAAGTATAGTCGAAATGTATTTTATAACGATTCAAAATTACGATTTGTTAAATTAGAAATTCACAAGCGTGTCTGGATGGCGTCGGAAAAAGATTATTTAAGATTCAAATATAAATCATTAATCAAATCTGATTTAAATAATAACAAAATTCTTTAATAATTATGTGAACGTCATGGCAGATATTTCTTCCGAAATAAAAGTGGAAAGAAATCGAAAAGCAATTTGTAAAATGAAAAATTACTTTTTTAATTTCTCAAATTCCTTTGGGGTTGGCTTGCGTTCAACGATTTATCTCCGCAAATATTGTGCCTGATTAGCGTTCTCTTGATTGATGACTATTACGAGTTATCCTCGACAACTTAGATGCGGGGCACGTGCATTTTCAACACGAACTTTACGTCTAATAACAGTTTTCATACAATATCATTATCACTTAATACCCTCAAATGGAAGAGAATTTAATTAAGTTAACCTCATTGTAGACGATAAAAGCAGCCTCTGAAAAAGTGCAAGCACGTGAATCTATTAGCAACTGAACATATTAAAGCTCTGAAAATACTTTAATGAAAAAAATGTATTTCACAAAATCTTTTAATGAACAGGAATTATGTTCTGGATTACATTGGATCTATTCTTTTAAAAAAAATACAAGAGAGTACGAGAGAATGAATATGTTAAGCCAAATAAAATTGTTAGATATTATTCAGAGCGATGATGGAAGCTAAACCTGAAGCTTTGGAAAGAAGGAAGTTAACATGGATTAGCATTTTATCTTCCTAGTGCTGATGAAGTAAAAGACTTTTTCACGATATTAAATTTTTCAAACATGGATATGTGTGGAAATATAAAATATATGAAGCTTTGGCAATTTTGAGCTTACAAATATTTTGATATGAAAAAATAATCAATTTTTAGTAAGAACATCTCAGCTAATGACAAATTAAAACCTTTTCCCAAGCTAAACAAACTTTCTAAGCACATAAAAAATGATCCCTTAAGATTTCCACTTCCTTTCAAAGGTTAATTAAAATCGTGAGATAAATTTTTAATTGATATTTTTTTCCTATAAAATCGTGCAGTAGCCGATGCGAAAAAAAGGACGTTTGTTGAAACTTTATCTCTTTTTTAACACGAGGGTGATTGAAATCGGTGTAAGTTTTTGTAATTGGCTTTTCTTATTCTCGTAGCAAAAATATTATTTTCTCTGCCTGTTTTAATTATTTTTCCATACGAATTCATAGGAGTCGCAGGAAGGAAGCTGTCGAAACGTGCCACACTCAAGAGAACGCAAAAGTTTGCTGATTAATTCTCTTTTTTTAGGCACAAGAATCCCTAAAGAATCCGCCAAAGGAATTTTAAGGGAAAACTCTTTTTCGAGAGCTCAAATCGAACGACCATTTTCTCTTTCCCCTTTTATTCAAGACACACCGCGAAAAGTTTTTCAATTTTTCACAGATTTAACGTCAGAAAGTTTTCATTTTTCAAAGAACAATTAGAAAGCTTGAAACGGCAAAGAAATAATACAAAAGTTATCGTTTTTTATGAGAAATTTATAGCAGTGCTTAACGACATCGAGAACGCTTTCAGAAAGAAAATTAGTGTGAAAATGGTTAAAGCTGTGTGGTAGAAAGATGAATGGTGATTACGTCATAGATAGCTCCAAGGGACGTCGCTTTTCTTCCCATTTTCCGGTGAATCAGAGTTTTCCCTTCTCCTCCCATGATTGCTAGGCAATGTTTCATGTTACAACTAAAGCCAGCCCTTTTCTATTCCATCCAAAAAATGCCTTTTGGCCATTTTTAAGGTCAAATGAACGATTTCTTGATGACGATTATCTGAAGTTTTCTAAGATATGCTCTTTATAATAGAAGGCGTGAAGAATTAATGTCTATAATCCCTTGAAGAAAAATAATCCGACGAAGAGACCAACCAGCAAAATGCTAAATTTCCAACTCAAACATTTGAAAAACTTACACAAATGTTTCATTTCTCTTCTTCAAATTTATGCGATCGAGGAAAAAATATGAAAATTTCATGATCAGTCCAATGGTTTGTACATAAATTAAACGACACACCTTGCATCGCAATGTTGAGCTCTGACCGTAAAGAATTTTCCTTTCAGCATTTCTCTCGTTCGACTGTCTAATCAACCTGAAAAATGTAAAAATACGTGATACCTTTATGCTTTGGTTGTCCTTTTTTTTCTCCCACTCAACACAACGGGAAAGCTAGGCGAACAGTTAAAAAATGGTTTTCTCTCATCGTAAGCTCTTGCATGATTAATATATATCCGCCCGAGTAATGAATCTTATGTTGGTAGTCAGGTATATTATGTAAGGAAGAGCGGAAAACCGTTGAGATACTGGCCATGAACACACTAATGATTTGCTTCATCATCTCTATTAGTAAATGTTTAAACATATCTCTATGGTGTTATTTCTAGCATTAGAAACAACAAAAGAGACATGAAAAAAGGGAAAACAACGAAAAGAGAAAGCAAAAATTTCCGCAACGCAAAAGAAAACTAAGAAAAATCTACAGGAAATTTTTGTGTATTCTGGGGAGGAGATGTTGAACGTCTGAAATGATTGATAAATGTGTACAAACGTTGATTGTAATGTAATTTTTACCACACGTATCCTCACCATTATTTCTCTTCGAAAGCGTTAGAACGAAAAACAGAAAAAAAATGTGAGAAGTGGACATGAAAATGGAAAAAGAGGAAAAAATGAACAACACGGCAATTAGTAAGATAAGCTCTTGTTTGCTTGATAAATTTGAGATAAACTTCTGAAGGTATTAATTTGTTAACTTTTCATTTTGGTTTAGAGTTGCATTGTACATAAAAAAGGTGAACAGCAATTGAATATGAAATTTTCGTTATGCCAAAATTACGAATGTATGGATTGCATACATAATTTCTTTTCAATTACGCCTTATTATCCCTAAAAACATATTTAATTATAATCTAAAAAGAATATTACGAGTCGTAAGAAGCTTCACAAGAACCGACAAGAGACATAAATTTAATTATTCTTTTTGTTCAAAAACACTTTTGATCACAAATAAAAATCACTTTTGTATTCCATTTCCTAAATCAACGTTTTAGAAATATGAATGGTTCTTCTATTCGAAATGAAATTAAATCTATCCTCGGCTTTCAGACGCTAAAACATTTTCTTTATCGAAAATCCATTGTGTTATCCAAGTGGTTATGAAATAAAGGAAAGTAGACATAAATTTCTTTACAGTACGCATCGTAAATCCATTAAGAAAACGTCTCGAAAAATCTGTTCGTTGTATCAGCTGAGGTCAAATTTTGCCTCGTCTCCTCCCCAATCTCATCTGATGAGCCTTTATTAGATTTTGCTTTACAGTGAAGATAAGGAAGTTCTTCACCATTAATGCCACGCAGCCTTTTGCCTTGCGATAACTTCGTTTTAAGGCAAATTAATTGTTATTTAAAACATTTTCCGCTTCAAACATAAGATGGAGAGAAATGTTTTGGCTTTTCACTAGGAGAGATAATTTCATTTACAGACAATTTATTCGCTTATTAATTCCATCATGAATGTCCCGGCCGCAGAGTTTCACAAAACGAAGTGAAGTTATTTTCTGGTTTCCCCTCTACAATTCACCATTCGACTAAGCTTTCGCCTACCTAGGTAGGGCATAAACATTTTTATAAGAAAAATTTAAATTTATTTATATTATTAAATTTTCTTTCACTTGAAATTTCACCCCAGCAATGAAGCAGCGAATATTCTGAAAATTCATCTGGAAAAATAAATTTACTAATAATGAGTTTTTATGCGATGTGAAAGTCATAAAGCATCGAAATTTTTGCGAAATGATTGATGAGTAGTAATGGGGCTAATACATGGGAAATGTCTGAAAGTCAAGATAAATGAAATGAAACAATTATCGTCATCATCATCATCACTAAGTCTAGGACGAGACCTCATGCGGTCTTCTCATCATTGCAGAGAGTGTAGTGAAGCTTCACTAGACATATAAAAAATTCATATCTACAAAATTGCTTATTAAACAGATTTTTAGATAATTTGCATCGTACTTACTTGTTTTCTCATCATCTCAAATTTACATTCTCAGTTTGTGCAAAAAATATCTTTTTCGTGAGTTTTTCTTTCACGATTCTTTTACAGTAAGAAAAACAGGTAAAGAAGCTGATGGTGGATGATGTTTCCCTTAGAAATGTGCCTAAGGTCATGAATGTAAATTTAATGCTACGAGTATTTAGTCATAAAAAGCATGGAAATTACGAAATAAAAATTCTTCATCTCCATTTATTTAATGTAATAAAAATTAAAGTGAACTGTTTTTCAGCTCAGACTCCTCAGACTCTGGGACAAGGAAGAATTTTATCAATAAAGACTAATAAAAGTGAACGGAACTCACATAAATGAATGTTCATAGATACAGTTTTTCCTACACTTGAAACTTTCAACAATAGTTAATTAAATATTGAAGTTCATGATATTTCGTTCATTCATGCAACGCTTGCTATTTTGATCTTGTAAGGTTTTAATTGCCACAACATCATGAGTTATTGTACAAGACATTTCTTCACGAGCGCTGCAAATTGCTTTGAGTTTATTCACGTCTCTGATAAAGCTCCTTCGTCTTTTATTTTTGTTTTAAGAGAATGAATTATTGCTATTTTTCATGCTTGTTAACATGATACGAGCAAACGATAAACAAGAAGAGAATAGAAAGAAAAGAATTTTAATTTATTACCAACAGTGCAAAGTTTAATTAGCTTGCGAAATATTTTCCAGAGATTTTTCTTCCAACAAACGATGAACAACGAAAAAATATTTATTGCCGATAAAAGGTGAGATTGGAGCTGAACGCAGACTAAAAAAATGTTAAAAAACGAAGCATAATGAACGCAAATTATCGACCTTGAATGTTTAATAAAAAAAGCTTTTCAAACGATTCATTTGTTGAATTTCAACAGCAATTACAATTAATTTCGCTAATGAATTGCAAGATTTGTTTTGGAAGGTTCAACATAGCATGTAAATCTTGAAAATTTAATAATTTTTTAAATTATATCTAATCAAAAACTTTTTGAAGAAAATGAAACTCGATTAAAATTTAATTGAACTTCTTTTTTTTTTGTAATTAAATAAAAATTAAATAAAAATTTGGAAATATTTTCAAACCATGGAAAAATATTTCGTGCAAAAATTTGCATAGACATCGCATAGAAACGTTTCATTTGTCTTGATGATAATAGTTATGATATTACCGAGTTAAGTCCTGTGTTAGAATCACAGAAAAAAGTGGCAATGAAAATAAACGAGATAATACTTAGACCCAAGCGATTCGAAAGGGAAAAAGAATCCTAGAGATTCAAAATCGTTTTGTTAGCAATTGTAGCTTAAGTGGAGAATCTGTGATTATTCCCAATCATTTTTACCGCAAAGCTTTGCAGTAATCCATTTAATTGGCAGCTGATAAATGACCACTGGTGCACTGAGATTAAGAAGGAAAGAAAAGTTTTAACATTTTATAGCTTTTATTTCGGAAGAAAATGTCAAAAGCTATAGAAAGTTTGTTGGGTTTCTTTCTAACTATCATCGGATAATTTACATTGTTTATCATAATTAGATGCCAAATTTGATTTAGCTCCATTAAGTTATTAATCCCAGTGAGGGTTTATCATTTATTACAATGAAGTCAGCGTAAACGAAAACAAAAAAGCCGACTAAAAATGATGATGAATTTCATTATATAATTAATTATTTTTCAGAAGAGTTTTCCTCTATAATGAATCGTAATTCACGACATTATCATGATGTTCAATCATTTTGATTAATATTCTTTCAAAGTCATGATGTCGCTTTTTCTCAGTATTCATTTTAGTTAATTACGACGAAAAACTAGTTTATTTGATAAAACGATGCCTAAAGCAAATATTTATCTAAATATTTTCACATTCCCCACCCAACCACTTCGTAACCAATGCTTACCAATCATAAAATCTGTTTTTGATGACATTAACATGATGAAAGAACATTTTATAGGCCGCAAATGATCGTTTTGTAAAGTGTCACTCTCGATTCGATTCTCTTTTTTACTCAATAGCAAAACCTTTATTAAAGTGATGGAAAAGTTTCAACAGAAAAGGGACCCAAAAATGTCTTTATTGAAAAAAGATTAATTTTGTCAACCGTGGCCCTTCCCGTTTTAATTGTAACGAGAAAAATTACCCTCTTAATGTCATTAGCGATCTCAAGAGTATTAAGCAAAAGGGTTCGCAGCTGGAACTTCTAACGTTTTTCTATTCCATTTCATTCTAAAAAGCTTTATATTTAGTAAGACTTTCTTCTTCCGTCTTGAAAACAAAGTCATTGGTTAGCAATTTTAATTATAAAACAGATTAAAAATTGTTGAAATTAAAGATTCAATTGAAAGACCAAACAAATTTGTTTCTTTCTCTCTTTGACAAGACGCTCAAGTGATAAATTTCATTCAAAAATTGTAAAGAATCCTCGGAATTTTAGTAGATAATTAAACGTGAAATGAAAGGAAATTTTTCAGTTCAGCATAAATATTTCAATCATCCAACTTCATTAACTTTGAGTAAAATGTCTTCTTTATTCTCTCTAATAAAATCAGGAAGACTAGTTGAATAAGCTATGAGGCAATTGATATTTTGCAACAGCAGTAAGAGCAATCGAAAAAGTCATGTAGCAACCATTCATTCCGTATTTCTCCATCATATCCAACTCAAGTGTTGCAACATATGTTTCTATCATTTTTCAACGATTTAACATATTCTACTTTTCTGTTCTCTTCCTATTTTTATTGTGGAAGTGAGAAGTGATATTCTTATTGTGTATTTTTCAGATATCACATGATATAAATATATTTGACGTTCTACGTACGTGTTTTTTTTTTTTTGCTTTTATACATTTTCAATAAGCCAAACGAGCTTTCTCGAGAAGAGAAAAACGAAATCTACGATTGTCATAGATCGAAAGGATAATAAGAAAAATCATCGGAAATTTTCACATATTCAATCATTTGAATCTCATGCGTACACTACAAAACATGGCAAGTTAGACTGATAGACACATAAATACATTTGTTCGTTCTCGTTCTTTTTTGTTGTGTGTTGCTGGGAACAAATTATATGATAAAGATGTTACTTCATTTTCCTGGAATGATTCTACCAAAGAAGAAGAAGAAGAAGAAGCTCCTTTCATGAATTCTCAATTGTGATTTTTTAGGTTTATTTTCGCTTACATAATGCTGTCGTGCGAAAGATTATATTCGCAATTTTTCAATGTAATGCCTCGTTTGTTGTGGTTTTGTATCGCTGCTTTTCATCTAAAATGATAGAAAGCATCCCTAACTCAAGCACATGATTTGATTTATATGCTCAAATTTATTTATTTATCACAATACCGCTGCTACTACCTGTGTGAATGACATAAATTCACGCTACTTTTTTAACATAAAATGGAAATGAAATTTGAATCTCATTGTTAACTCGGATCTTCCTAATGTCACAGTGACAGTCTCAGAATCAAATTTAATTCTCTAACCTTTAGCAAGTTTAAAAGGTCAAATTTTTACTGTCTTTTGTTGAACATTCATAAATGCTGTCAGTGGCTTTTAAAACGCTTGAAATTCTCTCAACAATAATTTTGGTGTGACACTTTCAGGCAAATTTGTATGAAAATCCTCTTAAAAGTGACCTGTTATGATCGACAATTTCAACACATAAAAACTGTCGGGTACAAAAATCCCTAAGATTCTAGACACGACGATCTAAATGAATAATTTGTCTTTTTATGTAAATTATCAACGAAAGTTACCGAAGACATTGTCTTTCTCCCTCTACCTGTCTTTCTCTCTCTCTCTTTCTCTTTGTCTTTCAGCATAATAATTTGAAAACACATTTCTAATACCTTCTGGACCAGGTAGCTAATATAATTTTATCAAAGATGTGTGAAAGATGAAATATGCGAAAACCATAAAAGAGAAGGAAGCATGCCTAGGTAGTTGATTTAAATGCAAATGTTACGAACAGCATAAAGATTTACTTTCTTTTCTAACAGACTTACTTAAGCTTTGATTGTATGTACTTAACTCAATACCATTATAACAAATGTCTCAAGTGTAAATTAATACTTTAGAGATATTCTAAGGGTTAGTTCAATTTTGGTTGACTTTAGTGCATCAAGTGACATAAACTTAAAAGTTTTTTGATAATTTCAAAACTTAATAAAATCATTAAAATCATAAAGTAATAATGGAAAGTGACAAGCAAAATAATTCCTTCGACATCGTAAGCTGCTTACCTTCTGAAATAGTTACCAACATATTCAATAGACTGGATGGCAAAGACATCCTGGCGGCATCAGAAGTGTCTACAAAATGGCGAAACTTCATCGCTGAATCATCGCATTGTCTTCGAAAAATCACGCTCAACCTCAGACAAATGATACTAAGTAATGTTAAAAACCCTCTTTATATTTTAACTAATAATCCTCGAAGTTATGAGAGCATTTTTGCACCTGGAGTTAACTTCTGTAAGAAGAGCAAAGTTGCAATCATAATGAGTACTTCAACACGATGGAAGAACATCAAAATAGAATCATCTGAATTCCATGCCAGGTTGGATTATTCTGATTTCTTCTCAAGAGTTGAGGAAACATTGGAGGATCTTCGTATGAAAATGGTTAAAGTTAAAGATCATTCTTACAGTAAGTTAGTTCGAGATATGAAATTTTCTAAGCTTACAATCTTACAAGCCTACGATGTTGAACATTTCTTTTATGAGAACGTCTTCGTCAACCTAACAACGTTGAGGCAGTTGCTTCTCAGAGATAGAAGACTCAAAGCGAGCTCAAAAGATGCCATCGTTCAACTTCTTAGGAGAAACAACGATTTGAAAGTTTTAGAGTTGAGCGACTCTTGCTTTACTGATGTCATGGAAACTCAGAATATAATCAATGGAATTCAGTTTAAACTTGAAAAATTGATTATCGGTGGTGATTTCTACGATTCATTCAATTATTTTAAAAATTTAAGAAATAATTTTGTCAGATTTCTCTCATCACAAAAGCATACTTTGACGTCCCTCGTCTTCCATTCCTGGATGGGACTGAGTGTCTTAAAATATGTTTATCAGCTTCCAAATTTAAAGTTTCTTTGTATTAAAAATGTTGACAGAATCAATGAACTTATTGATTGGACTTATGTCACCTTGCCAAAAAGTAATTCACTGGAAAGGGTGACACTCATTGATTTCCCAGGTAGTCTTGAATTAATGAAGACATTCGCAACAGCGACTGCAAATGCTAATTTTAACGTCACTTTTAATCCCTACGCAAAGTTTGATCAACGCATCGAGATTTTGTATAGGATTAGAAGAATATTTGGCAAAAGTTTGAACTTGAAGTTTACAAATTGGTACTAAATTACGGAGGCCATTTAATGTTGAATTTGAATAAAATCTGTATGGAAATCATATTTATTTTCTAAATAAATGAATAAATTATTAATGAAATAAAACATTTGAGCTTTTTTATTTCTATTTTCGTGACTAAATAATAAACACAATTGACATACCGATAACTGCCAACAGGTTGAGGTATAACGGGCAGTTTTGATGGTTAGCCAGCAGCCATTCAAGCATTTCAACCCTTAATTTCGTAGTTTTCGAGTGGATAATAAAAAAAAATAGAAACGTGTAAAATATTTTTAAGATCAAACAATTGATCTCAATTAACAATCATCAAAAAGAAATTGATAAAGTATTGAAAAGTTTTACTTTCAGAAATTAAAACTGAATAAATTTTATAACGAAGTAAGTAAATATTCAAATGATTTATGATATTTTATTAGATCTCTCGCACTCTGTCATATTCATTCATTTCATAATTTTCATCTGCATTAATCTGACAGTTTTCTAATTGGGAGCTCGCATCAAGGATTTGACGATACTTATCATGACTTATAATAACAGCATAAGTTAAAATTAACTCATGAATCATAAAAATAAAACCTTGATATCATTCATAACTTTTATTATTTTACCAACATAAATATACCGTAACAAATGACGATGATTTTTCGTGATTAAAAAAAGAGAATGAGAAGAAAAAAAATATTTCGGCGTTGAACGGAATGTCAGCATTAATCTTTCCGGTGACTTGTCACTGAAACTAAACCGTATGATGAAGACATATGACAACCAAGCGTAGCGAAAAGGTTCGCTCTCACAGAAAATCTGAATCATAAAAAAATGTGGGAAATTTTCTCGCTTTAACGAACTTTCATTTGTCAAAATTTCTCATCTCTCAGCTTCATCACGTGGGAGAGCTCGAAACGTTATCTGAATAATGAAAACGGAAGTTCAATGTGAAGCGTGAAACTAAATTTCTCTTTTCTTACAAATGATTGGAGTCTCTCAAAAACATTTATAACGAGAATGATGAGCTTTCACGTTAGCAACAATAAAAGTTTGCTTTTAATGACAAGCCACTCATCATCGAAATTATTCTCATAAAAGGGAAAGTACATTAATGATGTTGAATGTCCAGAAAAGAGAAAAATTGCCATTTATAAACTTATTTGTGAAGCTAACTCTATCAAATGTAGTCTTAAATATTTTTTCTATCTCTTGCTTCGTTTCAATTGAGGTCAAAATATGTGGAAGGCCCCTTAGAGACAAAGGCGTCGAGGGAAGAAAGCATTTCGTGTGCCATCAATTGTTTGGAACTTGAAAGAAATATTACTTCGAATTCACCCTGGAGATTGGAAAACGTTACATGAGATAAGCATTGAAGGAAAACGAGCTTTGTTTTCACCATTTCTTACAGCTTGACTTCAGTGTAAGGGAAGAAATAAAATTCAAACTACATTTCCGCTATCTCACCAGAAGATTTTTTCTGCAATCAGCAAAAAATAGGAACATGTAGATTAAAGTTTTCCTTTTCCTTTTACATATCCTTTTAAAAATAAGTTCAATGAATTCAATTTGATTTATCGGAGTCAGCAATAATTTTGATTACGGAAATTTATATTTTAAGAATTTCAATACTATCTGCGTGGGTGGAACTAACGACAAAAAATTGACTTAGGTTTATTTGTAATTATATTTTAGTTTTGTCGGTAATGTTTGTCTCAAGTTATTTTATCATTTCATTCAACATGTTTTTTCTAGTTTTTACCTAAAGTGCCATCAAGTGAACCATGACGAGATGGTGAAAAACATGGAAACCTCACAGTAATTATTACACCCGATGTTATGTCTTAATGCAGTATAAGGTTTTCCATGTTGAGGCAATAAATGAGAGGATTATGTTGAGAGTCGTATAATGAAAAAAGGCAGTAATGTGTGTGATAGCGTCGGGATGAAAATTTCAGTGTGGTGTAAAAATGTGTTAAAACCTTTCGTAAACATTACTTTTAATGCACTACCACAAAAGCTTATATCGTATTGTTGGAATTAAAATTGGAATAATTAAAAGAAAGAAAAGAAAGAAAATTCATTCTGGTGAAGGGAGAGAATTGTTGAATAAGAAATTAGAGCTGTTACAGATGAAATGCTTGAAGATTTTACATACATGTACATAAACTCAAAGAATTTTATACCCCCAAAGATTGCAGAATGTCACTCATTGCTTTTATGGCTTTCATAACTATTTCAACCCAAATGGAAGCGTGATGTTTATTCAGTGACTACAAAATAGAACGGAAGCAAAGTGCTAAATAAAACATGAATGTTAAACTTTGTTGATTAATTTTACTCTCTCGCTTCCATCCTCCAATTACTATGCCAGATGAATTTCTTCCAGTAGTTCTGTGTCCTCTTTTAAACAGAGTATACAATCTTAAGCAACCTCTGGAATATTAAATTATCCATTTTCGCCCCCTTTTTTCATTTCATCACACTACACAACACAACACCGCGAACTTCAAACAGATAGAGAGACGAAAACTTTTTCCTTAAACTTTTTCAATTTATTATGAAGGGTAGAAAAGAAGTTTAAGTCATAAAAAGTTTTATTATGTTGAAGACAATTAAAAACTGTGTAAGCTGAAGCGATAACAATTATCATTTCTAATGCGATAGCTCGTATCGTGCCCCAACTTTTCCTTTTCTTTCTCCCTTTGGACGTAATCAGTTTAGTTACTTAGATAGAAAGAGGTTGAAAACTTTTCTTTTTGAGACATTTTCATTTTCTTCTCAACTCGCTGAATCAGGTAACGAGGGAGTGGTTTAAACAAAGTTTCATTTCTATATAATTCGAAAACTGAAAACAAAGTTTTTTAGCTTTTTTTCATGTCTTCTCAGCTTCAAGTGAAAACCCTGCGGAGACGTTTGGGTCAAATGGATGATTTCAATCGCTAAATTATCTGAAATTCTATCTTATGTTGTTGTCGGAGTGAAAGTCAAAACAAAGAAAAACATAAAATACTGAATAGACGATTTATGAAATGAAATGACAAAAAAAATTCATCATACATTCAGTCACCATGAATAATAAGTTTTGTTAGGTTTTTTTCCTCTTCTTCAATCGAATTTAGGCTCAAAATTGGATTCATTAAGGTTAAAGATGTCAATAAAGTTAATGCTAATAAATGCTTTAATCGCTTTAGGTGTAACAATTGCAGGATATTACACACTCTTATCACAGATTATCACAACTTAAGACGTTTATGCAAGTGAAACGCTTTAAAATACGTGCTTCATGTAAGCATTGCCACAAGGAAACGACACGAGACAGTTACAAATTGTGTTGAATAATTCTGAACGTTGTATTTATAAGATGGCGATATCTAAGAGAAATTATTCCTTTAAAACACATTTGAATGCTAATGTTGCTAAATTTCAGCTGTTTGTACTTGACTTGAACATTAAATAGTTCATTAATGTCTAAACCTAACATCAAAACATTACGTGAAAGTTTTTTAAAGCACCAACATTTAATGTACATATTCGGAAGAAGCTGAAATTGAAACAATTAAAATTAGTCATAATTTTAAACGTTTCAAAGCCTCTGTGGAATTTAATCAGAAAATGTTTTCAATTAAGAATTCATGGAGATAATCAGAGCGAAAAGGAGCAGAAAATCGAGTTGAAAACAGAAAGCACGAGAAACATTTCGAAGCAATATATCAAGCAATTTGTTGAAATCTTATAAAATGTTGCTTAAGATTTCGAACATTTTCATTTAGATTGCCTTCATTTTTCTTAGGCCAAATCTTTAACTATAAATTTCTTGGAAACCAAATTTTATTGTTCAACATTCTGTTTTCAATCGGAAGATAAATACCAATCTTTGGAAATTTCATCTAATCAGAAAACTCTTTTAAAAAATGCTACCTGGAGGGATTTATTTTTAGAATAAAATGAAAGAATTTTCATATATTTATTTTGCATAACAATTCATAAAATTTTAATAAAATTCTTTTCATAAATTTCATTAACGTTGTTTAATTTCTTTTTTCTCTAATGAAAATCAAAATTCAACCCCATCCATTGTGATTTAACATTAAAATGTATTTTGCGGGCTGGGATAAATGTTGAAATAATTTCTTTATTTGAGAGAATTAATTATCATTTGAATAAAATAATTTTTCTTTTTTCTGTGGAAACATGAATGTTTGCTTTGAGTTTTATCTGCTTTGTATCTCGAGCGCAAGAATTTTTACAAACAATTTAATCGTTTATTAATTTCATTATGAATGTTCTTGGCACAGATGTGAGTTAAGCCGCCATGCATTTTTTATTTTAATCGCGTGGAAATATTTTCATTTAACTTTCTTCTTTCATAAATTTATGCTTGTAGATATTAAGATAAATATCAACACGAAAACCACGAGAGAAAACCAACTTCAGCGAGACTTCGGAAACTATTTTTAGAGCAAGGATATTAGACAAAGTAAATTTAATTATGCTGCACCATTATTGCTACTTTTAATAAGAAAACAAATTATGATCAACTTTCTTCGTTTGGAAAATAAGATTTCAACAAACACACCGACGCCTTCTTCCTCTGAAATCGTCACGAATTTCCGCCGGTGTTGAATTTGTGAGTGGGAAGTAATTGCCATTTAATTTAACAAGGGGATAAATGCCACTGTGGAAAATTATATGTTGTCGATTTTTTCTTCTCTTTTTGTCCCGACACGTACACAAAGAGGCTTTGAAATGTAAATTCGCAAATGAACACAAGCTGAGTTTGCATAAGCTTCCAGAACTTTCTTTTTTCTTGCAGGAAACAAAGAAAACTTGAATTGTCTTTCGAGAATGTTTGAAACGAGTTAAACATATTGATTTGTTCTTATCTTACTAACAAGGTTCTTTAAGTCTCTAAAGAGAGAAAATTTAGAAATGATAAATTGCAGAACGAAGTAAAATGATCAAGGAAAAATATAATGAAACAAACTCGATGAACAGAAAATAATGTCGTCTTCGGAACAGACCACAAAGCTATAATTTTTCGAAAAGAGAAAAATCCAATAAATTTTTTAGATAACATTTTGTCGTTTTGCCTTCTCATTCAATGCGAGCTTGCTTTTTCGGTTCCACTTACAATGAAATCGCTTTTGTGTTACTTAGTGTCTCCTTGATTTATGAACACAAGAAAGCTAAGAGATATTGCTTTCTAATTTTCATGTGAAATTAATGAGGGAATACAAATTGTCGAAGAAATTATCACGTTATCGGAATTGGTCAATATTCAACAGAATTTGATGAGTCGACAATAATTTCAAAGTATTTGTTTTGTTCTTCATGTCTAACAGCGAGTGTTTGGCGCAGAGACTGGAGGAAAATTTATTTCCCCAACATTTCTTCATCCCCATGGGAGTTTAGCAAATTTCAACAAGAAGAAATTCCATTGCACATCTCTGACTATTCTTAAGTCATGCATTAAGTTATTAAATAAATAATATCAAATAAAGGAAGCATTTAATGCAGGTACAATCACTTAAAATTGCAATGATGATGAATGTGGTGCAACTGGGGATTCGACAGAGATCTTTGGTAGGAAGTGAAATCAGAAAACTTTAATAAATATTTAAAGTGACGAAATCTTTAAAGTTTCAAAAGGAAATCCTTGATCTGCAGAATTTTTCATTGATATAAATATTAAAACAAACAATTTCAATAAATTTTGTCATTCCTCCTCGATAATAAAAGAATAAAATGCAAACGCCACACCTACGAGATTTACGATTTGCGGGAATGCCGAGATGAGTTTGATCAGTTTTATGGCACACGTTTGGTCGTTTTATGGTTGCAATTCGTTACCCTTTTACTTCTAACACGCCAGCGACTGATCAATAAACAATTGCATAAGTGTAATCATTCTGCTGCCACAGAATTTTCTTTCAAATTTCGTGAATTTATTTTGTTCGTGGGAATTTTATGTTTTTCTCCTTTTTTATGATAACATTAAATAATGCCTCGACTCTTTTTTCCTTGTAGCTTTTCATGCTCATTTCATAATCAAAAACACATGGTGAAATTATATGAATATATGTATGGCAAAGTTTATGGATGTTTATGCAATGTTCGTTTTTTTTACTTCTTCAAAGCTTCTTCTATCCATCCCCGGTTGTTTTATGATTCGAGCCATAAAAAGTTTGATCAAATAATCAAGAAAATATAAATTTTATTGCGATATAAAAGAAGCATTGATGGTTCCAGCCTCTGAAAAAGAAAAATGAATGAGCAGGGAATAAAAACAGATCTAAATGAAGCGATGATGATTGCATCGCATAAATGCTAAATATCCTAGAGCTTCTACTTATCTTCTTCAACAAATTATGAACATTTGGCTCTCACTTTTCTAACTTTATGAAATTTTTCTTTTTCTTCTCTTTTATTTTTAAAGTTTTTTAAACATTTAAACTTTGAGTAAATTTTAAAAAAGGAAACAAATTTAAGGAGCAATCTTAATTTAATTTAATTAATTTTTGTGTTTGTTGAGCTTCTTAAAACTTTAAGATGTCGCAAAAATCTGTAATATTATTGTGAAGTTTTGAAATTCCAGACACTTTGTGAATATTACAATGAAATTGTATTACAAAATATTTCAGTGATTCAGTTATAGAAAATTTAAACGTGACATATTCGATTAAGGATCAATCTGTAGAGTTATTATGAAATTTCTCTTGCAGCAAAATATGACAACCTTAAAGTTAGAAATTTCAGACTTTTCCACATAAATAAGAAAGATTGAAAATTATGATCATTTTTCTCAAGTTTTGAGGTAGGACAATTTTCATTTGCCTTCATCTTTCAAATCCTTATATGTCCACAAATATCTGCAAAATAATATTTCTTATTATTTTGTTTCTTCCATACGCCTTCAGGTATTTCCGTACATTTATGTTTTCGTTTTAAGAAAAGCAGAGTTTTCTTCTAAGATTAAAATGCCCATTCAAAGCGCTTCTCATTCAATTGTTATGCGACATCATAAAGAAAAAACATTTTACGACCAATCATTTCTCTTGCGATAACTCTCGACATCGTAAATCAATTGGGGAGAGGTCAAACGATATCATACTGAGAAATGGTTGTCTTGTTTAAGGACGATATTTATGAGACATCGAAGTCAATATGACGCACAAAAACGAGAAACTTTATCGTTAAATTATTGATACTATGTCGTTCGATATTTATCATATCAACATCTCTCACGATTCTGTAATAACAATGCGCTATCATCACTTCGTTATCGATCTATAAAAGAGCATTTATCGTGCTGAGTATTTATTTCATTTCTTTACAAAAGAAAGACGACAACAAAAGCCTGATATGTTGAGTTTTCATTAGTATTCAATTATTGACGTTCAGTGTTTTCCGAAACAATTCTTCGTGAGTTTTGATTTTCATTTTATTGTCAAGATAAGTGAAAAAAAAGGAATTGAAGATGATTGATTTCTGAAAATATTTGTTTAAAATTGAATTATATTTTTGAGTTGCAGTTGTTTGAAAGTTTCAGGAATAAAAACATGAAAAGTTTAAAACGTTTTTAATAGTTTTGACGTAAAAAGCAATCAGACTTGGATGATGTTACAAAAAACGAGAAAAGATTCTCAATGTGTATCTAAGCTTAAAACTTGAGCCTTACATAAAATAAAGTTTTCCAACAAAAAAGTTGACGTTTTATTGCTGTTCACAAAAAATGTGAAGTTTGCATTCTTCTGAAGTTTTCAACTGCAATCAATTGAAATCACTTTATGTTGATATTTTTCAATCGCACATTAACTTTTTTTTACAATTTTCAACTTCAATAATTTTATGTGAATCTCAAGTTTCTACTTCAAACACAGTGAAATGTGTTAATTGGAGGGATGACGAAGTGTTAAGTAAACAATAGTTTAATATGATTAACAATACTTGCAAAAATTGTGATAACTAAACAAAACGATTAAGGAAAACACGCTACAAGATCAGTCATGCCACGTTCATTTCTCATTCATTTTTCTTTTATTTCTAATAGAATGACGCTTATAAAAATGAAACAATATTCTCTCATTCACATCGTTTTTATAGACGAGTTTGAGTGGATTGATAGCTCATGGATTCTTTTTCTTATTACGTCAACCTCTGCTCTTGCTTCTATCGTGAAAATCAGGGCGAAAGGAAAGTGCTTTCAAGATATTGCAAGTCACTTCTTAAGCAAATCGCAAATTGATAAAAATAGCGTTATCACTTTTCTTTGATTTATTTCCTGTTTTTTAATAGCGATGAGCTGCTTTCTCATTTCATTATTCATTACAATAAATAAAATGAGATCATCATCATTGCACGCAACGCATTGCTAACTTCAAGAGAATGAAGCTAAATTGAAAGCATGAAGATGAAAGCGATTCTACTCTCAAATGATATTGAATTCTAAACATTCAGGCGCCATGCCATGTTAGAATGAATTTAAAAGCAATTTATTTCATAGTCTAAATATAAATTTGAAGAATGTTTTCATTGTTATCTCTTGCTCTTAATTTGGATAAAATTAATTTGCACGAGTTTTCATTTCATTAATTTCAATAACAAAATTCACAATGAACTTCAGCTGTTGAAAATGTTTTAATTATTTTTTTTAACGTTTCTATAGCAAACATCAACAACATTAATAAATGATTTTCATAAATTATTAATTTTCGTGGAAATATTTGTCAGATGTTTTAATGATCAACGTCAAATTTTAGATAGCAAATCAAATTTGTGAGTGAAGTAAATATCAAAGACTTTCATATGAATATACTTTAAGCTTGTTTTCAAATATCTATAAAATATAAAAGATCTATTTGCTTACCAGATAAAATCAAGCTTTCAGTGAATCCAAAAGGGACATGTTGTTCAGTCCTACAACATACTTATGTATCTATGATGTTTATGTAAGTACCTTGAAGGCATCTTTCGCTCGATTTCTATTTCTTTTTCTTTCTTATTTGATCTTAAAATTTCTCATTTCTGTGACAAAGTTTTTTGTTTAAACGAAGAGAATTTTGATGAGAATGGAATATTGTTTAATCCCTCGTTGAAAATGTGAGTCGCTTGGAAAAAGCAGAAGAAGACAAACGAAGGAATTACTCCCGAAAGACGGAAGAAAGTTGTACGTTCAAATTCTCTGATGTAAATAGAAATATTGTTTCCATAACATCACCAGAATGCTAAACTTGTCTGTAGAATAAAATATTAGACTTATTTATTCTCAGCTTTTTTCTCATCTCTTCTTTGTTAAGCACATTTGCCAACCGGCACATCCCTTCCCTGTGATGAAAACGAATACTTTGTGGATGTGCGTGGATAACTGTGAATAATTTTAATCAAAACAACGTATCCCGACTCTATAAACCATCATCTCTAAAGCTCATTTTTCAATAGCAGAAGTTCAAGTTTTTAAATTTGAGTCACGTTCGATGAAAAAAAGTCCTTTAATTTACACATTTGCCGTTTATGACACGTTATGTGATCAAATCGCCCTATATACTTCTAACTTTCTTATTTCATTCCATGAATTCTTAATTTTGGATATCTGAAGTGACAAACTACTGTAAAATCTAATAAAAATCAATACAATGAGAAAAGACATCCATCTTTCCTTCGTTTTTAAACTTAATGAAATTCCTTAATTTTTAAATGAATTTTGTATCTAAGATATCATTTAAAACGTCGCTTATTTGATGTGAATTTCGAGTTTTCACACCGAATAACAGGGTTTAGAAGTTACACTAACTCTAGTACTCACTTTTAGACCTTTTACAATTCTAGTACTAAATCCAATTCCCAACCCTGAATTGTTTTTAAGTGTAAGAAAAACATTAAAAACATCAACATTCTTAACTTCAATTACATTCTTTTAATTTTACATTTCCAACAAATTTCTAAAGCATTCGTCTCTTCAGACGATAAGTTCTGTGATTATCCAAAATCATACTTGTTACCATAGGAAGCGACCTAAAAACAAAATGTCACAGGAAAAGAGAAATTTAACTTTTAAAAGCTGACATAAGCATGAAAGCGAACAGTCAAGATTTCATCTCATTTTCAACAAAATTACAGTGTCGACTAAGCAAGGAAAAGTTTTCACTTCTTTATACTTATATCCCCAAAAAGTTTCTCTTTGACTTTGCTCTTAATATTTCTCGTTCACCGAACGTCAAGGCACTTATTCACGAGGCAGAAAGTTTTTATCTGATTATTCAATCTATGTTTTACAAGAAAGTTTTATTATTCTTCTCATATGCATGAAGAATTATGTTTGTGTTTCACATGAAAATTATTCCACGAGAAAAATTTGTGCAGTGAAGAGAGAAGAGAAAGAAAAGAAACACGATGGAAGTATCATGAGATATTTAAGGAATCTTACAACTTACATGTGAAGTTATTGCAACGAATAGAATATTAAGTAAGCAGCTTTCTTATCATGAAGAAGAACCTAAGCGCAAAGAGTAACTCCAGTAGATTCTTGCACGTGATAAATAATGCAAACGTTGAGCTCGCTCTTACACCATTCCAAAGACTTTTTTTTGTACGAGCTTTGAGGCGCTATTAATAATCTCGTAATATTTATAACACGATATGAAGAACATTTACAACAGCAGCACATAAATAAGTATTTCCGATTTTATTATGAAGGTGTATAGCATCGATTCGAAAGCAATAAAAATAAGAAGAGATCGCGCCGTGTGAAGTATTTTCCGCCTCAAGTGCTTTCATGTTTGTAGTCTCGTTTACAAACTGTTATTGATACAGCCTTGCTTTATCGTGTGTTTATTTACAAAGCCCTTTACTTTTACTTTAATCATATATACGAATGAAAATTTAGTCGACTTAGCAGCTTCAGGTTGCAGAAAAAGTAATCAAACTTGCATAACAAAGCTTAAGATATCCTTGTAGATAACTCCCAAAAGTTATTTCAAAATACAAAGAGAAGTTTCGCCATCAAACAAACACTTAGATAACTTAAAGACAATAAAGTGCAAGGATAAAATTACCTACATATCTACAAAGCATAGAAAAGTTATTCTATTCATGTATCTCACTAACAATATTTTGAGTGCCTCTGAGTGCTTCAATAATTTTCTTTTATCATGTCAGTATTGAAATAAGTTTAATAAGAAGCATCGTATCAACAATCCATTTATCCCCACTTTATGTGATTTGAGTAGTGATCAAATTTAAATGACATTTTATTGTGGTTTGTAGAGCAGAATTTTTCTTTTATGGTGAAGTTTTTGTGTGTTTATAATTTTATTAAGAGAAAAATTGAAAATTAAATTTTGAAAGCGCTGAGAGAATGAAATTAAAATGTTTGCTTGATCAATTAAGAAATAATTTTATTAAAAAAATAGATTAATCAACTGCGCTTCTCAGATCCATCGTGGTTTATATAAACATCCGGAAAAATGACAACGAAACCACGACCACCACACTGAATTTAGGAGATTACGAGAAAAGTGTAAACTTAACTGCTGTGTTTGTACTAATCCTAGGAAATTGAAAATTTATATCTCGTCATTAAATTTGGGATTAAATAGCAAGTAAATTCAATTAATCCATAGTTCGGCAATCAATTTCAATAAACGTTTATTACGATCAATCGAGTTGTGGTAGCCGTCAGCTGTAAGAGTTAAAAGATATAACGAAACGAGAACATCATCGTTGATAGCGTGGATGAAAAACTTTACATTGACAATTTATTCGTGTTGTTAGTGACAATATTGATATTAAGCAATATGCTGGCTTAATTTATCATCATTAAAGCTCGACGTTGTATTGAAGTTTCATAAAAATCATAAAGAATTTACATTCAAACAACGCTGAATTCAATTACAAATTCATGAAATTATTTTAAAAACTTTATTTAATTGATTTCAGTATTGAGTTATTGTTTAAAAATAATAAACTGCCGATAAAGTATTTAATTTCGATAACACATAAACTATTTCTGTGCGATAATTAAAATATCAAAGAAAGAAAGGAAAAATATTAAATCCGAAAATGCTTCCTAATAATTTTAACACAAATCAATGACAGAATTCAAGTCTGCTTGTAATGCTTCACATTTCTCTTTGCAATCTTTGATTTCATCTTGAAGTCTTTCGACGTTAGCTTCAAGCATATAATTTCCTTTCTTGAGAGCTGCAAGACGTCCGTCATGGCGCTTCACTCTTGGTTCTAGATTTGACTTCTTCTTATCGTCATCAGCATCCTAAAAGTGGCATTCAAAGTCATGAGCATGGAAAATATTCAAAAGAAAGATGAAAACTTACCTCAGCTTCTGATTGACTTTCCGTGTCACTGTCAGAATCTTCAGACTCACTTTCTTCGGATTCTTCTTCCTCTTCTGACTCTTCTTCCTCTTCTTCAGCCTCTTCTTTGTCTTCATCTTCATCGTCCTCATCCTCAACTGCTTGCATCATTTTAGCCATTTTCTCAACTTCTTTCTGTAACTTTTTAAGATTCTTCTTCTCAGTTCTGATAAAAGAAAGAAAAAAAAGTTTAAACGAAAAAGTTTCCATTAGTGAATAAAAGTTCTTTACTTGAGCAGTTGTTGATTCTTTTTAGCAGCGTCACGCAGAGCTTTTCGTTCCGACTTTGCAGCTTGTTCCTTGTCCTTAAGCTTGACGAGTTTAGCTCGCAACATATCGACCTCACGTTTCAATCGTCTAACAGCACGTTCTGCTTTTTGTTCTTCAGTTTCGTCTTCTTCCTCTTCTGACAATTCAAGTTCCATTTCCGGTGAACTTTCTTTCTGTTGAGCTGCCACGCTCTGACGACGAGAATCAACATCACCTCCAATTCCCTTTTCAATTGAAAACAAATTCTAAGAATTATTTTCTCATATCAAACCAGAGATTGAAATTGATTCGCAGTTGGTGAGATTTCCAACGAAAAATAGAATTAAGTAGGAAACGTTAATCAATCTCAATCCCTGCATTAAACATTACGAAATAAATTATTTTGTTGTTCAGATTTTAGGACAACAATAGTTAGAAAGAGAAGCGTTTTTCACTTAGTGGCAATTAATTAATTTTACCTCCTTGAACGTATAATTAACACTCCATCCATCTTCATAATTCTACAATTGTGTTACATCATCAATTTCGATTAGAAAAGCAAGAGAAAGAGCGAAATTAAAATGTAATAAATTAAGAGATTATTTAAGCAGATTTTCTTATCTTGCATGTTAAAGTTTTTATGTTAAAATTTTAATTTTAATTAATAATGTCGTTAAGAAAGCGAAGATGAATCGTGTACCTGATATTTCTTCTCAAGTGTTGCAAGTAGTCGACGAACTTCTTCAATTTCTTTATCTTTTTTATCTAAAAGCTCAGCTGCATCTTGGAACTTCTTCTCGAGAAGTTTCGATTGCTTTTGAGCTTCATCGGCTTCCTTTCTTAAATTCTTAATCAGCTTGTCATCACCTCCAGTTGAAGTCGTCTTCTCTTCAACGACACCAGTCGGATTCCATCTTTCACGTTCAAGCTCAGCTTCTAAGTTCTTAACCTTTGCCAGTAATAATTTATTTTCTCGTTCAACAGCTTCTTTGTTACGCAGTTCAAGTGCCAACATTTGTTTCGTGCTTTGTAAATCATCTCTTACTTTGTCGATATCGTCAAGTTCGTCTTCTTCGTCATCTATGATGGGTGAAGGCAAACTTTCAGCAAGTACAGCTTTCGATTCCGATTTCATGATCTGCTCTTCAATTGTCATTTGTCGACGGAACTTTCGCAAACCATCAAGAATTGGCCTGCTTCTATCATTGGTTTTGGTTGGCTTCAATTTAATGCCACCCTGGATCTCATTCAATAACTTATCTAAAGCCGTGTTCTTCTTCTCCGTTTCAAAAACGTATTGACCTTGAACCTTAGCCAATGATTTACATGTTATGATGGGACTTGATCTAAAATCAAATGACAGATAAAATGAATTACGTTTTACGATTATTTTAGACGTGACTTCACCTGTCATTGCATGTTACGTGTTTCAATTTTTTATCCTTTCGAATTTCTTCGACTTCTTTCATCATCTCGCTCCAGTCGGGACGTCTACGTGGTCTCGATTTGAGTTTTTCTATTGTTTCACGATGCTTTTGTGTTAAAGGCTTCTTTTCGAAATCTGGCGGTGGACGCAAACCCGGTGGGGGAGGTGGGGGCTAAAGGAAAACCAAAAATAACTTTCATTACAGCCTCATTCAGAAATTTTAAAGTGATTTGAAAATGTAGGGCATAATTTACCGGCGGAGGTGGAGGCAAGGGAACTGAAATGACAAACAAGAAAATTTATGAAATTAATTTTTAATTTAACGCTTTTTCTCGACAATATTTTTCCACTTTTTTTTCTTTATTTTTCAATGGAGAAGCACTCGAGCGGAAACCTTGAAAATAGAATTTAGGAAAGAAAAAAATAATGGAACGTGTACATAAAGTAAATATTTAATCGAAGTTTCTTCAATATTCACTTCATCTCGTCGCGTAATGATTTTCATCTTTCAATTACAAATTCTCTTTAATTTGTAAATGAATGGAGGAAAATATAAATAATTGAAATTGAAAATATTTACAATTTCATACTTGAATGTAATCTTTTTACAAATTTATTGTTTTGCACATTTTTCCCAGAGATGAAAAGATTTTGAGAATGAAATGAATAAATTTGGTTGGAAATGATTTTTTCCTAAAAGCAATTGATCCATTGTAAGCACCCGAATGCTTCTTTGTTTAAGAAAATAAAACAAACTTACTTTTCATGCTACTTTCAGCACGTAATATCGAAGGCTTCAGAGGGAATTGTTCGGACATTCTTCTTGTAGAATCGCTCTCTGGCTTAGGTGGCGTTCTCTTAAGTTCCACAGCCGGAAGCTTCTCTCGCGGTGGTGGTTCCTTTGTTTTTAAAGATGACGGAACTTTTCTTAATTTCTGCTTGAAAAATTTTGGTTCGGGTGATGGCGATCGTTCCTTTTGTTCCGGTTTTTGTTTTGTTACAACTTTCTTCAATTCTGGCTTCTTAAAACTGTAATCGGGTGATGATGGTCGTTCGGGTTCTTTTTTCTCAGGAGTTTTTGTAACTTTTTTTAATGCTGGTGCTGCTAATTGTTTCTTTACAACACCAGGTGAAGGTGGTTTGTACGAAGGTTTCTCATCATCACTGGAATCTTCATCAGAATCAGTTTCTTCACTTGAATCAGTTTCACTTTCATATGAACTTTCGTCTTCATCAGAGTCATAATCGGGAGTTTTACTGGGTGACTTTGAAGGAGTAGTTCGTGGCGTTGTGCTCGTTGATTTCGAAGGTGTTGACGACTTCGATGGTGTTGAATTTGACGTTTTAGAAGAAACTGAAGTTGGAGTTTTACTTGGAGATTTGCTTGGAACATTTTTAGCATCACGAAGAGAAATTGTTTGTTGTTCTTCTTTAAGATCTTGCTTAATTTTCACGTCCGGCTTCTTCAAAATTGATTGAGTTGGGATCGTCTTCTCAACTTTAAGTGGCACTTTTATTTCACGAGATTGTAGTCTGGATGTGACTTCTTTCTTTGGAGGTTCTTCTTTCTTCGTGGCAGTGGTTGACTTTGTGTCGTCCACTTTCGCATCGGTGGGTGTTTTACGAGCCCATGGCCTTGTAGCGGGGGTGGTTGTTGTTGTAGTCGCTGATGACGTGTCTTTTAACCATGAAGGCTTCGCGACTGGATTAGCTTTTCCGTTCAAAGGCATCTGAAGCGGAAATTTAAATTGAAAAAGAAAACAAACATTTACAAATCATTTGAAGTAGCTGTTAATGATGTCATCACTTCTCAATGATCACAAAATCTTATTTCACGACGACTTGTAAACATTTTGATGCAAACATGTGAGGAAAACATTTTCGCTTGGAAAGTTCACCATGAAAATTTCTCTCTTTTTATCACGATTTTATTTTTAGACATTTTTTCCTTTTTCTTTTCTTCTTGTGTTTATTTTGAATCGTGGAGTCGATTCTCACCAGAAAATGTTCAATGAATAAAATTAATCATAAGTAAATCATGTCGTCATGTAAATTTTATGTAAATAAATTTGCTTCATGTTTAATTAACTAATGCAAAGTCACAATCTAAAAAATTGTTGAACATTTTATAAATATCCACAGAAAATGAAGTGTCACAAATTGAAAAGAAGAAAAACTATTAAATAATTCCATTCTATCAGGTTTTCCTTCAGCCACTTGTGAGTTTTAAAATATCTTTTTTGTAAGTTCTCAACAACGAATTTATAAAATCTTTCATTCAATAAGAAAGAATTTTGAGATAATTTTAGACTCTACAGTGTGATTTTATACAGCATAGGAGTTTCATGACGTCACGGGGTAAAAAGACGGCAATTAGGTCATCAAAATTAGAATGAAAGTTACAAATTATTTGAAATTTTCTTATGTCAACGTTTTAACCAAAAATTTCGCCGAATTTTTTTAGATTTTGCATGTTCATCATTGGATGACATCACTAAAGTCTTTCGTCCGCCTTCGAAGTGATATTTCTCACACTTTTTTAATATATTTTCATTTCTTTTTGTGAAGATTTTTTTTCCTTTTCATCACCACCATATTGGAAATTTTTCTCCAAATTTTCTCCTAAATAAAAGTAAAACTTACGTTACTTTCATCGGCAAGGAAGTTATCTCCACTGCCTTAATATTCACTTGTACATAAATTTAAGAAATTTGCTATGAAACTTTAATTGCAATGATTTTTGGAAAGAAAATTTCTTTTTTCTCACAGACGAAGTGGCTTCCACCTTACGCCTGTGATGTGATCGTAAGCAGAAAACTTTCTGAGAGAAAATTATTTGCGAACGTATTTTCACGATCAATCTTGCGAAAGAAGAAGAAGAAGAAAATGATCAAAAATGAGAGAAAATCTCAAAGTTCTCTCGTGAGAGTGAAAGAAAAACAAACATGATCGTGACGTTTGTTGTGAAAATGTTTTAGAATTCAAAGGAGGGGAAAACATTGAAAATTTCAATTTTTTTCTGATCGTTTCGTTATTTTAATTATTCTATTTAATTGAATATTTGACAGTTGTTATCTATCTAGTGTAATTAGTTAAATATTTAACGACTATTAGATGCATTTTCTTGCTGCTTAAACGGTAACAGTTGAATAGTTTGCTTTAAATGCAACAAAGTTCTGCTAGTCGATGAAAGCTCTGCATTATACATCTCAATCTCAAGGGAAACATATTCTTGTGTTATTTCCATGAAATTCTGTGTTCATGTTGAATGGTTTTGAAACAACAATTTCTTCCCATGTTAAGTGAACATTTCTCAACACGCCACTAAGTAATTGCAATTCCAGGTAATTTTTGTAACAGAATGTTCAACAAGTTACCACGTTTTGTTCCAAGTTCAATGCTAATCTTTGTTAATCATGATTTCCAAGCTGTTACATTAAAGAGAAAATAAAAGTTGGTACATTCAAACAAATATTTTTAAAAGAATAACTTTTCAAGTTATGACTTAATCAGCCTCAACGTGTATTAAGATTGATACAAAAAGAAATTCGAACATCAAACAAGTCGGGAAAGTTTAATAAACCGAATAAAGTGAAAATAATTATAATCTCAAATATATGCTGACAGCTTTATTGACTTTCAATTACGCAATCAATGTGGAAATCATTCTCGATGTGTCAATAAAATTCACACACAAACTGCCACGTGTTTTGTAAACATTCGAATTTCTCCTAGAAGTTGTGTGCATGTCGTTGACATTGATTTGTTTGAAGTTGTGAAGTGGAAAGCTTCAAACAAAACAACCAATGTCAATGATGTCGAAATAAAAGTGTTTTCAAACAAGGAACAAGAACATATTGACGCGGAAAATTTCAAGACGAAATAAAGACAACAACCGTTCAATCTTCTTTTTGAGTTTTCAAGAAGTAAATTTCCGAACGATGTTCACTGGAAGAACTTCAAGTGTTTACCTTTTGTGACAGGATTTTTTCGTTTAAAAATTGAGCTAATTATGTTTCAGCGATTTTTCTTATAATAAAATTGGCAGAGTTCAAGATTTCTTCTCTGAAGGCGAAATTGGTCTTTCTGGCAAGATTGTCCCTTGGGAAAATTGTCCTTTCCGGATCTTTTGAAAAAGGTTCAAAGTCTTGCAAAATTTGTGTACAGCATCTTGTAACATTTGTACCTGATATTTTGTACTTGTTATGATATTTTTTGAATAATCAAAACAATTTCATTTCATTTAATTACATGTGTCAACATCAAATGAATCGTATTTTGATTTCTAAGTTTGTCATCATTCAAATAAGATTTTAATCAATTAGTCATTATTAAATTTGACAACTTGTCACAAGTCTTCATCAATTCGTTCATAAACGTATGCCAAATTAGCACGTAAATCATCGCAATGATTTGAGTTAAGAATTTCTATTAAATTTAAAGCTAGAATTTCATTGGAATAATTTCTCACGATTTTAAATCTTTGATTCCGAAATGTTCGTCTTTTAAACTTCCAAACGTTTGTTTGATAAGTGATTAGAAAGATAATGAAGAATGAGGTGACGCTTTTGTCCTGACATTGCTTTAAAAGGTAATCAAAATATGTCATGTTGCCGTGCTTCCGGTGAGTTCTACGATAGTCGGAAATGTCACAAACATAATCGTTTTATAGTGATCTCGTAATTGGTGACAAGCAGACGCCATCAGTACCTAAATCAAACAAGTAAGACATTTTATCTGTCATACCTCTCATGTCATCTGTTACTCTTTGTGAATGATTAAGGATCAGATAAAACTTAAAATCAAGTTCATTCTTATTACTTTGAAACTGAAATCTTTTTCTCCTTTCATTCATTAAATTCTGTTAATAATTTTGATCTGAGATTATTTTCCGACTTTTATGAAGTATGATGCATTGCAATCAATTTAAATACTTGTATTGCTTCCATTGCACTTTCATTGATTATATTTAATTACGTAAATATTTATTTATAGTTATTTTCTTTTAACTCGAGATCGTTTCATTTATGAAATCTTAATTGCAACTTGCAATGTCAACGACATTTTCTATTGATTGCTTTTGAACTAATAGAAATTTTACTCATTTTGCCATCATTAACAGTCTTTGCTAGCGACATCCTGCATGTGAACTGAAATTCATAGAAAGCTTTTAGTCGTTTTAAATTTAATTGGAAAGTTGGCAAGAGTAAAGTGGAAAATATTCAAGAGACAAATAAAATAAATTCTGATTCACAGTTCAATGATTCAATATGACCACAAATAAACTTGTTTTATTCCAAAAGTATTTTTACACTATTTCTGATTAAAAATATTCATTGATGTTGACTCTTTTAGCTAAAAAATAATTTTATAAAATTCATGTAAAATGATTGAAGCATCACTTCATAAAATGAATTAAATTTAAATTGAATCACTCAACTCTAAAAGTTTATAATTTACACTGTTCAAAGTAGATGAACTTATCTTAGATTTTCCCTATCGCAATTTATTCACAAAGTAACTTGACATTGTCATTTTAATTCATGAAAAAGAATCTTTGATTAAGAAATGAATCATCGCCCTTTAGTCTTTCGTTGGAAAATGACATAAACTGTTGTACATGTGAGTATGCTTAGTTGGAATCCAAAAGGATTTTTCTGATATTTAACAAAACTTACAATTTGTTTGCATATTTCTTTAAACCAAATAGAACGCCTTCAGTTGTTTTTTAAAGAGGAAGAAAAAAGGCTTACAAGAAACAACTGTAAGGGTTTTTCTAGAAATATTCTAAGAAGTAAAGACGGGAAAAGCAAATATTCTGAGTAAATATTAATTATGCGATTTCAAACGACATCTTGAGTATCAAATCTAAGGTCCTTGCTGTGATAAGTTTTTCTGTTTGTATCTCTTACTGTTTTGCCTTTTTCCCGCTCCAAATATATTTTCAGCAAACATGCAGAAAGAAAGGGAAGGGACTGTTTACATGAAAATTCAACAAAGAAACGAAAAGAAAACTTTCTTGTTTAGGAATTGTTTAAATTTTTCATGTCTCAAACTTATCTCCTTATTTTCTGAAACATGACAAAGCATTTCAATTCTTGATTCTTTGAACTTCTGTTTTGGATTTTTCATCTAGGATTTGAAGGCATTGCCTGAAGTGATTCATTAATTTGAAATTCTGAATTTTCTTTTTAAACACAAGACTGAGGTTCCAAAAAGGTCGCATCAACATTACCCTATGAAAACTATCACAAGTTTGTTGTTATCAACTTTGAATAGTTCATTGTTTAACGTTTCTTTTATGAGACTTGTTGAATATTTTGAGCAGAAAAAAAGAAGTTTTGACTTTTATGGATGAAATAATAGCATCACAAACTGTTACCCTAAAAAGTTCTGCTTATGTTGATGTTTCAGAATTATCAGTTCACATGTGAAAATAGAACTGAGTGAAGTTTACATGGCTGGTCATCAAAGCTTGTAATAGTTAAACAGTTTAACTTATCATGTTGACATGCATTGCCTCTAAAATCATGATCTGGCAATATTTTAACTGATAAAATTCAAACATTGTTAAAGAGACGCTTTTTAAGTTTAATTAGTGATATCACTTTGAACTATCTTTATGCACATTCAAATAAAGAGTTGCCTTTCATTAGGTGATTATAAAATAATTTATCTATTTAATGGCCGCAATTTTTTACATAAAATAGCCAAATATTTGGTAACAGAGAGACTGGTACCACAATTTGAAATCAGTGATGCGAAAACTTTCATAATTTCAGATAATTCTATTGCACAAACATATTGCAATTTATTTGAAAAGTATAAGTAAAGCAGTGAAGCAGAATGTTACGTCCATTTGTGAAATTAAGCTTTCAGTTCTATATGAACCATTTGATGCTGTAAATCAATTCGGAAGCGGCAAAGGAAAGAAGAGAAGGTTTATAGAGAAGGCACAATCAAGATGATAATAAAAAAAAGTTCCTTTTTTCTATCGCTGTTGGATCGGAGCCAAAAACTCGACAACGAATGTTGGTAATGTCGATATAAAAGCTGTAATTTATTTAGTTTGAATATCGACGATGAGAATGGATAAAATGATTTTTTTTTAATATTGATGATGGCAACTAAGTGGGGCCTGTGGATAAGCAAGTCATCATTCCGCAAGTTTTCAGTTCATCTGGGAACTTTTGGTGGTTTTGAAAAATGTCTCAATTTGCCGTGGAGCTGAAAGCATCCATTCCCAGCTCGACCTTCTTGATACTTTCGCTCAAATTTATGCCTCAATTTACTTCGCTTCCACCCACATGTTTCTCATCCAAATTAACTAAAAATTCAAATACAAACGATATTCAAATTCGTTTTCATTCATTGTGCAAACAAATCTAATTTATTCTCGTCATAGATCAACTTTGTGAACAAAACAGAGAGGAGCATAGAGATAAAGATAGAAAACGTTTACGAAAATGCTTCTATTCAGAATAATATTTTTGTATAAATACAAATAACATTTCTAACATTTTCTTGAATCTTCTCCATGTTTGTTGATTGCTGTCGAAAACTTTTTCGCTACAAATTTTTGGTATAATTCTCAAAATAAAGCTTTCATTTAATCAACAAATTTTTGCTTTCCTAACCTATACTTTTAATACGAGGAAAACATTTCTTTTTAATCAATTATATTTTACGAAATCCTAGACAAGTATTTTGAAAAGAATTTTAAATAAAAATAACAATAAAAAGTTTTGAAATTGGCATAACTTTGGAAACAATTGAATTCATTTAGGAAAAGGTAAATATTTTTATTATGAAATGTTAGCAAACTATGCCTGTTGATATTTGGTTGAATTAAATGAAAAGAATTGAAAGCCGAACTTTCATCCAATTTTCTAAAACAAAATGTTGACAAGATATTAAGGAAAGACGAAACAATTATTCCAAATATTTTTTTTATTTACTGTTTGAAACGAGAAATTGCTTGTTTATCATCGTTTCCTGCGTATTTACTTCCATTATTCTCTTGCATGATTGAGTTTCCGCCGAGAGTTCAAGCAGAAGCAAACGAAATTCTGCACCAAAAATAATTCATGTTCCAATTTGTTCATATTTTCCCATATCCTAAATCTTGTTTTTTTCTTCTATATTTTCGGAGAAATATGGAATTTATTTGCGTCTTCTTACAAAAACGAGTCTACCTGAGGAATAAATTAGCATTAATGCCAGCAATTTGCCGTTCTTCTCTTTCTCAGTGTAAAAAGCATGTTGTTGAATATATTTAACTTCTTTTCTTTTTCCATATTCCCCCACGACTTCATTTTTTCCTTCCTAGAGAATTCATAAATCTCTTCGTTCGTTTTTGTCATAATATTTTCATTAAGTACTCGCTCTAGAGACGTCAAAAGAAAAACAAGTGCTTTGAATGTTCCTCGGAATCAATTAAATTAATTCCTTTCTTTTATGAATCTCTCAGGGCAATCTTGAGACTTTCATATTTAAACTGAGATAAAAAATCAAAGTAATTTGTTTTCACATGTTCTGTCTCTTCATGTGATGGAAGTTATGTGACAACCAGTAAAAGACATTGCAAAGTGCTTACATAAATTACCTACATAAAATGTGAAATTTCCTTAAATTATGAACAATTTTCTCTTTCTCGAAATGTTTAAACATTTAATTCTTCACAACTTCTTATGCCATTTTGTTTGTGAAATAATTTAAATCTGTATTTTCTAAATTTCATCAATTATGAAAAAAAACAAGAATTTCTGCTTGATCTCGTTAAATTATACAACATTGGACATTAAATAAGAAGAAATCTTTCCCATTTTTATACAAAATCATTGCTAGTAAAGTGGGCAGATTTAAGCAATCATTTTCCATTTTCAATCTTTTTCTCCAGTACATTAGATCGTTTCTTATTATCATGGCGACGTCTTTAATGGATCAAGATTGTGGATTAAGTTGCCAAAAAGAAGCTGAATTCTCGTTCAAATTTGTGATAACTTCATTAGGTCTATGCGACAAAGACAAAGCTCGTGGATTTGATGAAATTCTTCTTGCAATAACTATTGATGGGACTGTTTTAAAATTTGAAAATTTCGAACAAGATGATGCTGGAGAGTTCCAATTTATGGGACGATCATTAACATTTCTAATCAGCCCTGATAGCTTTTCTAAAAAACTAAAGAAATGTCCAATCATGTTAAATTTGTCTCGTGGATGTATTGAACTCGGAACAGTGAAGCTAACTCTCAGTGACTGTTTCGTTGACGCTGTAAAATGTGAAGAATTTTCAACGGAAACCAAAACAGATGAACTCACATTTTTCAATGAGGAAGGTGAACAAAGTGCAGTAATGGGTTTAATCATTCAACTTTCACGTAATGATAGTGGCGGGGGGTTAGAAAAATTGAAAAAGAAAATGATGAAAGAGTTTGGCAGAATGAAAAAGAATGCTGAGGAAGTTGCCAGCATCTCAAGTTCTAACAAGGAAGATGAAAGTCTCATTAGTGCATTATGTGACTCCAATCCCAGCAACTCATGTGATGAACGTTCAACAAAGTCTCTAAATTTCAATGATCGCAATGATTGTTCATTCTCTGAAATGTCATTGAACAAAACTGAATGTTTATCGTTGGAAAACAAAGAATTTGATTGTCAAACATTTCCCAAAAACATATGCGAGTCAAAAGCTACCGTACGTGTTTGTTCACAATGTTTTGAAGATCTTCGCTGTCTTCCAGACAATGCTTCATGTCCTTATTGTGCTTGTAACAAACAACTCCCCAAAAAAATTGTTTCATGTAAAAGCGACACGGAGAAGTTTTGTGAAAATCAAAAAGTTAAGGAACACATTAAATCTATATTGCAAGACATCTTTCTAGACACAAAGGAACGTTTAATTGAAGACTGGAAAAGTTTGAAGAAGACAAAGAAGACAAGGAAGAACAAGAAGACTTGTGAGAAAGAAAATTTAAGGTAAGTCTCGATTGAAAAGGTTACAAACGATTGACGTATAACTTTCAAATTCAGATTCCCCAACATCATTAAATGTAAACCAAAAACGAAATGTGTTGGACTTCGTAAGAAACATCCTGGTGTTGTACTTGGTCATTTGCAATGTGCTGGTGGTGGTGATTTAGTGCCCAAAAACATGGGTTGGTTGTGGAATATTCCGATTGAAGGCTTGCCGAGAATGAGACGTGGATGGCAACCAGGAGCGGTTAAAAAATCTGTAGCAAGAATTATGAAAACTCATTTGAATAAAGTGACTGAAAAAGAGATTGATGTGAGTGAAGATGAAAAACTTCCACCAACTCTACATGTTAAGAAGAAAAATGGTGAATTTTTGATCATCATGAATCCCGAATCTGAACAAGAAATCAAATCTCCGATCGTTTTCAAACTAACAAAAACAGATGAAGCTCAACGACGTTCAACAGCACGGAAAATTTTGAAGTCTCAATGGACGTGTGGTGCATGTTGCTCAGAACCTTGCGATTGTCAGATTGTAAAGATGAAGAAGCTTTCCAAAGAATTTTGCTTAGATAGAGAACTCACGATGGATGATTTAGATGATTCAAGTAGCAGTGAAATTGATTTTGAATTCACTTCTCCCAACAGTTTGTATAAAAATATTTGCAAGAAGCAAAAACCTAAAGTTTCATACGCTGAAACGCAATATGAATGCCAAGAACTCAAAGAAAAGGAGTCAAAATGTGTTCAAAAGGAACCAGAAAAATGCGATGATGATGACAGACCGAAAGTGTAAATTTACTTTAAATTTTGTTGAAAAAACTGACTTTAATTTATTATTTTATAACCTCGCAGGATGAAGCGAAAACAAGTTGTGATTTATGAGAAGCCGAAGATATGTTGTACCCCATGTGTCCCAAGACAATGCCATCAACATTGTTCGCATTCCCATGACTATCGTTCCACAACTAACTACAATCCAATATACGCTCAATGTCCACCACCACCACCACGACCAGTTTGTCATGATCAATGGTTCGTTGCCAACATGGCGAATCCTTATTTTTCCTAAACAACACAAACACCACAGAAACCACCAAGCATTTTCAAATGTTAATTTAAATTTACGAAATTATTCGTGTGAAAAGAAACCTCTATGAAGCTATTTAATGATTTTCTATCTGATGAATGAAAAAACTGTTAACACACGAAGTTAGCGAGAAAACTTTTAATTAGCTATTTTCAAAACTTTATTACAATGTTTTTGAATTGCTGGCACTTTCATATTGCGCATCGGAAAATTAAATATGCCCTGATAAAAGTTTATCGTTGACATCAGTGACAAATTGGATTATTTCGAACGAGAAAAAGTTAAGTTGCTCAAAAAAAATTCTCATTGTAAATATTTCATTCTTTCCTAAACTTTTTTTTTCATTTGGGGGTTTGAGCAGAAATATTAAATTTTTGTTTGAAAAACCTTTTTCCCTTTGGAACATTTAATTCGTTTCCTTAATTGTGCTTTTCCCTGAACCTTTGCTTGTCTAGTCTCAACTGCAATTATCACTGTCAACAGGAAAAAAAAAAGTTCATGAGTGAAAGCTTTAAGTGAAATTATTTTTAACAAATTTCACAAACTCCTGCTCGACTACAATTTTTTTTAATTTAACCAATTTTTCAACTCGTAGAAGTTGGAAGGTCCCATGGTGACATTCAATAAAGCCTGGTTGTCAAAGTTTCCTTCTTGAAAATACTTTTCTATTAGAAGGATGAAAATTCGTTTTGAAGAAAAGGAAAAGGTGAAAGCTTCCTTATCAATTGAAAAAGTTTTTTTTATTGTTAAAATATTGACAACACATGCACAAACAAAACATCAACAAAGTGAAAAAAAAGTTCCAATCCTCGAAATATTGTTAAAATGTCGCAATACTTGTTCCATTAAACGATTCTGATATGAAATCTTTGAATCCAAATAAATTGTATCTCATGAAGATCTTATAGAAAATCCAACAGAATAGCAAACATCTGAGAACTCGATCAATAATCATGATTCTCATCAGTCGTCGTTTTGAAGCAGGAATTGAAGAATCGGGTTCTTTCATCAGATATCTTCGGGCGCCTATTGATACGAAGAAAATGAAAAGAGAAAAATTCGTTCATTACATTCTAAATATAAAGAAAAACGTTTTTCTTTTCTTCACAATAACATGACAAAATTTACCCTGAATTTGGTGCACATAATAATCAAAGATGTCGGGCACGCTGCGTGACATGTTGAAATCCATACTGTAATCCAATTATATTGCATTTAGGGTGTTTATACTTAATAATTTGAGAGCTTAAAGGTTGTACATTAGCTAAGTGTGTATGTCACAACATAAAAAGGTTCATCATCCCATTTTCTTCTTCCTTTTCTTCAAATCCCAAGTTTTTTTTTCCCCTCTAACTCTCTATAAAATGTTCTTCTATAAAGCCTTGTGGAAATAGATTAAATCTTGTTGTGACATACATTCTTAGCTTAAGAAATAATCTAATATGATTTCTTTCTCACTCGTCACTGGGTAATAAAACTTTATTTAATCCTTTGAAATTCTCAACTCCGAAATTCCAGTCGGAAAAGATGAAAATTTGCAGAGCTTCGGAGGCATGTGCAATTTTCCTTTGGAGTCTCATTAGCCTGAAAACATAAATCTCGTAACATTTAAATGATTTTTAAATAAAATAAATTTTGTTTCGAAACCTACATCGGTTTTTTCCCTAACAATTGTAGAATCTGATCCAAAAGCAAGGCCGGCAGAAGTTGAAAACAGACAATCTATGGGAAAGGGGGAAATGAATCGAGAAAATAATTCGAGGTGAAGGAAAAAGCTTTACCCGAAAAGAGTTCATGACTTTGCAGAGCGTCACGCCACCCCCGGGTAACCACACGAAACGCTCGAATGGATAGTTTCTAATCAAATACGCTCCATCGTATACAAGCAAGTTCAAATCCATATTGTGTTGGGATGCACAATTGTAAACGGACAATTGCTTGTCATTCAGAATCTCATTAGATGAACGTCTCTGGCCGCTGTCCTTTTTATTGTCGATTGCACACTTCCACCCGGCGACAATTAATGTTTTAGCAACCAAATCGACAGCAACGCAATTCAACTCGGCCGTGTTTGATGCATACATCGTTCGCATGATTCCAATCCCACAGGCACATAACAGACCAACAGGTCCATTAAAATTGTCACACCATCCCGTAATCGGCTCTTTTTCAGAGCCCGTTACAATCGACGGACGAACGATTGTAATTGGAATTTGGTTTTTATAGTCATCACAGATTTGCTCAGAGAGAGCTTTCGTATATGTGTATGAGTTGGGACTGAAATTGGTCAAATGTGGCATTAAAGTTTCCAACGTTTCCGTATCAAAATGTTCTGCTATCTGAACGACGCGCTTCCACTCGCCTTGAGCTGGATAAGTCTGAAAAATTTCAGTTAAGAGGATTGTTTCTCTCCCTTTCATTTGTAATTTATCTTCTTCTCACCTGTTCACCGATGAAACTTTGATCAGGGTAACAATAAGTCGTAGAAATGTGAACAAATGCTGCGACATGTTGAAGTGTCAACGCAAATTTAATCGTTTCGTGAGTTCCCCTCGTATTAAGTATAATCGCTGATTTTAAAATATCATCAAATCTCACAGAAGCAGCTGAATGAAATATTACAGAAACATCTTTGAGCAGTTCAAGAGATTCACTCGAGAGACCTAATCCTGATACACCGACATCTCCTTCAACTGCAATAATTTTGTCGAGACTTTCCGGAGATTCTTTCCTTAACTTTTCAAATAACTAAAAGAATGAGAAATAAATCCAAGTTTAATCTGAGGGATGTTGTGGAGAGAGAAACACTGAAATTTGATGATAAATAAATAAGGTAAAGGAAAAGTTTCGAAATAATTCCACAATTGTCAAATTGACTTTGTCTTAACTTATTTAACAGTGACTTGCAGTCAATGCTTCGAAACTGGTCATTTACCCTCCTTCAATAAGTTTTCAACTTACAGGCGTGTTTTTAATTTCCTCCAATCTTGTGCTGATAGACTTTGAACGTTTTTCTCGAAGCAACAAGAACACGCGCTTAATTTTCGGACAGGAACGAACCAGTTTTTCAATTAACACTTTACCAACAAATCCAGTAGCACCGGTAATAAAAACATCTCGATTGCTATAAAACTCTGGTATTGTAATCATCGTGTAAAATACAAAGAACTGTGAAACTTTCTGTTTTATTATTTCTTGTTTTTCTGCTTCTGTTCTTCCTGCTCCGAGAATTTATCGTTCAAATTATTAACTTTTCTCTACTTCACTGATTGCACAATTTCCTGGTGTATTGACTCTTCGACAGTTGTTAACAGAATGATCTACGAGCTCGTAAAAGAAAATATTTCTACCGACTCGGTAGTGCACATTTTTAATAAAACTTTGACCTTCGTGAATTATTCAACAATTATTCAGTTTCGTTATGAGTGCATAAATATAAAAAAGATGACACCAAACCACTCACCAGTCGTTTCATTATCGATGAACTTCAGAATTTTATTGAATTATAACCTGATGACTGCACAATTATAATGGAAGACTTTCATCTCCATCATACTTAACAACAGTACTCGGATGTATCATTCAGAAATGTGTTTAAAATATTAAACATGTGAAGTTAAAAAATTAATTCACGAATTATGGAAATGAAAAATCATCCGGTAACATAATTCACGAATCATTAAGCATGGATGTACAGAAATATTTTCAGCTTAAAATGATTTCCGATGAATTAATTAATTACGTGAGTCATCAGCTTGGAAATTTCTTTATTGTTGCTAATATTTTCTTTTCATCATTAATTAAATTTAAATTATCGCGATTTTGTCATTTGAAATGTTTGATGTTTCAATATCCAAATGAATATTTTACAAATAATTAATCAGAATTATAAATACAAGTAGTCATTGTGAATTGCATAAAAATTTAAGCAAATTTTATTCATGGAAGAGAAATTTTAATTTCATTTGCTGACTTAAATCGAGTATTGTCAAGCTGGTTTCAATACCAAGTCAATATTTTTTATTTTGAATGTTCATCGTTTTTCATTTCATGATGTCAACGACAACGTAAAACAAATCAAAGTGATATTGACATTGTTTTCGTCAGCAAATGTCGGGTTATCGATCTTCAGGTCGATGTTGGAGAAGACGTGACTTTGACAATATTGTGGAAATAATAAATATTCACGAAAAGCTTAAAGGTTTATTTTGGTAGCTTAGCAGACATCCAAACATTTATAATTTTATTACTACTTGTTGTGAAAATTCTTTTTCTTTTCCGGAACAACTTAAAACAAAAAAAACTTCTTCTTGTGATAAATTTCTTTCCTTAATGCATAAACAGTAATGTTATGAACTAAATATACTTACTAGGCATATAACATTCCCTTCATTTCACTTCCCTTTCCTTCTCCATCGTAACCACACTTTTATGGTTACTATAGTAATATTCTTTCTTGCCTTTTTATTGTTGTTTTGTTTGATTAATCGAAACCGATTTGCGAAAAACGTAAAAGAAAAAAAGAAAAACTTTCAGCTCAAGATTAGCTTTGATTTGGGTTTTATTTTCAACTGTGACTTTCTACTCACAAAGCTTCCGTCGAAGTGTGACGAAGGAAAGGAAAATATAAAATAAATTGAAAAGCGATCATTGTCATCTTTTTACAATTTGTCAGTTTTTCTTTCTCATTTTTTTTAAATATTATTATCATCGTCGTGAAACAAGTTTTATTTAACAGACCTTTGGTGTAACTTTAACGTGTAATGTGGTAAATTGTGTCAAACACAACAAGCAATCATTGTGTAGGGGAAAAAGGAGAAGAAATAAATCTTGAACCATGAATGACCTTCAGTACATGTATCAAAAAGAACGGAAGGAATTTGGCAAGCAATGTGCTTTCGCTGACAAAAAATTCTTGATGGCTTCCATTTCGTCGAATCATGATGATTTTAATGATTATATCCTACGGAACCCCATCGAGGAAGGGACACAATTAAGCCGACAATTTGCTTTGAGTGAGGTGAATACAATGTCAACAACGACTGAAAGTAAAGGAATTCTGCACACTGAAGGTGGTTGGCCTAAAGACGTCAATTATTTGGATAGCGAACAGACGCTGAGATACCGTCGGAAGTTGGAAAAGGACGACACCTTCATCACTCAAGTGCCGAGGATGGGAGAAGTATAAAAATATTCAACACTTAAAAATTTTTCTTCATAATTCTCTTGTTATTCAGAAAGTTGAATTTTGCATCAATCAAAACAATGCAGTGAATATTTATGAAGAGTATTTTGAAGGATTAGAACCAGCGCCAATAGTCGATCGATGTCATTCACGTACGATGTTTGTTTATAAAGACGTTGAGACACCAACAGTGAGAATCTCTTGAGTTGTTTCTCTGTTAAACGAATAAATAAATTTTTTATTCTTTTCAGCGTCCTATAAGTCATTTGTCGTGGTCGCCAGATGGTGGTTTTAAACTTGCTATCACTTATTGCAATACAGATTTCAAAAAAAGCAATTCAAGACTTTCGCTTAATTCTTATATTTGGGAAACAGAAAATCCAAACCAACCTCTTTACAAGCTCACACCGGCAAGTCCATCGATTTGTATTGAATATCATCAAAAAGATGTTAACATTCTTGTGAGTGGTCAGGCAAACGGTCAGTGTTGTGCTTGGGATACGAGAGTTGGTGAGAAACCTATTGGAAGCACACCCCGTGAAGTTTGTCATCGAGAAAGTGTCAACTCTGTTCTTTGGATTAACAGTAAAACGGGATCTGAGTTCTTCTCTGGAGGTGCTGATGGTCAGGTCATTTGGTGGGACAGTCGAAAGCTTACAGAAAGACTTGACTATTTATACATGGATCCAATCAAAAGTGACGAACAAGTGCTTGAACGTTCGTACGGCATTTCCATACTCGAATATGAAACAACAATTCCCACACGTTTTATGGTTGGAAGTGAACAAGGCATGTTGTTCTTCTGCAATCGGAAGGGAAAATCTCCTATGGAGAAGATTACTTTGCGGGTAAGTTGTCTCTGCATTGTTGCTATCACTAGAAGCATCTTAATTGAAGTAGGAAAAGGCACTTGATGGAGGTGTTTTCATGTGGAAGATCACAGGTGTCAACGTTGTTGGATCCGTTGCAATGACAAAATCTCAGTGAATGTTTCTTTTTTAGAACATTCTTCCAACTCATCGTAATTCATGCCAATGTCATGAAAAAGAAAGAATGAAGAATAAGAAGTAAGAATGAAATCGCAAACGCGTAGATTGAATGTAAAATTTGTCACTGGAAAAAAAGGAAGCGCAATCTTTCTCTTCTCGTCTTTTCGTTTTCCTTTTTTCTTCTTATTCTTATTGAAAATGTCTTTATCATTTTCCATTTTTCATTCTTCGTAGATGCAATGTCATGCTAGTCCCATCTATACATTAAGTCGCAATCCATCCTTCTTCAAGAACTTTCTCACAGTTGGAGATTGGAACGCTCGCATCTGGTCGGAAGATTGTAAGGAAAGTTCTATTATTTGGACGAAATATTGCCCAGTAGAGCTCACCGATGGGTGCTGGTCACCGACCAAATGTTCTTTGTTCTATCTAAGTCGGACAGATGGAAATGTGGAAGCTTGGGATTTATTACAACAGCAAAGTGAACCAATTCTGACAGTTAAGGTAAGTTTTGAATTAATTCTCTGACTTGATAAATGAAACTAAACTTTTATTGAAAATGATCGAGAATGAAGGAAAACGAAGATTGTGCAAAATCATTTGCAGCTTTTACCATTTTCGAATCTTTTCCGGTACTTGTGCATAGTGGCGTGTACATACAGCACACAATGAACAAGAAAAATGTTTTCCTTTCATTTATGCCATTCAAGTTTTCTTCCCTCTGCAGGTTTCAGATCATTCCATTAAATGTGTGAAGCCCCACGAGTCAGGAAGAATGATAGCATGTGGTAGCAAAAACGGATTTGTTCATTTAATGGAAGTTTCTGAGAATATGACTTTCAGTGCAAAGAATGATAAAGCGATATTAAATGCTGTAAGTAAACTGCAAGAAAGCAGAGAGAAGACGAATCGGCTTTGACATTTGTTTATTATTTAACTTCGATTTATTGGCCATCGCGTTCTTTGACTCTGCCAATGCAACTTAAATGAATGTTGTTTAGATCGGAAGAGCGTCGTGTAGGGAAAGAGT